TACCCCACCATACCCCCATACTCATGACAGCAGCTTGAACCTAAGCTAGGCTAATGAGTTAATATAATTAATAATTAGTCATCATGACATATGAATAGTTTTTATCACAAAATGATGAGCATCTGATTGTAACATTGTTGCAAAGGGCAGTAGACCATATTTCTCAGCCAAACTCCAAATTTATATTTAAAAAAGATGGAAGAATTTTCAACTAATTACCTGACATTTATTCATTTAAGGGCAGTTATAGCCGACCTAAACTTGTTAAACCCCAGTCCACACACAAAATCAGTGAAGTGAGAGTCACTGAAGGATAATGCTGTAAGTTTTGCCTGAAACAGTAGTACACTAACCACACCAACATCAACTTTGCCCTCTTTCCCAGCAGAGTGATTAGTCATGATTTTTAATGATCCTATGAAAGTGAAAACAGTGATATACCTGCCCACATTATTCCAGTAGTACAAGACATAGTGAAAGTCTAAGGGACTAGTTGTCTTATCTTGAAATATAGGTATTTTAGATAAATTATATTAGTAGCTATACCACAGCCCCCCCACTAATTGACTAGATTTGGCTAATTACCCTGGAATATTTTCTTTATTCGTATACTACAGAAAAACTATTGAATCTTTTTCAGTTATTTCTTCTGATATGTTTAGACAACACATTAAAGTAAATAATATAAAAAAATTGTGTTTGTTGTTTGTTCAGTTAATTAGTGACAGCGAGGTGAATGTCAGCTTTGCAATCTGTCAAAGGTCCCGTCACATGGACCGTTTGATGGCAGTGCCCAGTTTCGTCGGGGTATATTCAAAGCACCGTAGTTGAAATGTCGTTGAAATGTCATAAAAATTGGTGGACAATAAGATCAGAAGATGGTCTTTCATGTGGTATATTTTATATCTCGACGAATGAAGCAGAACGGTGTGGAATTGGCGTTTGAAAAACTCCCCCAAACTCTCGCCATTCGCAAGGTAAGTCCGTTTTCAATCTGTAACATCGCGTAGCATAAAGATCAACATTTCCCCTTTATTTTGATGTATATGTCAGGGTAGAGACTGCGATCGGAGTCTCTACTGGTAGAATCTCTGATCCTACTAGTAGAGATTGTAATCGGGAGTCTCTACTGGTTGAATCGGAGATTCTACCAGTACATTTTCCAATTCAACTGGTAGAAACTCCGATCCTACTAGTAGAGACTGCAATCGTCTTCAACTGGTAGAAACTCTGAGTGATCTGTGGGTAAACAACAAAGACACTTTTTCTGAACAGTACTATGCATTTTATTCAGATATAACACTAGACTGTTTCCACTTCTACAGATATATTAAGGACTAAAAATACAAATGTGACTTGAGAGATCATATTACAATATACTGATCATAAGTTTTGAAATACATCTGAATGAACTTCCTACTTTTAACTGAGACATTGATAACAAACATTTAACACCTCACTGTAAACAATATCAAAATAAGAAATAAAAATGGTTTGTAACACTGTATTTACATCATGAGACCAAGCTGCCAAATTTGGACTCCACTCAAAACACAAAAACAAAATACCTTACTCCAAAATAGACTTAACAAATAAAGTTAACAAGATAACAATAAATAAGTTCAATTATAACTGGCAAATAATAGGAAAACATTATCCCCACTTATTATACTTGCTTGCATAAGCTTGCACTTGCTTGCATAGGTTATTCCATATAATCATAGTCTCTACCAGTAGAGACTACGATTGCAATCTCTACTAGTAGGATCGGAGATTCTACCAGTAGAGACTCCGATCGCAATCTCTACTGGCAGAGACTCCGATCGCAATCTCTACCCTGGTAGAATCGGAGATTCTACCAGATCGCAGTCTCTACCCTGACATATATATCAACAATATTAAAATTGGGTAAAACGACGTGAGATCGCGTAATATGAAAGTAGTGCCGTTCAAAACGTGCCATTTTCACCGCCCTGAGCCCGACCTGCTAGCACTAACAGCAGCGCTCAGCAGTCCGTAGATCATTAACGGTTTCGGCAACTGTCTCACAATCACAGAGTCAAACAGTTAATGCATAGCGAATTATCAGAATAGTGACTTATGAAAGCTAAAATCGCCATCTGCTGAAATTAATGTTTATGAAAATAATTTACACGTAATATTTCATTCCGAGAAACAGTTCCTATGCAGTATTTACAATCGGCTCGAATCGACAGTTCAGATTGTGCTGATTTCGGTTCGGTCTGTAAACAGCATGATATATAGATAGTGTAGTTGACAGAAAATGGATACATATATATATTGCTTCGCTAAAAGTCATATTTATTGTAGCTGAACGCTAACATGTCAACAAACTGTTTTCGAAGTTGAAATAGCGAGATCACGCAAAACGTCATCGGTGACAGCTCAGGACATGTTCCATGCGTAAAAACTATCCGGCATAACACCAAACTGCTGCCGCATAACCTTAGTTATGATTATAAATATTTTACAATTATGCAAAAGAACCTGTAATTAAATGGCACAATTATTTCTGTTGGTAAAATAATGGTTTTAGATACTATATTCCTCAGATCACTGCATCAGAATTTGTCCCGTTGTATTATTGAGGGTGTCCACAAATGGTAGTAGACCATTATTGGGTATGTTTTAACTGAATCACCGGTAGATCGCCGGGGAGGTGTGCACAGCTGATTGCTATTTCCGGCTTTGTGTACAAGACAAATACGCACAGTAATCTTAATCCTTGCATATAATACAGTGCCTAGCATAAACAAATTAGGACTGAAATGGTAGATAATCTTGTCTTGTGATCTTTAATTGCAAATTTGACTTGTGCACTGACATGGTTAGATTGTTTTGATAACATCTGCTTTTTAGTAGGGTCGCGGGGTAATGTCAATCGAAGTGTAACAACACTAACGATCTACAGGCGACACACCATTATGTTTATTCTAAGTAACGGTTATGTTTTATTGTCTATTCCCCAAGCGTCAATGATCAATGTTATTTCGAATTTCCGGTAATATGGTGTGATTTTTAGATTGCCTGTAAAATAAACCTAAAACAATGGACATCACTTACACACACTGACATTCACACTGAACTTTATCAACATACCCACAGTAAGTTTATTTCAATTTTTAGATGTTACTGTACGTAACATTAATATCTTTAAAAAGAAATCAATATTTGAAGGGACCCCTAATGTAGGGGCGATGGTTTTATCTGCATTTAGTACATTCTTGTGCTCAGAAATTATTTATTTATTGGTTGATTTTGAAAGTACATTTGTCAGTGTAAGTTCTGAAAAGTTCATAACATTCAGCTGATTTTTCAGCTGGTGAAACACAGGTAAACTGAAATTCCATGAATACAAGTAATACTTTTTGCAACTGAACATCTGGAAAGTAAAAACAAAACAGTAACAAAATATAATCATGCAAAAAAACTAAAATATATTATATATTTCTTTCTTTTTTGTGACATTGCAGGTATTGGGCTGTATAATCATGTGAGGAAGTGTCAAGTCCAGTGAAGAAAGTAACTTTCTAACAGACAATATTGTGAACATTGTTATTCCTTTATTGTATTCAAGCTGAGACAGACAATTTTTTGTGATGCATTTGATTTTTGTGTGGACAATGAAATTTCTACTTATGTCAGTCAAAACAATTGATTTAAATATTCATATGTTTTGACTGTGATATTGCTATCTGTCAAATTTACATTGGTCATGTTTAATGAGTACATCAAGAATAAAAATGTTTGAAAAGTATGAGTGTGTTTGTTGTTTATGTAATGATATTTAGGAGTGATCTTTGTATGAATTCCTGGGTTAAAGACAGTGTACTTCCCATGGAGTCATGGTCCATATTACTCGGGCACTCACTATTCATTCAATTTTGTGCTTGAATCTTTGGAATAACTCTTAATCCATTGGATTTATGTGAATTCTGATGCCAAAAATGAAATCAGGGGTATCCAATTACCCCATGTACCAAATTTTGTTTAAATACACCAAAAACCAGCAATGTTGTGGGAGAATTAAGATATTTTGAGCGAAAACGGCGGTCCGCGAGTTTCATGTATTACATGTACAAAATCGATCTAAACCTGGACCCCGAATTTTGACACTTTATTTACCTCTAAAAAATTTATTTATGGTCCGATTCTCAAAAGGAAAACTGATCTGAAATCAGTAGAATGCCAGCTATCAGACAATGTTATCAGTTATCTGTAATATGAAAAAATCATGTGGTATAGCTATTAAATAACTATCTGGATATATCATTGATCTCCAAACATAGAACAGCTAGATAACTATCTGTTTATATCAACTGATCTCCAAACACGGAGCAGCTTGATAACTATCTGATCTCCAAACTGTGATATTTTCCTTGCAGGAGACCTGAATGCAGATCTCATTGGTTATATTCCAAATTATAATATTTATCATTTGCAGGAAAATATTCTTAATTATACTAACAACTCATTTAAATCCTCAAGATAAAATAAATCTGGAAAATCAAATAGTTATACTTATAGAAAGAAGTGCAGAGAAAGGGACAGCCAGGTGTTCGAGAAGCACGTTCACAGACAAAGTTATTTATTCATTAACCTGTGCTGTGCCGTCTCCATCCGTTCTCGAACACCTGGTTGTCCCTTTCTCTGCACTCCTCCCTCGTAACAAATAGTGAACTGTGTCAATATTTAAATGATAGATTGTTAAACAACTTTTTTATTTTTAGGACAAAAATTCTGCAAAAACCTCACAGAGTGGGTATGATGTTTTGATTATGATCAGCGTTTCATTGAGTATTTTATGTTTATTAGTTTTCGAGTTAGATTGCAATTCATCGATCCGCTTTTGAGCCAAACGGACTATAGGTGTTTTGCAGTTAAACATGACAAATACACTTGCATCACACACAATGTGTGTAGTGTTGTAGATTATATGATTGCATCACCTACCTTTCAACATATTTGTGGTTTTCGAGTTGGTGATTTTTCAGAACATTTTCCATTATCCTGTTCTCTTAATATCACTGCTTCACAATCTAAGACTAGTAACAGTGAGGAATATATAGAACATGAACGGATCAACCATTTTGTTTTGATTGGATATAGTTAATTTGGAAACCTGATGCAGGTGAGCTCTCTTTTTAAAAAACTACATTCACTGATTGATAATCATACTGACATTCTGTCATTATCAGAATGTGCATACAGGACACACCAATGGAGAGAAAGGATGCAGAAAGCCTCATATTCCACGTCTGGAGAGATGCACAAAACCACTGAAAGTATACTTACAGCACATCAAGAGTAGTTGTGTCTGTTATTTCACCCATCAGTCATGACCACTGTCCACATGATCACTGATTCATTCCAGTCTCTGAAGTCATTATTATTATTATTATTTATTATTATTATTGTAGGATATTTATATAGCGTACATATCCACGCACTAGTGCATGCTCAAGGTGCTGGTATTTTTTCCCTCGAACATTGGATGTCAATATCAACTGCACATTGTATTAGCAATCTCAACTCCCTGGGGAGTATACAACTCTTGCTGCCACTAGGCGCACCGAGTTATTGTGGCTCTCTCATCCTAACGAGGTACCCATTCACAGCTGGGTGGACTGGGACACATAGTCACAGCACTTTGTCCAACTTCACTGCACGTTGCTGTACCCGCAACTAGGTGTTTGCACGCAGTCATGTGGCCACCATCTGGTCATATACCAACGGATTCGTGGGTTCTTTTAAGTGCACATGGTTGTGTACTGTACACTAGGGGTTGTGACAACACTGAAAGAGTCTGCACACAAAGTTGACTCCAAGGTTTTTACACCCGGTCACAGGTGGGCTCGATCCCGGCACCTCAACCTCGCTGGATCACTAGCCTGGCGCCTTAGACAACTCACCCATCGTCCCCCTATTATCTGAACATACACTTCACAACACCATATCAGTACTGTACAGGACCCTCATATTCCCAGCAGGGAGCCAAAAATATATGGATTGGGGTCCCCTGCATCCTTATTTTTGTAAGTCAAGGTACTACAACCCTAATCATGATTGTGAGATGGGGATTTTGAATAGATATTGACATGGATTTGAAGATGAGTGAAGCCATTGTTATAATTACACTAATTTATCACATTTGTTCATAGGAATCCTGCTATGGGAGTGAAATTAAAGATCTGAACTGAAAGTAAAAATGGCCGACCACGATCATATCCCTGTGAGGGATACAAGCAACAGAGCAGCTCATGAAGCAGGTAAGAAAATATTCAACAAAAGCTTTTACCAAACTAAAGAAAAGCATTACAAATACAAATCAATGTCATGAGTTGCCAGAATTTCAAACAATGCATAAACCCTATTTTATGCCAATGCTGAATAGTGGATTGATTTTTTCCTTATCCTGACTCATGATCTTTGCTTATCTCCCTTTTCCTTCCGAATGGTAGTGGAACACTTTAATCCCTTGAAGTTCCAAGCGGACGTACAATACTCACCCATGAGTTACCTCCCTTCCTCTTTCCCGCGAAAATGTACCATGTGACGTGCCCAGACTTGTCACTCTCTTTAGTTTAATGCCGCACTCAGCAATATTCCAGCTATATGGTGGCAGTCTAAATAATCCAGTCAGGACCATACAATCCAGTGATCAACAACAGCATGAGCATCAATCTACGCAATTGGAATAAGATGATATGTGTCAACCAAGTCAGCAAGTCTGACCACCTGATCCCGTTAGTCGCCTTTTACAACAAGCATGGGTTACTGAAGATCAATTCCAACCCGGATCTTCACGGGTTGGATTTGAGGTTAGAATTGATCCCCTGCAGTTGGCTCCAGCAGTCAGACTCAGTTACTTGGTTGATGGCATGTAATACAACCCAAGACCCTTGCTCACAGTGTCTGTATTGTCTGGTGTAAAATATTAGCACTTAATAACAAGGTACCATCACATAGCTGGAGTATTAAGGCGGACTCACACGGGTTGGCCCGTCGAATCGATGTGCCGAATTCAACCAAGGCATGTTGTCTCAGTGATTAATCGAATTCAACAAATGGTACAATTATATCAGCTGCTCAAAGAAGCATCAGTTGTGTCACAAGTGTGTAGATTTTGTTATTCGGCAAGTTGGATGTGGCGCGGCCAATAAAATTGCGTTTTGGTGTCGTGGTAAATGTTTTCATAGAAGCGTGAAACTTGGCTTCATCTGTTTCAAACAAACTATGCCTTGATTTTTCACGGGAGGAACCTTAACGTGTCATGTCCCTATTATCTGAGATGGTTGTATGCTCTGTGCATGTCGCGGTGGAGAATCCAGTCTTTCATTCAACTACTTCTCTTTTTCCTTGCTTTGGCATTGACGTCTTCTTCACATAGTATCGCTCAGCTGATAACTGCTGCTAAGTCTGCTTCAGACATTTTGAGGGGCAGTGGGGTAGCCTAGTGGTTAAAGCGTTGGCTCGTCACACCGAAGACCCAGGTTCAATTCCCCACATGGGTACAATGTGTGAAGCCCATTTCTGGTGTACCCTGCCATGATATTGCTGTAATATTGCTAAAACGGCGTAAAACCAAACTCGCTCACATTTTGATACCATGGAACCCAAATACCGCAAGATATTATAAGATCGACACTAATATCTGCCAATGGAATCGTGTGAGTGGTAGCAAATCGATCAGTCGATATTTGTTACAAACCCCGGAACATGTTGTACAGTGTATGGAAATCGGCAGGTCATTACGACATGCCAACCTGTGTGAGTTACGCTTTACTGAATGTGGCATTAAGCAACAAACTAACATATTTAACATGTTATATTTGGGATTACACTTTCTTAGTAAAGTACATATTCTAGTACTTTTGTTGGGTTGAGTCCCATCCAGGAATCGAACCCACACCCTCAGTCAGGCACTAATCCCCAGCACACAAAGTCAGCCACCTAACCCGCTCAGCCACCATGACTTCCACTATGAAAGTGTAATCCCAAATATAACATTACATTTTACCACTTTCTAAATGGCACTGTGTAATCAAGCTAATATATTGTCGTTTTCATACCAGCTCTACTAGAACAAAAGGCTGCTCTACAACGCCGTGCTGTGTCCAAGCTGGAGAGGGATGTCCTGGAGGATAAGTACTTACGGATCTATGAAGAAAACATCATCCTGAAGAAACATGCCAGAAAACAGGAAGATAAGATCAAACGGTACAGTACTGTTGACTATACCCAAAAATGTCTCTCTAGAAAACTGATCAAGATTCAGATCAATATTTGTTGTTTTGATTGTAATTCATTAAACATGATTTGCATGTTTTTCACAAGATCAAAGATGAAAGTTTCAAAATTCACGTTCATGATTAATTTATGTCAATGATGGGTACTTTAATAATTTCATGATATAATCACTGATATATTTCTTTGATATGGAACAGGCACTGTGAAGAGAGTTAATGGTTTTGGTTAATTTATGGTGTCACTGTTGTCCATATAAATTGGTTGTTTATATCATGTTTCTACAGGTAAATTGTCTTTTATGGAACTACTTTTACACACTGAATGTTCTTTTGTATGCTGTAGTAATTGTAGGATATATTTGTGATTGTGGATGTGATAAAATGTGTACATTCCCATGTAACTTTATACCAGTATGCAAAAGAAAACATAAAACTAATGTGTCTTTGCTATAACCTAAATGTTAAAAGCTAAAATGTCTTAAGCCCAGATTCAATTGCCATAGCCATTTACAGGACGCAAATTCCTGCATCCTATATGCATAAAAATTGACAATGGACGCAGCAAAATTTATTAGAGCATCCACAGGTACTCAGAAAAAGTCCAAATACTTTTTGTAAAAATTCCAGTCAGTGACAATAAGTTATCACTGAGTTTGCTACTAGCTGGGTTATGGTGTTATTTGCAATTTTATTACTGTAACAATGTGATGATCATGATACACAATACAATAACAGTATTAATAATAATATATAAGTGTCTGGGACACCCATTTTATGGTCAAGGACCCCTTAAAATTAAGAGTATGAGTCCCAAGGACCCTCAAATACAAGACTCCATGTAAATCCCTGCATAGGAGAAGACTACTGGGATGCGTAACCCCCTTAAGTTGGAATGCTGATAGTGTCTATATCTTTATTCAGAATTGTGACCTCTGGGTCTAGTACCCCGTCTTTTTTCATTTTGTAATGTAAATGTGTATCTCTTTATTTATTATGGAAATTTCAGGGTCCCATAACCCCCTTTCATTTTGAACACTGTTAATGTATGTATCTTCATTCAGAATGACAACTTCTGGAACCAATAACCCCTCTTTTTCTCTGTAAATGTGTGTCTGTTTATTCAGAATGGTGACTCCAGAGTCCCATGATCCCTCTTCATTTTGAACACTGTTAATGTACATATCTTTTTCAGAATGGCAACCAAGTTGCTGCGACTGGTTAATGACAAGAAGAAACTTGATTCAGATGGAGGGGGAGGTAAGACTTTTATGGGTATTTCAACTATTTTCATTACTGTAGGATCAATTGTGAATGTGTTGATTAGCATGATTAAGTAATGTAATTTCAGACTCTTAAGAAGTACAACCCGTGAAGAGCTGGGTTAGAATATTGATCTTCAGTAACCCATGCTTGTCGTAAGAGGCGACTAACGGGATTGGGTGGTCAGGCTCGCTGACTTGGTTGACACAGGTCATCAGTTCCCAATTACGTAGATCGATGCTCAGGGATCGTTTCGTATCGCTCACAAATGTTGCTCTTTGTTAGTTATGTGCACAATTAGGCTTCGCTATTGTTGCTTTATGCTAGTATTTCAGTAGCTTTGCTGTAGCAGTTAAAATATCGCCTGTGCGTTGTTGTTTTTCTGTGTACTGTGTGTGCATATTTCAATATGTTAAACAGTCCTTGCTATTAGTCATAGCGCGGTTCTGTTTTTTGCAGTCCAATGAGTGTGATACCTGTAGCGATACCTTATCGCCTCAGGATCGCCACCTTGTATGTTTGCGTGGCTTGGCGGAAGAAGCCCATGATGAGCATGGTTGTGCCATGTGTCAGGCATTCTCCCCTCGTTCCCTCAAGTCGCGACATGATGTTCTACACGTCTTTGCTTCGGGGGGGAACATTTGGACGCAGGAGCCTCCCTCTAAAGGGGATAAGGAAAAAAAGGCTAAGAAAAAGAAGAGTTCCTCTTCTTCTACGTCTGTATCAGGGGATACAGCGCCTAAACGGGCGAAGGGTGCGGGATCTTCGGTCCCTTCATCAGCCATTCCTTCCACTTCACAGGCACCTTCCCTTCCAAATGTCCCTGTTTCAAATCCATTAACATTTGAACTAATCTCTGATCTTTTACAGCATCAAATGGCGTCAGTTCACTCGCTTCATATCTGACGCGATGTCCGATCTCTGTCAGGAGATCGGCATCCGTTCGGGTACTGGGGGGTGTCCCGTTTCTGTGGTGGGCAGTGTCCCCAACCCTAGCTTAGGCTCTGGTGTGGGGACTTCTGTCGAGGGGGTGTCTGCACCGAGCGTCATCTCGGTGGCTGGCCACCCCTCCGCTACTGTGTCTACTACCAGTCCGAGCCTTGGCTCTGGGCTGGGGTTGGTAGTTGGTGCCGGTGCTTAGGGTACTGTCCCTGTAGTTTCCGCTACCCCCTCGCTTTTGGCCCCACCGCTTGCGTTAGCTTTGCCGGGCCATTCGGTGTCGGCCCCGTTAGGTTTGCCATTGGGGAATCCCGTGTCGGGCTCTTTCTCGTATCGCCTCCGTGACTCAGTGTCGAGTCTTGGGTCAGTCGTACCGGGCACCTCGGCTCTGCTCGAGCCTCTGTCACTCTCCGTAGGCCCCTCGGACGAACCCTCGGAGCTATCTCTAGACACAGAGACTTCGCTCCAGGATGATCGGTTCGAGGAGGCTATGGATGAGGGTAGGGGAGGTCAGGTACTCCATCAGTATCGCTCGGTGCATCCCTGAGACTGGTGCGGGAACGCATTGCCTCTGTCTTACCTCAGGTTGACGTCAGTTCTGGCACTCCCGACCCTACGGAGTTTCGCCTCCCCGGGGAGGCATTTGCTCCTACTAAAGTGGCAGTCTCACGGCTACGCATTTTGCCTTCAGTCTTAGCTGAAGTTATTAACCCACTCCTCTGTGGTACCAGGTCCAGGCTCGACTTGCCCAAACTCGACCGCCGGTACCTCATGGGTGAGGCCGGCCTATATGATCCCCCAGTGGTAGACAATTGTGTCTATGCGTCGGTTGCCCTGGGGGCTTCATCCGGTAGCTCGCTTGCCAAACAAGGCCGTCGTCTTCCGCCATTCACTGCCAACGCCACGGCACTCAAGTCCGCGTATCGCTCATTTGAGGAGCAGTACCGCAACGCGGTCACGTGCCTCAAGGTTACCATCCATACTGCCTATATCTCGGTATTGCAGAGGCAATTAGTGGATGTGGGCGGGGTCGAGGAAGATGCGTCTTCCTCCACCTTGGCTGGGCAGTTGAAGGAGGTCCAGTCACATCTGGCGCACGACTCTATTAGGTCGTCGGCTTGCCAAATGATGTCGGCGGTTATGGGCCTCCGTCGCCTTTGGCTCTCGGTTGCGCGGTACTCTCTCGCCACGCAACAGGCACTACTGGCGTTGCCATTCTGGATGGGTTCTACCCTGTTCCCCGGGGCAGCTACAGTAGTCCGGGAGGCCGCGGAGGCTGTATCAACCTTCAAGGACTCTAAGCCTTGTTTGAGCAGCCTCACTCCTCTCGCGCGCGGCGCCCGGTACTTCCCTCCGCTTATCCTTCTGCCTCGGCGAAGGAACCTGTTAAATAGGCTCAGCCATTACAGTCTCGGAAGGGCAAAGGCAGAGGCAGGGGCAAGGGCAAGGCTGCGGAGCCCCACCAGCCTTTTCAGAGGAAGAGGAAGTCAGCCCCGGCTTCCCAGCTATAATTCCTCCGGAGCTCTTGTTGGTACCAGATCAAGCAGTCAGAGTACTGCCTACTTCTGGTATCCATTGCCTCATGCCAAATATCCCTGTGGGTGGTCGACTTTCCTTCTTCCTGTCCGAATAGGAAAAGGTCACCTCCAATTCCTAGGTCCTGTCCACACTCAGGGAAGGCCACATGCCACAGTGGAAGCGAGACCCACCTCCCTTCTCCAGGATCCGTTGCACTCCAGTGCCGGCTGCCCGCGGAGAAGGCAGGGGCACTCCGTGACGAGGTCCAGTCATTACTGGACAAGGCAGCCATCGAGGTGACAGGAAGAGGTGGGTTATTACTCGGTTATTATTTCCTTGTCACCAAAAGGACGGAGGGTTCAGACCTATTTTAAATCTCAAAGGTCTGAACGACATGATAGAGGTACCGTCCTTCAAGATGGAGACACTCGCGCTCAGTGATCTCATCTGTGGAGAAGGGAGATTGGCTCACGTCAATCGACCTCAAAGACGCTGGTACCTCCATGTCCCAATGCACCACGAGTTTCCTTCGACGGGAGGTGCTATCAGTTTCGGGTGCTCCCGCTTCGGCTTCTCCACGGCACCAAGGGTGTTCACTAACTCTTAGCTAATTCCAGCACAGGTTGCCAGGTCGCAGGGCAGGTGTTGTCACCCGCATCTAGACTACCCGCTCCTCCGAGCGCTTGCTACTCACTTGAGTCGAAGTTGCGACACTTTCCGTGATGAGTATACTCACCAAGTTGGGCTGGGCTATCAATCTCAAGAAGTCAGAACTGGTTCCCACACAGGATCTGGTGTTCTTGGGAGCGAGATTCGAGACAGCGCGAGGCATGGTCTCCCTGTCTCCAGACAGCGTCACCAAAGTTCAGAGAGTTGTGTTACAATTTCTCAGCCTCAGCTCGGACTTGGTTCCAGTTGCTAGGCAACATGGCGGCGACAGTGGACATTGTCTGGCGAGCGCGGTTGAGGTTGCGACCCATTCAGCAAGCTTTAGCTCAAATGTGGTTTCACTCCCAGAGTTACGAGATGATTCTCCACACTCCGGAGTGGCTAATTCCTCATTTGCGGTGGTGGACATTGGTGGGGAATTTATCCAGGGTGATCCCCTTGGACATCCCTTCTCCAGATCTCTCGATTCAGACAGACGCCTCCCTCTCAGGGTGGGGAGGCGTTCTGGGTGACCTATCAGTCTCAGGCCTGTGGTCACAGAGCGAGGAGCAACTGCACATCAATGTGCTAGAATTGAGAGCAGTCCGCCTAGTGTTCGAACGCTTCCGGGAGCAGGTTCGTCTCGAGATGGACAACCTAACGGCAATGACCTATATCCTGAAGCAGGGCAGTACGGTTTCCACGTCTCTCCTGCAGGAGGCGTGGCAGTTTCTGCTCTGGTGCGACATACGGGTGATGCATGTTTATCTCCCCAGGGTGGACAACGTTCGAGCAGACGCGCTCTCTCGATGCATCCTGGCCCCGCACGAGTGGATGCTCAATCAGGAGATATTCGGGATTATCTCCCAGTTGTTCGGGTCGTTCCAGGTGGATCTGTTTGCTTCTGGAGGGACGAAACCAGATTCCGGTATTTTGTTCTCGGATATCGGATCCGAGAGCCATCGCCTCGGATGCTTTCCAGCTCGATTTGACGGGCAGGGTACTGTGGGCGTTCCCTTCATTACCCCTGATTCCCAAGGTCCTCTCGCAACTTGCCACCCAACTTGCCACTTGCCCGGACCTACTATCCCAGAACGGAGTGCCGCACCCAAATCCCAGGATTCAGTGGGTGACCTGGCCACTGTCCGGAATCGCCTCCAAGCGAGCAGAATTCCTGCACCAGTTGCAGACACAATTCTGGCTTCGCGGAGGGATTCGACAAACGTTCAATTTTAGGATAGATGAGCCTGTTATACGCGCTGGTGTGTCGGCAGAGGGATTCTCGATCCCTTTTCTTCAACTGTAGTTGAAGTGCTGGAGTTTTTACAGTCTCGGTTAGAGGCCTGCTTGGCCGCGTCTACTATCCGGGGCTACTCCACGGCAATCCATGTACCTGCCGACGGTGCTCTCTTGGGGCAGCACCCTCTTGTGCAGCGCTTTTTAGCAGGCGTGGACAGAATCCGTCCGACTGACGGATTAGTTCCCCGTGGGACTTGTCAATTGTTCTTGATTGGATGTCCGGTCCTCTCTTTTACGATTAGTCGTCACTTTCACTCCAGCTGTTAAGTTGGAACGCTGCCTTTTTTGTGGCGGTAACGTCTGGCCGGCGGGTAGGCGATATCCAAGCGATGACAGCGGATCCTGCTCTGACTGTCTTTCACAAAGACAGATTCAGTATTCGGTTGCCTTACTGTCCTAAGATGGCAGGCGCCTTTCACATAACGGCGCCTATTGAACTGCCAGCTTTCACTCAGCTTCCATCGTCCGGTACCTCTCTTCAAAGTGCTCACGTCTTAGATGTCCGTATGACTCTCAAGGCTTATATCAAACGAATGGCTGCTATCAGGAAAGATAAGCAGCTGTTCTGCTGTTATGGCAGTGGTAAGGCTGGTCTTCCGGCGGAAAAAGCAGACCATATCTAGGTGGCTTGTCTCTGCCATTTGTATGAGTTACACTCACAAAGTGTTAACTATTCCTGAGGGGTTAAAGGCTCATTCGGTTAGGGCAGTGGCTACATCAAAGGCATATGCCGCGGCACTGCCCATTGAGGAGATCTGCTCAGCGGCTATTTGGAGCCGACCGAGTACGTTCATCCACTATTACCAGCTGGACAAACACTCACGGGAACGTGCTCGGTTTTACCAGACAGTTCTCACCAGTGGGCAGTGTTGTGACTCTCTGGTTGAATGAGCTTTCAAAGTCATGATTGTTGTTTGCTTCTTGGTGTCGGTTATAAAAATTCCATAATTTTATCGGTGGTGGTATCATATTGGTGGTGGTTTTTACTGATTTTATTGGCTCTAGCGTTGCTTTACGCTATATCCACTGTTTTTTCCCCTGCACCACGCTTCGCTGGTTTGGGATTGTGAGTGGAATATTTAGGACTTGCCCATACATTCCTTCCCATTTTGATGGTTGGGGGGTGGGACTTACGTCCATCATTATAATTTTGCCAGTAGCATTTAAGCTAGGCTCTATATACCCCGCCTTGCCATGCCCCCGCCTGATTGACATCAGCGGTCAGGTGACTCGGTAAGTGTGTTTTTCTCTCTCTCTTGGTTTCGGCTGTGCCTTCGATTGAACTGGAGGGTATGTTAGCCAGACAGAATACCGCTCCCGACTCGCCACCGTTAGGAGTCTGTCTTATGCTTATATGTACCCCAAGGAGGACTTCTTCTGAAAAAGAATTATACAAACCTGTAGAGGTTATGAATTCTTTGAAGAAAGTCCTCCTTGGGGTACGGCTGCCCACCTCCCCTCATTCTGTCTGATACATTCAGCATGAAAAGTGAGGTACGAGGTAAGCAGCCAGAGTTACCTGCTCCAGGCTGTGAGGGGCCCTGTGAGGACCCCTGTAGGGGTGGTCTCACTAAACAAAACGAGTTTTTGTTTGGTAAAATATTTTATTGAAATATTGTTACAACTGTCGTAGGTATTTTAAAATGGACATTTTAATGCTTATATGTACCCCAAGGAGGACTTTCTTCAAAGAATTCATAACCTCTACAGGTTTGTATATATATTGCAGACAGCGCCGTAAAACTAAACTCACTCACTCACTCAAGATGCACAATACATGTGAATGCAACATTAATCCCCATTCACATGTAAACTCATCTATGTGTCATTAGCATCACTAAACCAGCTATACCAGTTCTCAATTTTGTATTGAAAGGTGGGAAGAAGGTACGCGACATTGAAGCTGAAGAAAGGATGGAGGAGATGCATGAGAGGATGAGAGAATATGAGAAGCAAAATGCTCAGCTTAAAGAAAAGGTAATGCTGTAACATCACATCCATAGTAGTGAGCATGATACATGATGTAATTAAGTGAATGTTTGAAATATGAGCTTGGAAGTCAAGGGATCCTTGACATAACCTCAGTGTTAAAGGTTAAGGTGGACCTGAGATGCAAGTACTATAGTAACAACCTGCTCAAATCCCTATGGACCTCCGTTGATTGTTGAAGTGTTGCATCGATCTGTTCATGTATATCACACATAGAAATGGTTCAGAATAAAAAAAATGACCTAAAAAACCAGAGCAATATTTTGGCAGTTAATGATGTGTCGTTATGTCACTTTTTCCTGATTCTGTCATGTGTTTCAGTTGATGTTGGCCAAACAACAAGCTAATGCCGCCAGTAAAAGGCCAACAGCTTATGATCACGTTCAGTCAAGAATCAATACGGTATGGCAGACAGTTTTGGACTACAATGTATATGTACCAAAACTTGACTATGAAGTATTTATTTTTACAGGTCAGACCATACAACTGATTTTCTATTAACATAAAGCAGCATTACAGATGTTTGAGAAGATTAAACTTTAGTTAATATCCTTAGTTGGAGTGAGTCATGTTCATTAAACAAGTTCTCAATATTGACATAAATATGTGAACAAACCCTATTTATCCTGATGTAATGAACTCATATTTGTCAGATATTGTTTTCCGTGCCATTAAATTCCATCTAAGAGACTGTGGAATTTCCATAGCATCACTTATAGTTCCCTTACAGGAAGTGCAGGAATATTCAAACGATCTTTCTGGGGCAGTGGGGTAGCCTAGTGGTTAAAGTGTCCGCTGGTCACTGGGTTTGATTCCCCATATGAGTACAATGTGGGAAGCCCATTTCTGGTGTCACCCGCCATGTGCATTTGATTTTTATTTTATGAACAAGCTTCTATAATGAAAGGGGTTGTGGGGTACCCTAGGGGTGAAAGCATTTGTCGTCACACCAAAGACCCAGGTTGATTCCCCACATGGGTACAATGTGTGAAGCCCATTTCTGGTGTCCCCCACTGTGCCTAAAAGCGGCATAAAACCAAATTCAGCCACTCACTCATTGTATAATGAAGCAAAGGCCAAAGCTCACATGGTATATGTCATTCTGCTTTGTAAAACCATATCGACACCCTGTGTGTGTGCCTCATGTAAACAGTTAATCATTCACAATGCACAAACAGGATTAGTTTTATTGTGACAAGCAAATTATGTCACATTAAACATGACCTCATTAGACCCATACAAGCCGACTGAGTGGATGGCAGAGTCTTCAATGATAAATATTCCCCTGATCTGTTTAGGGTATTGCCAAACAGCAGACCATTCAGATTGACCCCCGAATAACCAAGAATCTCCGAGTAATGGGACCTCCAATGGAGACTGGCCGAAGGTAAGATATTGATCCCGAGTTGGCTCTCATTATCATTTGATTCCAATTATTATCAATCACTAAGATTTCTGTGCATTTGTTTCATTTTATGGCAGTGTATTTATACAAATTTATGATGTTTGGATAAAACGATTCGTAAAGTTTTCGTTGTGCTGTGAACTAGTTCTCACGCTAGTTGTCCCTTGGGATTCAGACTTAGAATAGGTCCAACATCCTATGCTGGTCATGATCAGTTGGTCAGACTTATTGACTTGGTTATTACATGTCATCATACCCAACTGAGTGGATTATAGCTCACATTATCATCACCGGATTGTCTGGTCCATACTGAATTATTTCCACACAAATGTCATACAAGTGGAATATTGCTAAGCACTGTGTTTCAGAACAAACTGTAACCACTTTGAGACAACTATCCCTTTGTCTACTTTCTTGACTTTTCCTTTCATTTGCTTCTGTAGAGGTCCGCACAGCCCCACTGGTCCCAGATATGGTCACAGTGTGTTAGAAGAAACTAGACATGAGAAGAGGAATCTGTAAGTTCTTCATATTTCTCTATTGCAGAAAGTCACATACTTTGGCCCTAAATTATTGAATTTTTAAACCTGGAGAGATGAATTATTTTAACATGGATAAAATCATTTTGTTTGTTATATATTTTGATGCTGGTTATGATGTTGACTTGATGAGGTGGGAAGCAGCTGTTTCCACTATGCTTTAACTGGGTGTGATGAGAAGTATATGTTACCTGGGTGTGATGTGAAGTAAATGTTACCTGTGGGTGATGAGATGTAAATGTTACCTGTGTGTGATGAGATGTAAATGTTACCTGTGTGTGATGTGAAGTATATGTTACCTTGGTGTGATGTGAAGTAAATGTTACCTGTGTGTGATGAGATGTAAATGTTACCTGTGTGTGATGAGAAGTATATGTTACCTGTGTGTGATGTGAAGTAAATGTTACCTGTGTGTGATGAGAAGTTTATGTTACCTGTGTGTGATGTGAAGTCTATGTTACCTGTGTGTGATGTGAAGTAAATGTTACCTGTGTGTGATGAGATGTAAATGTTACCTGGGTGTGATGAGATGTAAATGTTACCTGTGTGTGATGAGAAGTATATGTTACCTGTGTGTGATGTGAAGTATATGTTACCTGTGTGTGATGAGAAGTATATGTTACCTGTGTGTGATGAGAAGTATATGTTACCTGTGTGTGATGTGAAGTATATGTTACCTGTGTGTGATAAAGAAGTATATGTTACCTGTGTGTGATGTGAAGTAAATGTTACCTGTGTGTGATGAGATGTAAATGTTACCTATGTGTGATGAGATGTTAATGTTACCTATGTGTGATGAGATGTAAATGTTACCTGTGTGTGACAAGATGTAAATGTTATCTGTGTGTGACTATATGTAAATGTTACCTGTGTGTGACGAGAAGTAAATGCAGGGCTCCAGATAACTTTTGGGGGTGCGAGTGTACTTACACATCATATTGCAAGTGGAGGTGTACTGAGAATTTTGAAGGAGTACTGACATGTTTTTGTGTGAGCGAGTTAGTGATGTGGTTTGTCTGGACGATTCATCGATCACTATTTCCAACCATGTATTTGTATTTGAAGACGCGTGAGAAATAACTGAGCGACCATGTGATGCGCGAAATATCAGGTCCGACTGGATATAAATAGGAACAGTGTAGTTTTTAACCAATCGAAAAATAGTGACGGATATCGTTCCATGGCAACGCAAGGGATTCCTACTGTCGGGGTTTCCTCATGTGTCAAATCGTGTTTCGCAAAAGAAACTCTTGACAACAAGTATTTATCCGAAATAGATTTCCATTTGCACGATATGCATGGAAATTAAATGTTAGACGTACAAAGGTATTTATGTGCGTATACGATATGCTTGAAATCTTATATTATGTCGTACTTACCTTTGAGGTACATTTTGCCTGTAACCCTTTATCTGTAGCCCTGTAAATGTTAACTGTGTTTGACGAGAAAAAAATGTTACCTGTGTGTGACTAGAAGTAAATGTTTCCAGTGTGTGATAAATTGTGAATGTTACCTGTGTAAGTAAATGTTACCTGGGTGTGATGAGAAGTAAATGTTACCTGGGTGTGATGAGATGTAAATGTTACCTCTGTGTGATGAGAAGTAAATGTTACCTGTGTGTGATGAGATGTATATTTTATCTGTGTGTGACAAGAAGTAAATGTTAACTGTGTGACGAGAAGTAAATGTTACCTCGGTGTGATGAGATGTAAATGTTACCTATATGTGACGAAATGTAAATGTTACCTATGTGTGACGAGATGTAAATGTTACCTATGTGTGATGAGATGTAAATGTTACCTATGTGTGATGAGATGTTAATGTTATCTATGTGTGATGAGATGTAAATGTTACCTGTGTGTGACAAGATGTAAATGTTATCTGTGTGTGACTATATGTAAATGTTACCTGTGTGTGACGAGAAGTAAATGCAGGGCTCCAGATAACTTTTGAGGGTGCGAGTGTACTTACACATCATATTGCAAGTGGAGGTGTACTGAGAATTTTGAAGGAGTACTGACATGTTTTTGTGTGAGCGAGTTAGTGATGTGGTTTGTCTGGACGATTCATCGATCACTATTTCCAACCATGTATTTGTATTTGAAGACGCGTGAGAAATAACTGAGCGACCATGTGATGCGCGAAATATCAGGTCCGACTGGATATAAATAGGAACAGTGTAGTTTTTAACCAATCGAAAAATAGTGACGGATATCGTTCCATGGCAACGCAAGGGATTCCTACTGTCGGGGTTTCCTCATGTGTCAAATCGTGTTTCGCAAAAGAAACTCTTGACAACAAGTATTTATCCGAAATAGATTTCCATTTGCACGATATGCATGGAAATTAAATGTTAGACGTACAAAGGTATTTATGTGCGTACACGATATGCTTGAAATCTTATATTATGTCGTACTTAATTTTGAGGCGTACATTTTGCCTGTACGCCCTTTATCTGTAGCCCTGTAAATGTTAACTGTGTTTGACGAGAAAAAAATGTTACCTGTGTGTGACTAGAAGTAAATGTTTCCAGTGTGTGATAAATTGTGAATGTTACCTGTGTAAGTAAATGTTACCTGGATGTGATGAGAAGTAAATGTTACCTGGGTGTGATGAGATGTAAATGTTACCTCTGTGTGATGAGAAGTAAATGTTACCTGTGTGTGATGAGATGTATATTTTATCTGTGTGTGACAAGAAGTAAATGTTAACTGTGTGACGAGAAGTAAATGTTACCTGGGTGTGATGAGATGTAAATGTTACCTATATGTGACGAAATGTAAATGTTACCTATGTGTGACGAGATGTAAATGTTACCTATGTGTGATGAGATGTAAATGTTACCTATGTGTGACGAAATGTAAATGTTACCTGCGTGTGACGAGATGTAAATGTTACCTATGTGTGATGAGAAGTATATGTTACCTGCGTGTGACGAGATGTAAATGTTACCTATGTGTGACGAAATGTAAATGTTATCTGTGTGTGGTGAGATGTATAATTTATCTGTGTGTGACAAGAAGTAAATGTTAACTGTGTGACGAGAAGTAAATGTTACCTGTGTGTGATGAGATGTAAATGTTACCTGTGTGTGATGAGAAGTAAATGTTACCTATGTGTGACGAAATGTAAATGTTACCTGTGTGTGGTGAGATGTATAATTTATCTGTGTGTGACAAGAAGTAAATGTTAACTGTGTGATGAGAAGTAAATGTTACCTGGTGTGATGAGATGTAAATGTTACCTGTGTGTGATAAGATGTAAATGTTACCTGTGTGTAATGAGAAGTAAATGTCACCTGTATGTGATGAGTAATTGTTATATATGTTTGATGAGAAGAAGCTGTTGATTCTTACAATTTTAGATAGACATTCATAGGCCATACAATGAATCCTACTTCCAATGTCAGATGTAAACCTATATCCTCATTTCATGATTACAGGTTTACTGATGCTTCAGAACATTTGTTGTGCTCTTGCTAATGGCATGGACGATTGTAAAACATGTCGCTAACATACAGTGATGCTACAAACTTTGTTACAGTATATGTAAACACTGACGTCGGAAAACATATGACGTCCGAAAACACATAATCTGACTATACTTATTACTGTACTTACAACAGCCATGACTCCAGTCACCATCTTTGCCTCTTCATTTTATTTCAGACAACACTACGTGAATGAGCTACAAGAACGAATCAATGTTTATGAACTTGAAATAGAAAGTCTGAAAGAACAGGTTAGTGGTGTTAACTAGACCAGGAACATGTTGTGACTTGACTAGTTGTGTGTTTGACTGTGCCATTTAGATTAAGTAGAAATGGGTTTAACATTATAATGAGATCATTCCATATATGGAATCATTTGTTTGTTGATTTATCATCTAGTATTGTTTGTTTTCTTCAGAATCGTATGAGGGAATCAGAATTCGAAGAAGATATTCTGAAGATCAAACAGCAAATTACTGCTGAACAAAAGTAAGATATGTTTTCCTATCATTGTTAAATATTTTAAAGAACATCCATGGAGCACAGGGGTGAAGTGGTTAGTGTGCTTGCCTCTCACACCAAAAGCCTGGGTTCAAATCCCGGTGGAGACACCAAAAATTTGTGACCTGGGTCTTATATTGTGTTGTGTCCCTGGGCAAGGCACTTTGTCCACATTGCACTCAGTCCACCCAGTTGTTTAAAATGGGTACCTGAGAAGCGGATGTACGGACCTATATGGTCCCGCGAAGCACTTAGTAGTGGCTATGAAAGTACAATTCCGTCAGGGTAATAATGTAACGCCAGAGAACAGCATAGCGTTGGATCCTAGGTGCAAAAATTAGCATTATTATCATTATTATTAAATGTAGTTTTATTTCTATTAGTTCTGAATACTTCTATGACAATGAATTGTTTTTCAGAGTTAACCTACAAGAGAACATTGATATGATCCGACTCCAGCGGCAAGTGAAGGAGAAGTCCACTCGTCTGACGGCCATCCAAGACAAATACTCATCACTGGAGGAGGTGAGGTCTTGTTATACATAGTTTTATCAACTTGTATTATTTCAACCACAGTTGACAATATCATTAGTGTTTGATATCTAGGTTTCATTGTGTTTAAAATCCTCTTTCTAGATTGTAAAAGAAGCTGAAATTGTCTTAATGCTTTTTCTAAACGCAATTTCTACATCTGAATCAGAGAGTCCAGGGTTCTAAATTCATTCTATTTCAGTGTCAATGGCACAGTTTGTGGTGCCTGAAAATCCTATGTTGAACATTAATAACTTGTGGCAATGGGTAATATTAAAGAACGAGGGATTGCCTGTTTCATATGTAAGCAATAATAATGTTCCTCTTTTCCTCAGAACACTCGCGTGATAAAGATGAACCATGACCAGGTGCTGATGAAAATGGAGGAGCTGAACATGAAGCTAAAGGATGAAGAAAACAAGAGCCTTACTCTGCAGAATGAACTCAAGTACAACTCGGCCAATCAGAGGAAGGTGGTGGAGGTAGGAGGACTCTCGATGTCTGCTGATTACTACTTACATCAACATACATGACTATGCAAAGTACAGAATGTATTTTGATAACATCAGGGGATGGGGGTCCAGTAGTTGCATCCCTTGGGCATGATAGCAACCTATGATTGTGGGTTTGAATCCTGATTGACCCGATTATGTTTCTAGGTTTGTCTGCACCATGTCATGCAAATACTTCTGGACCTGTGAAGATTAGAATTGATCTTCAGTAACCCATGCTTGTCGTAAGAGGCGACTAACTGGATCGGGTGTCATGCTTGCTGACTTGGTTGACACATGTCATCTTATCCCAATTGCGTAGATCGATGCTCATGCTGTTGTTGATCACTGGATTGTATGGTCCATTTAAAGACTGCCCCCATATAGCTGCCACCAGATTATTTACAGACTGCCCCCATATAGCTGCCACCAGATTATTTACAGACTGCCCCCATATAGCTGCCACCAGATTATTAACAGACTGCCACCATATAGCTGCAACCAATGATCTGTCATGGTGGCCTCATGGTGTAGATGGTTGCTCATACTATTACTCACTGGTTTGCCCAGTCCAGACTTTCTTATTTACAGACATCATGATATAACTGGAATGTTGCTGAGTGTCGTGGTAGACGGCATCTACTTATGCACTGATAACTTGCATAAGGAATATTCCTTGTTTCTTTGAACAGCTTGAAGAGCAGGTGTCTGACCTGCAGAAGGAAAGCCAAATCTTGAAAGAAGCAAACGAAAAGCTTGTTAGCAGGTAAGGTCATTTACAAACAATCAAGAATACTGACTTTTCTTTCAAAGACATATGCATTGATATCTTTTTGTCAGAAGATATTGTAATATATGTGTTAGGATAATCTTTAGTCAGATGAAAGCACAAAGATAATTACAACTCCAGTACATTAACATGGACTAGTAGTCATAATGCTAAGATATGGAATGGGGGCCTGCAAGATAAATGATCGTGAAACTCAAACATTACCACAATTGTGATGGATCAAATCTGAGGCCCATTTGACATTTTGTAACAAAATTTATTATATACCCATGTAAACTTAGGATAGCAATACAGGGGTGCAATACGGATGGCGTGGCCAAATTCCATATTGCACCCCAGATTCCGTATTGAACCCCTGCCGGTTCTACTTATTAAGTAACAGATTAATGAAAGATAAGAGGGTATATAAAAAATATAGAAAGTCATACTAGTGCATTTGGATGTTTTGTATTGAACTGAAGATGTCATGGGAGCAGAGAAACGAGTTCGAAGAAACGAACATCTCATTCAATGCAGAACATCCAAATGAACTAGTATGACGTCCTATGTATATAATAAAACCCATATTCTGGCTTAAAGAATGCTTTCTAAAAGAGTCTTAAGGCTATGTTAAGCTGGTATTGTATGTACATTGTTACAGTGCATTTGATCTTGAGAGAGAGCGTGAATGGAGGCAGCGGGAGAACGCCCTTAAAGTGCAGATAGCACAGCTGGAGGCCACACTCAAGGCCGACCTTGGAGAGAAGGGGGGCATCATTGATAAATATGCAATGGAGAGGGGTAAGTTGTTTGTTGTGATTATTTTAGTCAAATCCTGTGCACAAGTATTTTTTAATTAACATACATTGCTCCTTTGTTTCTGGTTTTTATTGACACACATTTTGAAATGATATGAAAAGCATATGAAATATTTCCAAAAGTTAAATAGTGTATGATATAGGAATATGAGGTCTAGCATTTTTTTTCAGGTTTTATAGAACATGTATAAGATTGTTGTCTCAACTATCAATCTTTGCAAAAGTTCTTTTACCACTAGCTTCATGTCATACAACATGTGGTTTGTGTGAGGTCCTTTCATCACGTTGAGGCACCAGGGATATATTTCAACCATGCCATCTGACCTGAATTACAAGTATATTCTATCTCTGGTATCTATTGAGTTCATTCCTCACAGCAGTAAGCAGTGCCTGTATATGTGTTCCAGATGAGAACGAGAAGCTAGCGCGTGACTTCCAGGAACTGCAGGTCAAGTACTTCCAGATCAAGGAGCAGTATGACGACCTGGAGGAAAAAATGAAGTTCTTCACCAAGGTATGCAGCCATCTTCAGCAGTTTAGGAACAGTGGCCTGGTGGTTTAAGCTTCAGCTTGTACTATTGTCCATATGGGTACAATGTGTGAAGCCTAATTCCCGTGGCTGAATTATACTGAAAGAAGTGTAAAGTCCTACTAACTCAGGAATTTACTGTGCAGAGTTGCATCTCTTACCTATCTCAGGATCCATCCCAAATCTGTCCCCATGTTGATCCTTTGTCTTGTCAGCACTAGGTCCTTGCTAGTGGCTTCACTTAAATACGTAATGTCTAAGATCACTTTCATCTGTGGGCGGTTGGGTAGCCTAGTTGTTTAAGTGAAGACCCAGATTCGATTCTCCACATGGGTACAATGTGTGAAGCGCATTTCTGGTGTCCCCCATTGTGATATTGCTGGAAGATTGCTAAAAGCGGCATAAAACCATGCTCACTCACTCACTCACTCTTTCATCTATTTCTGTAACCAAACTTTCCACATTAATCTGGCATGCAGGAACACATTGTCAGGAAATGACAGCCTTGTACTCTTGCCTCGGGAAGACAGCTGTGACTTGGCCCAAATTATTCACTTATAGTCTGAAATTGTATCTGCCTTGTATAAGGATTATGTAGAACTTGGACATCAGTAAGCACAATATGTTATACATAGTACCAACTAAGTGAGTTGCTCCATCCTGTGCAGGGAAGTGCTGTAGATTTCACGGAGATGGAGGAGGCCCTGGTATTGGTCAAGCAGAAGAAACAGAAGGCCATGCCACAGCCGGACTTCCTGCAGCAGGTCGACAACGAGATGACCAAAGGTCAGGAACTTACTTTTTATACCTATTGCTAATATGGTGCTTTGGTGGTTTTAGAAATGTTACTATTACATCTATCGCAATGTTTGCGTTTCTTTGACGCACTGCGACTTGATTTGCCCATGATTGAACACACAATCAAATTCACTGAAAGAAGCACACGTCTACACAACGTGGCAACAAGTAAGAGAATGACAAGGGCAGGCTGTCAGGTGATCATCAGAGCAATCTGCACGCTTATTGAGATGATTGACAGGTCCTGCTATGGAGTGGGGCAGAGGTCAGGGGTCAGAGGCCAGAAAGTTTGATTCAACTTAGCCTACAGCATGTTTCCATACATGGTCGTACAAGAAAAAGAGAGGTTTATACTGTGAGATAGGATAAAGTATGTAAATATACAATTTATGTTACAATTTCCAATTGTGTCAACACAATGTAATTGTCTATGGTGTATTCTCCAGACTACCACAAGCAGCTGCTGGACCTCCAGGCTGAGTATGCAGAGACAGTCCATGAGCTGGAGAAGACCCGCAACATGCTGATGGTCCAACACAAGATAAACAAGGACTACCAGACAGAGGTAATGATTTGATGCCATCCTGTTGTCAGGGGTTCTATTGGTCCTTCATTTTACATCTGATGGAGTGCTTAGAGTCGTGAATGCTCTGCTTACATGGCTCAAACAGCAATGTTTCTTGATTGGGAACATGTACCTTGTTTGACAGCTTGTACCTTACTTGACAACTTGTACTTTGTGTGACAACTTGTTTGTTGTTTGAAAACATGCACTTGGCTTGACAACATGTACCTTGCTTCACAACTTATACCTTGTCTGACAGCATATTCCCAGCTTGGCAATATGTACATTGTTTGACAACATATTCATCACTTGACAACATGTTCCTTGCTTGACAACATGTTCCTCACTTGACAACCTGTACCTTGTTTGACATGTTTCTCACTTGACAACATGTACCTTGCTTGACAACATGTTCCTCACTTGACAACATGTACCTTGGTTGACAACATGTTCCTCACTTGACAACATGTGCCTTGCTTGACAACATGTTCCACACTTGACAACATGTTCCTCACTTGACAACATGTTCCTCACTTGACAACATGTTCCTCACTTGACAACATGTACCTTGCTTGACAACATGTTCCTCACTTGACATGTACCTTGCTTGACAACATGTTCCTCACTTGACAACATGTTCCTCACTTGACAACATGTTCCTTGCTTGACAACATGTTCCTCACTTGACAACATGTGCCTTGCTTGACAACATGTTCCTCACTTGACAACATGTTCCTCACTTGACAACATGTTCCTGCTTGACAACATGTTCCTCACTTGACAACATGTACCTTGACAACATGTTCCTCACTTGACAACATGTTCCTCACTTGACAACATGTACCTCACTTGACAACATGTTCCTCACTTGACAACCTGTACCTTGCTTGACAACATGCTCTTCGCTTGGTAACATGTACTTTACTAGACAACATGTACCTTGCTTGACAACATGTTTCTCACTTGACAACCTGTACCTTGCTTGACAACATGCTCTTCGCTTGGTAACATGTACTTTACTAGACAACATGTACCTTGCTTGACAACATGTTTCTCACTTGACAACCTGTACCTTGCTTGACAACATGCTCTTCGCTTGGTAACATGTACTTTACTAGACAACATGTACCTTGCTTGACAACATGTACCTTGCTTGACAACATGTACCTTGCTTGACAACATGTTCCTCACTTGACAACATGTACCTCGCTTGACACCTGTACCTTGCTTGACAACATGCTCTTCGCTTGGTAACATGTACTTTACTAGACAACATGTACCTTGCTTGACAACATGTACCTTGCTTGACAACATGTTCCTCGCTTGACAACATGTACCTTGCTTGACAACATGTACCTTACTTGACAACCTGTACCTTGCTTGACAACATGCTCTTCGCTTGGTAACATGTACTTTACTAGACAACATGTACCTTGCTTGACAACATGTACCTTACTTGACAACACGCTTGACCATTCGAACCTTGCTTGAAAGCTGTTACCTTGTTTGACAACAAGTACCTCTTACTTCACAACTTGTACCTTGCTTGACAACATGAACTTTGCTTGACAACTAGTACTTTGCTTGAGAACACAAACTTTCCTTGACAGCTATTACTTTGCTTCATAACTTGTACCTTGCTTGACAACACAAACTTTGCTTGACAACTAGTACTTTGCTTGAGAACACAAACTTTGCTTGACAGCTATTACTTTGCTTCATAACTTGTACCTTGCTTGACAACACAAACTTTGCTTGACAGCTATTACTTTGCTTCATAACTTGTACCTTGCTTGACAACACAAACTTTGCTTGACAGCTATTACTTTGTACCTTGCTTGACAACACAAACTTTGCTTGACAGCTATTACTTTGCTTCATAACTTGTACCTTGCTTGACAACACAAACTTTGCTTGACAGCTATTACTTTGCTTCATAACTTGTACATTGCTTGACTATTCAAACTTTGCTTGACAGCTATTACTTTGCTTCATAACTTGTACCTTGCTTGACAACACAAACTTTGCTTGACAGCTATTACTTTTCTTGACAACTTGTACCTTGCTTGACAGCACAAACTTTGCTTGACAGCTATTACTTTGCTTCATAACTTGTACCTTGCTTGACAGCATGATCTTTGCTTGATAACTTGTCAAGGCCATCAACACATGGTTTCAGTGTCAAGTGATCACAAGTTCATAATAGTGTCTGTTTGACTTCTTCTACTTAGAAACTGTTTGCTTGATAAAGACACCCCTGACACAATTACACTGGATAGTGTTTTATGTTTTTTCTGTGAAGGCATGTACAGTGACTCTTAAAGCATTATAATGGAGTGTATGTCACTTTGTATTTCACTATGTACTCATTGGTCCAAAGTTTCAGTAAGGCTTTTGTATGAATATTGTTATGATTTTCAGGTGGAGATGTCCGCTGGCAAGATGGCAGACGTGAAGAAGGAGTATGAGATGAAACTGGATGAGTATGCTCGACTTCTAGATATACGGCAGGCTAGAATAAAGGTAATGACAGTGACAAGTAACAAGTTTTGTTTCTGGCCTCGCAGGCTGTGGTACTAGATGTAATGAGACTTTAAATGATGTGGAATGTAAGCAAGATCTATTTTAAGTAGCCATGTTAGAATGATAAATCACTATGCAAGGATGCATATAACGTCATTCTCTCCAATCATAGCAATGTGGGGTGGTCTACAATGGTTCCTGCTGATGTCAACCAGAGGTTCCGTGACACAAACTGCACTGATAGACACTGCCACTGGTCTGTTAGTCCACAATCAATGAAAACCCTTGGGGACATGTTTTCTTTCCAACCTATTTCAGTTAAATCATTAGTCCGAATCTAGCTGTTCACTGGTTGGATATTTCAAATGTGAAAATATTTTGGACCTTATATAATGAACGTGATGTCATGATATCAATTGATGAAATGGAAGGTATCAGTACTGAATCGGGATCCGAACCGTATTTCACCCATTGTATCAGGATACATATTGTGTCGTGAATGAGTGAGTATGGGTTTATGCCACTCTTAGCAATATTCCAGCAATATCACTAGGGGAGACACCAGAAATGGGCTTTACACATCGTACCCCTGTGGGGAATCGAACCCAGGTCTTCAGCGTGATGCGCGAACGCTTTAACCACTAGGCTACCCCTCCGCCCTATTGTATTGTTACACCTCTATGTATTGTTACACCTCTATTGTATGTTTTACACGAAATGATTGCTCTTGATTTTACACGAAATACTGCTCTTTTGATTTTGGTATATGCCTTTTTTTTTCATTTTGAGGTTTTGTGTATAGCATCTTCATGGTTTGTGGATGTATTTCAGAAACTGGAAGCTCAGCTTGGGGATGTAGCTTATGGAACCCGACAATACAAGATTATGCCGCCAACGGAAGATGTGAGTCTTTGCCAACCTATTGCCTTGTAGAAACTCCCAGTCAGAGCTACAACAGACATTGTTTCTTTTGTTGTTGTTGTGCCATATGCCAGGGTGATGTTGTGCAAAGTGTTCTCAACAGTAAGGCGACTGTACCTCAACGTACACCTACGACTGTCATAGCGCTATGGTTGCTTTGTATAACAGCACCCAGGTCCATTGTCAAACTGGTGGCAGGAAACTGAATGTTGTAGTGGTCAAATGTGGCTGTTGATGATTATATGCATTAGTTCATGGCTTTTGTTCTTGTTCAGGAGGAGTCAACAATAGAATTTGATGAGACGATTCATCTGGAGAGGGGACAGAATCTCTTTGAAATACATATCAACAAGGTGAGTCACATGTTTAAACTCTGTAAGTACTGAGACCAGGAATACATACTTGTTTTGTCATGTTACCAACAAACATGTCACAGTGAAACCTTTTGTGGTCGAGCTTATTTAATTTAATCCAGGTTGATGGTGCTAGCAGAATCATCAGTACTATGGTTAAGTGATATAATGTAAAAACGTGAACAAAATATAATCTGTTCGGGAAAGTATTTTAATATGAATCTGGAAATATACCTGATATATCCTGACACTGATTATTTGTCTTCAAGTGGGAAAGGTTCATGATTATATTTCTACATGACAAACTTGAAAGTTGTTTTGGAAGAGATTTGTTTAAGATTTTGCTTCCTCACTGTATCAGGTGAACCTGTCTAATGATGCGATACGTGCCCTTGGGGATGAAGAACCTTCGATATTCTGCACATGGGAGTTCTTCGAGTTTGAGATTCAGTCCACGCCAGTCGTCAGGGGTCCAAGGTAAGATTTGTTTGTTTGTTGTTTAACATTCTGGCTACATGGCAGCAGTCTGTAAATAATCGAGTCTGACTAGACAATCCAGTGATTGACAGCATGAGCATCGATCTACACAACTGGGAATCCAACCAAGTCAGTGAGCCTGACCACCCTATCCTGGTAGTCGCCTCTTCCGTCTAGAATGGGTTGCTGAAGATCAATTCGAACCTGGATCTTCATGGGTCTCGATCATTTGTTATGTATGCTGCAAGCCTGTGGCATTAGTTGACTAACGAATATCTTTCCAATTGGTCCTGATCCGTTGTTTGGTGAACAACTCATGACAATACAATGACTTTCTGTTACAGATCTGAGTACAACTTCACCTCCCAGTATGTTGTCAAAGTGGATGACTTCTTCTTACATTATTTACAAAAGGTAATATTTGATAGCCAGCAATTATGTACCCTTGACTTCAATGCATCATTAACTGCTTGAAAGAGCTGGCAATCACCATTGTCTGTTCTGTTTACACAACCATGCCAATAACCAATCTTCACATTAGTACCTCCAGTTTCTATGGAAGAGTAAATGCTGTAAGAAATAAAGAAATTGTTCTTCAGAAGAAGTCCTCCTTGGGGTACATATAAGCATTTAAATGTCCATTTTAAAACCTATAAAAAATATTTTCAAAACAAAAAACTCGTTTTTGTCCTGTGAGTCCACCCCTACAGGGCCCCTCAGGGCCCCCTACAGGGAAGAGCAGGTAACTCTAGCCATCAACCTCGCACCTCACTGGGACATATGGGCTAAGGACCCACCCTCCAAAACTTCTAAGGGCAAGAAGAGTTCTTCCTCTTCGGCTGTTAACGTGGGTAAGCGGGCCAAGACGGTGGAAAAAAACCCTTCTTCCCCTATCCCCTCTACATCTGCACAAACCTATTCTGCATCTGCACCTATAACGTTAACAGATTTGTCCTCCATATTGCAGCAGCAGATGACTTCCGTTCGGTAACTTATCTCGGACGCGATGTCCGGTCTCTGGCAGGAGATCGGTATGGGTTCGGTGGTTGGTGGCGGTCCGGGGTCGTCTGCTGGAGGCACCCCTACCTCGGGCCCAGGCACCGGTACAGGTTCTGCCTCTGGGGGTGTGCCTAATCCGAGCTTCGGCTCCGGTGACGGCCTCTCTGTCGGTGCAGTTGTATCTGACCCGAGCCTCGGCTCTGGTACAGTCCAGCTCACTGGCGCCGGTCCTTCAGGTCTCGTACCGTTGGCAACCGACACCCAAGCCAGGCACCTCGGCTCTCATTGATCTGTTGTCCTTGTCTGTGGATCCTGCTTTCATGTCTTCGGAGGTGACTCTTGACACCGAGAGCTCACTCCTGGAGGAGGAAGCCATGGATGAGGACAGGGGTCAGGGGAAGGAAGCTTCTCGCTTGGCCTGTCCCTGCGGCAGGTACGCAATCGTATCGCTACTGTTTTGCCTCAGGTGGTCGTCCCTTCGAATGGCCTCGACCCCGCGGAGTTTCGTCTCCCTGGCGAGGCCTTCGCTCCATGTCGGGTCGCTGAGACCCATTTGCGCATTTTACCTTCGCTCGTTAGCGAGGTAATCAATCCTCTCCTGTCGGGTACCCGGTCTCGGTTTGATCTCCCGGAGCTCAACTGTCGCTACTTGATGGGAAAGGAGGCTTTGTTCGATCCCCTGGTGGTTGACAAGTGCATTTATGCCTCGGTCGCCCTAGGGGGGTCATCTGGCCACAGTCAGGCGTCGGCTCGGTAGGGCAGGGGCTTGCCTCCCTTTACCTCAAATAACCAGGTGTTGAAGTCGGTATATTGCTCCTTTGAGGAGCAATACCGCAACGCCGTGCAACAGCTTAAGGTTACTGTCTGCTCGGCTTACCTCTCTGCCGTGCAGAGGAAGCTGGTGGACCAGGGGGGCGTGGACGACGCCGTGCCATCATCCACGTTAGTGAGGCAGCTTAAGGGGGTGCACTCACATCTGGCACATGACGCCATACAGTTGTGCGCAAGCCAGATGATGAGTGTGGTCATGGGCCTCCATAGGCTATGGCTGTCGGTCGCCCAGTACTCTCCGGCTACGCAGCAGGCAGTACTCTCTCTGCCCTTCAGGATGGGTTCGACCCTATTCCCGAGGGCTTTGACAGTAGTCAGGGAGGCCGTGGAGGCGGTTAGCCAGTTTAAGGACTCCAAGCCCTTACTCGAGTAACCCCTCACCTCTCATGCCCCGCCTTCCGTCCTTGCCAGTGCATATCCTTCCTCTTTGGGGAAGGAGGCGCCTAAGTGGACTGCTCCACTTCAGACGCGCAAGGGCAAGGGCAAAGGTAAAGAAAAGGGCAAGGCTGCTTCCTCTCAGCAGGCTTTTCAGAGGAAAGGAAGTCGGCCACGGCTTCCCAGTAATAATTCCTCTGGAGCCGTTAGTGGTCCCGGCACAAGCAGTTGTTACACTGCCGACCGCCGGGATTCATTGCCTGTTACCCGACGTTCCTGTTGGCGGCCAACTAACTCTATTCCTTCGGGAGTGGGAGAAAGTCACGTCAAATCCCTGAGTCCTGTCCACACTCAGGGATGGCCATATGCCGCAGTGGAAACGAGGCCTTCCTCCTTTCTCTTGGATTCGTTGCACTACGGTGCCGACTTCTCAGGATTCCGTGCCGAGGTCCAGTCGTTGCTGGACAAGGCAGCCATCGAGGTGGTTCCGACAGGCCAGGAAAACCTGGGGTTTTACTCCCCTTATTTCCTGGTTACCAAGGACGGAGGGTTCAGACCCATTCTCAATCTAACGGTGCCGTCTTTCAAGATGGAGACACTGTGATCTCTCAGTGTAGAAACAGAGGGATCCTTGATCCCTTTTCTTCGACTGTAGTCGAGGTGTTGGAGTTTTTACAGTCTCGGCTAGAAGCCAGCCTAGCCGTGTCTACTATCCGAGGCTACTCCACGGCTATTTCAGCCTTCCACATTCCCGCCGAGGGTGCTCTTTTAGGGCAACACCCCCTGGTACAGTGTTTCTTAGCAGGCGTGGACAGAGTGTGTCCGGACGTCCAACGGACGTGTCCCCCATAGGATTTGTCCATCGTTTTAGATTGGATGTCCAGTCCTCTCTTTTACGATCTGTCGGAATTGTCTCTCCAGCTTTTATGTTGGAAAACAGCATTTTTGGTGGAGGTCACATCAGGTAGACTGGTCGGTGACATACATGCTATGTCATCGGATCCGGAACTTAACATTTTTCATAAGGATAGGATAAGCATTCGCTTACCTGACTCCTACCTGACTATGTAATGGCGCCTATCGATCTTCCCGCCTTTACGCTTCCTGCTTCGTCTGGTAACACGAAATGCCGAGTTCACGTGTTAGACGTACGCAAGACACTTAAAGCGTATATTAACAGAACGGCGTCTCTCCACAAGGAGAAACAGCTGTTCTGCTGCTACGGTGGTGGCAAGGCTGGTCATCCGGCTACTACACAAACCCTATCGAGATGGATTGTGTCAGCAATTTGTATGGCTTACTAACATAAAGGCCTATCTCCCCCCGAGGGGTTGAAAGCTTATTCAGTTCGAGCAGTAGCCACCTCCAAGGTGTATGCTGCTGCTCTGCCCATTGAGAAGATCTGCTCCCTGCTATATGAAGCCGACCGAGTACGTTCATCCGCCATTACCAGTTGGACAAACACTTGCGTGAGCGTGTTTGGTTTGGCCAGACGGTTCTCTGCAGTCGACAAAGTAGCACCTCTCAAGCCGATTGAGCTTTCTAGATGACGTACTCTGTTTTGCACTTGGTGTCGGGTTTTATTCCTTTCCCCCATTTTATGGGTGACGGTATCTGGTGGTGGTTTTTATTCCCACTCTACTTTGGTATATCGGTGCCTTACTTTTTCTCTCCATTTTCCCACGCTTGGCTAGCTGTGTGCTATGGACAGTAGTTTGTTTTGGCGAGTCCCTCGTATTTACACACCTCCAACCCTTCGGTTGGGGTGGTAGGGTTTGTTACTGTGGGTGTGACACCGATAAGCCAATCGGCATGTAGGCTTTGACAGTCCAGGTCCTCGCCCTAGCCACATCCCCCGCCTTGATTGACATCGGCGGTCATGTGACTAGGTAAGTGTAATTCTCTTTTTCTGTGTGGTTGTAGATTGTTACTTCGATTGGATCACTATGTCAGACAGAATACCACTCCCGGCTCAATTGTCTCAATATGTACCCCAAGGAGGACTTCTTCTGAAAAAGAATTATACAAACCTATAGAGGTTATGAATTCTTTAAAGAAAGTCCTCCTTGGGGTACGGCCACCCACCTCCCCTCATTCTGTCTGAGCCGTTCAGCATGAAAACTGAGGTGCGAGGTTGATGGCTAGAGTTACCTGCTCTTGCCTGTAAGGGGCCCTGTAGGGGTGGTCTCACAAGACAAAAACGTGTTTTTTGTTTTGTAAATATTTTTTATTAAAATATAGTTACAACTGCCGTAGGTTTTAAAATGGACATTTTAATGCTTATATGTACCCCAAGGAGGACTTTCTTCAAAGAATTCATAACCTCTACAGGTTTGTATGAATATAATGTAAGGCCATTGAGGGAACAAAACAACAACTTTCACCAAAGTATAAATAAATATTTGTGTGTTAATTTATGTCGTCAAAGAAAAGGAAAACAACATGCCACCTCAATACCCTCCTATACCTTCCTCAACTCTCCCACAGACCCCTCTACATCACAATAATAACAGGTCTGGTATAGAGTAAGATTGGTTGTTGTTTAACGCCGCACTCCACAATATTACAGCTGTATGGTGTGTATAGAGTAAGAGGCCATAATGCTAAGTTCGACATTATTGCATGTTATTGCATGTTAAAGTGTAATGTTATCATATCTCTGAATTTAGCAAAATCTAACTTACATTACAAAATCCCAATTGTGCACAAAACAATGAGTTTATTTAATTTGTCTGCCAATGACACTTTGGAATCATAGATAAATCCACAATGTTGATGGTGTGTGTGGAAGAGGCTGTTGTCCCGTCCCCCAAGTAACCCTGCAGGTGTTGTATTGCAGGACTCATGTACTCTGGAGCTGCACCAGTCATTTGGCCAGGACTTCCAGACACTGGCAGTCTGTCAGCTTGTCTTCAGAGACATATTTGACAAGCCCCATGGGCGAATACACGGCACTGCCACCTTTACAGGTAAGTGAAATTACAGTAAGGTCATGTATTATCTTTATGGATTACATCGGGGTCGAGTGTTGTGTCAGCAGGGCTCAATTTAAGAGATGTTAACCTACTTGCACCAGGTGCAACCTAAGATAAAAACCTAGTTGCACCAGTCAATTTCCAGTTGCACTGTTTTTATTGCAATATGTAATATCAGAAATATGCTATTGAATTATTTAGGTGTTTTATTCAGAAGTTTACCCACTCAAAAATCGACTTGCGCCTGGTGCAAGACTAATAACTAGGTTGCACTTTGTAATATTGGGTTGCACCAGTGCAAGTAACAAAGCACTAAGTCGAGCCCTGGTCAGTGTACAACTTGTTCAGATGAAGTCCACTGATATGTATCCTGTAATCATGGTATCAAACCATAGGTTCTGTCGGATTATTTTATCATGTTTGTCAACAATATATGAATAACCCTGATGCTGCTGTCTGCTATATGGTCTGGTGTTCATCATCAAATGGGTAGTAGACTGATTCTGTGCAAGTGCATTGGAATATGATAACATGTATCAACCAAGTCAGCGAGCCTGACCACCCGATCCGGTAAGTCGCCTCTTACGACAAACATGGTTTGCTGAAGACCAATTCTAACCAAGATCTTCATGGGTTTGACTGAACCATGGAGCTCAGCTTTCAGCCTTTATTATCCCCTGCCACGCAGTGTGAGGGGGATATTGGTTTGAGCTCCGTCAGTCCGAGATGATGGGGACAGATTTTCTCAAAAACTGGTATAGATAGTGAAACCAAGTTTGGGATGTGTTACAATTTGTTTACAAAGATATGGCCCTTGCCATGCGTTTCTTGACTTAGTGCACGGTATCCCCAATGGGAACAGATTTTCTCAGTAACTGTTAAAGATAGGGAAAACAAGTATGGCATGTGTTTTCAGGAAATGAATGTCATGGTGGACAGGGGTGGAAATAACTTTTCAATTGCTAGTGTACTCCGGTACAGTGTCACATGTAAAATCACTTGCCCTGATAATTTTTCCTCTATACCGGCCAATTTTCTTGTTGATTTTTTAAATAAACAGCATGATTAACATTGGAAAGTCAACTGGACATTGGTACACCGTGATATACAAATTTGCTTGCCCGACTTGAAAAAACACTGGACACGGACGTCGGGCAATGGGTTATTTCCACCCCTGCATAAGCTATCTGTCATGCCATGACAGATTAACTATAGTAATATGTAGGAATCATGTAAAAAAACTAGAACCAAATAGCAACAGAACACTGGCGGGGGATATTGATGACCATGTCTTCTTGTTCTGTCGCCATTCATTTTGTCTACTTTGTGTAATGTGATGGATAATTGGTCCCAAGTACAGCCTGACTTCAGCAACAGACAATGAAACAATGTGAATTTTAAACCAAAACATTTACCCAGGGGTCACCTTAGAACACACTGCACATGAACAACCAGATTTCTAACTCTCCTCAATCCTGCCATCAGCAGTGTTATTACTGGTACATAAACAACCATTCGGTCGACCATCTGATGCTTAGAGTAATGTAACATGTAAGTCCTCCTCTCTTCCACCAGGTGTTGGTGAAGGTATCAATGGAATTGGGTTCGGAACTGTAGACTACTGGGTGAGACTAAGGGTCCCCATGGACCAGGCCCTTCGGCTCTACAAGGTAGGTTCTCAACAACGTCTGAGTGCCATTCACAGCATCTCTATGCAGTAATGTCATGTAGAATGACATCAACAGACAATGGATTAAAGGATTTTTTTGGTCTGAAAATTATTAAAGAATTGAAGGAACCTGATTGTAAGAATTATGATTTATGTTATCAAAACCTGCCATACTTCATTTTTCTGAGTATATAGCAATTCTGACCCTGTTATCTAAAGCTCCAACATTCATTATGCAGAGTTTCTTCCCTTAGGTGTACAACGATCCTATGATCTTAGTTTATCAGTAATATACTCTTACCCCAGGATTTTTACCGTAGCGGTTAACATCTAGAATCTACAGTAATTTGTGCTTAACACTGACTTAAAACTGTTACATGATTAAAGTACTGTTCAAGCAGCATTAATCCCAACTCACCTGCTCACATGTTCCAGGAGAGGACCAAGGCACTTGGTTATATCACCACCAACCAGCACGCTACACAGCACGCTCTACAGGCCCTGGATGAACAGGCAGCTCAACGACCCATGGATAATGTCAATGAGCTGCATATCAAGATATCCAAGTGTACTGGTATCAAGTCTCGCAGGAAGAGTAAGTTTTGCAAACTTTGTAAAACCATGGCTGTCTCTGTTCAGTGTTGGTTATGAACAGAACTCTTCCTGTTTGTATTGGTTTTATGTTTGAACCAAGTTGTATAGATGAGGAATTTCTGTGAGGTGTAAGCATCGTTGTATTGCTCATCAGTATAATATCCTCAGGGACAAAGATATAGTTGCAGTTGGTTATAGAATAGCCTTGTGGTTAAAGTGTTCACTCATCACGCCAAAGGCCCAGGTTGATTCCCCACATGGGTACAGTGTGTGAAGCCCATTTCTGATGTCCCCTGCCATGATGTTGCTGGAACATTGCTAAAAGCAGCATAAAACCATACTCACTCACTCACTATACCGTGTGGATTATGTTGATTATATAATTTTGACTATTTGATTAACAGTAAATTGGTAATGACAATCGAAAAGGTAATGATCTGTAGTTTCTCATAGCTTGTCAGTTATTCTCCTGATTCTCTTCTGGGATTATGAATGGAATAGGTCCCCAGAGCAAATGCTTGTTAAAGAAATGACATAAGTGGGGATCTGAAGGTTTTATCTGGACGTGTTGTTTGAACCTTGAAGACATAGACTGGAGATTTCAACCAGTTGTTTGTCTGGTTGAGTAGCCCTTACTGTGGAACTATTAAGTGGTAATTCATGATTTGTTTTAATTGTTTGGTCAAAAGTATTGATATTGACGGCTGAAAAGGTTTTAGTGTGCTATGTAAGGGTAAAATTGTTTCACGAAGACATTGTTATTTCAGATGTGCAGCCCTCTCCCTACTGTGTGTACAAGTTTTTCGATTTCGATGATCATGACTCAGTGATTCTACCCAGCACAAACAACCCTGAGTTCAATGACCACAAGACATACCCTGTACCCATGACCAGTGATCTGGACCAGTATCTCAGAACTGTGGTATGTTAAGTACCAAGAATGATTATAGTTGTTATTCTTTCATTTCTTCTTTCTCTAGTTCATGGATATTCAGATCTTCAGTACATAATGTCTTGCCACCCATTGGGATTTGGGGTAAGAATAAAGATTCCCAACACTTGACACTTGTTCCAAGAGGTGATTAAATGAATTAGGTGATCTTGTACACGGTGATTTGGTTTATTATGTCATGGTATCCAAATGCGAAATGCGGTATTATACAACAAATGAATCATTGTATTGTTTACACTGTTTTTTTATATGGTAGGTATTCATGATAACATATCTCGTGTCATCACCTTTTCAGGGCATTTATTTTGACATATCTTACAGTATGTACAGCTTGGGGAATTTTGTAAAAGCTCTCATATAAACTCAGAAATCTGTGAAGCTGTCAAATACATGACTGAACTAACTGCCGTTTCATTATTGTATGATGCTGGTTGGATGATATGGTAAGGTAACTGTTATCCATCTTGGGTTGTATGGTCCTCAAAGAGCTGAGAATGAAAGTCATGTGAACAGGGATCCATTGATTGTAGTGATAATGATGAAGGACTGTGAAGTTGCATTGATGTGTACAATCATGTGACCAGTCATGTGACTTTGTAGCGACAGGGGTCGCTACATTCAGTCTTGTTGTGTCATGACTGGTCACAAATGATGTCGACCGCCTCCGTGGTGTAGTGGTTAGAGCGTCCGACCAGAGGGCAGAAGGTCGCGGGTTCGATCCCCGACCGCGTCATACCAAAAGACGTTAAAATATGGTTGGTCCCTGCCTTGTGCTCGGCATTAATGGGTACAACAAGGACTGGTCGGCTCGGAGTCAGTATAATGTGTCTGAGTGGGGTATTCATGCTTCACTGCGGCATGGTATCTCAGTGGGCTAGCACTATAAAACCAGCTTAAGTCTGGGCAAGTACAAGCAGCCGCAAGTACACATACACACGCATGCACGTCATCATATGAGCGAAATATTCTCAAGCACGACGTAAAACCCAATTTCACCTCACCTCACCTTACAAATGATGTAAGTTTAAGTAAAGTGAATTTGGACATTACAGATTCCCATTGTTGTTGTTACTGTTGTTGTCCAGAGTTTGATAAATGTTGTTCTCCCCACAGCACCTGTCGGTGTATGTGTTTGACGACACTGACCCCGATGACACAGCCTACATGGGCGTCGCTCAGATCCCCCTCATTCCTCTGGCTCATGACAAGGGTGTATCAGGAGTGTTTGAACTGAAGCGGCCTGACGGCAAGACTAACGGCTGCATCAACATGGAACTACGCTGGCAGTACACCTACATTCCCCCCAAGATGCCCGTCAGGTCACCACGAGCGGTATGCTGGATAATTTGCTTTTACTGATTGGCAAATCATTGGCTTTATCTATTTATGTGATCAAGGGAGGCAGATTACCATGAGCAATGTGCTGGCATAGGTTTTTAATTATTTCACAAATGATTGTTTTTTTCTCTTTATGTGACTCACCAAGTGAGTGAGTGAGTGCTTAAAGATACATCAGCAGCTAGTGCAGCTAGTCGCGTCAATCACCCTTTATAACAAAGCTTCACTATTAAAAACAAGTTGAGGACAATCCAATCCTTTCATACTGCCATAATCTATCTGTCATGCCATGACAGATTAACTATAGTAATATGTAGGAATCATGTCCTTAATGTCTTTAAGTGGTAAATAAGAATATTGTTATCATATCTGCAAGAAGGATTACAATGCCTATACTCTGGTTCTGTCGGGACTGAATCCACTGCTGACTCATGGGTGTCAGATGGTTAGATTGTGGGACCTGGCCACTGCACCCTCCATTGTAGGTTGTTTGCTCATGATATCGACCACATGTCAGGAATATGGCTGACTGCAGAGTAAAACAACGTTCATTTTCTTGTTCACTTCAATGTCTAATTATCTGCAAGCTTCTGGATTGGCATCCTCATGTTCTTTATTGAAATGCATCAGTTACCTCCCTTTGACACGACACACTATGTTTGCATGTTTGTAGCCGGACTACGCTCCTGATGATCCTCCAGAGAAACTTGTGTCTTCCCCTGTCCCCAAGAACCGCATGGCTGCCAAGTTTTCCAAACAAGGCCCTTCAGCCACATCAACTCCCATGCCAAAAGATCGGTTGATGGCGGTGGAATCTCAGATTGTGGAAACTGAACTCTCTACTGTAGCAGCATCACAGGTGAAAACAGACTAGGGTTTTTAATGGAGAACATTTGTCAGTTGTTTTTTATCTCAAGCAGGAGCTAGACATGTGATAATGAATGACATCCTGTAGATTATTGTCAATACTAAATGAGTATTATTCACTACATTCCACCATAATCCCTAAATACAGATAGTAGCTTACTGATGCCGTCACTATTTTAAATGAGGGAATCTCATGAAAGCCATGATCATTAAGAAGGAAACTGATTAGTACTCAGATCAGTCAGTGCTCACTTAATATCTCAGTAAAAGCTACGTTTTTTGCTGGTTTAACACATTCACAGTTTGTGGTATCTGTTAAACACATTACTTCAGTGTCATATGGTTTGCACAAAGTTTTGACTTGGAGTAGGGCTCATTTGACGTATTTGAGCTCTACATGGCCCCATTTAAAAATCCATTTTCATTAAACATGGATACATGCCACCATTACATTGTTTATAAGCCCAATTCAATCGCATGTGTTTATTCCTTGCAAAGTTCTATTCTGTGTATGGCGACATTAGCACTGATTTTGGTTCAGCCCTAGCATGTATTAATACTGTGTAGTGGAATCATTTTACCGTGAAGAGAGTAAGGACAAAGATCTTTATTGTGCTTAATTTCAAACACTGCTCTGTGTTATTTTCTGCCTTGTTAACTAAAGATTTAGGGGATAAGACAAGGACTGATCTATGTACTAATTATGTCATGATATTGCAGTGGGCTGACATGATAAAACTGGCATTCATTCGGGCCTCCACAAACCTTTTTACTCCCATGTGTCAGTTGTTTGATTTGCTGGATACTCAAATGTCACATTTACTCAAGTATCAGTTATTTGGTCATCAGTCAAAATCTTAACAAGTTTTTCCCTGGTTCTTCTGACAGCCGAAGCCAGCCGCACGGCGGAAGGTCCAGATGAACGTACCCTCCGTTTCTGTGTCGATGGAGGACCAGGAGCAGGAGACGATGATCCAAGATGCAGTTTCCCAGGCGGTCTCCGGCTTCTTGCCGGGAGTGTCTGAGTCCATCTCCTCCGTACAGGAGCAAACCGGAGGTGAGACTATCATTACATTACCTATTACCCTTGTGGTTGCTGACTATAGAACCATCATGTCGGTCTGGTTTAGCTGATTGAAATGATGCTATATGTCAAGAAGTTAAATCACATGTGTAAAACTTAGATCAATAGTGTGGCGCAGGTCCATGGCAGATTGTAGGCTGGTGTGTCTACGAGATGTCAGCAAACATACAAAATGATGAAATGTTTTGATTTTGTATAAATTACACCACCTTATTCCATTCACAATCACCAACCCTATTTTTAAAATAACCCTTCAGTTGGGAACGTCTTAAAGGGGAAAACAAGAACCAACGCAAAATTGATGGAGACAGGTGGATATAAAATTTGCTTGTTAGAGTAGATGGCATAGGGCAATCCCCTTTTGTCCTGAAAGTTTATTAAATGACCAGTGAAACTCTTGAGAACGGGTGAAATTGAAGTGTGCACCCCCCACCCCCCTGCTCAAGAGTGTGACACCCCCACACACACCCACACACCCCTTTCTCAAAAAGCTGTATCCGCCCCTGGATGGCATTATAATATGTCTTTCCAGACATGACATCATGTGACAGAGACATCCTACATTTCTGCCATGGATTAGACAATCTGCCACAGATTAGAGTCTGATAAGACCAGGGTGCTGTTGTACAAAACAACCTTAGCGCTAAGACTACCTTAAGTCTATGTTAAGGTATGGGAGTTACGATCACCTTAGCGCTAAGACTACCTTAAATCTATGTTAAGGTATGGGAGTTACAGTCACCTTAGCGCTAAGACTACCTTAAGTCTATGTTAAGGTATGGGAGTTACAGTCACCTTAGCGCTAAGACTACCTTAAGTCTATGTTAAGGTATGGGAGTTACAGTCACCTTAGCGCTAAGACTACCTTAAGTCTATGTTAAGGTATGGGAGCTACAGTCACCTTAGCGTTAAGATCGCTTTGTACAATGACACCCTGAATTCTAAATATGTTTCATCAAGAGAATTCACGTTTGTATCTGTACATCTCTAGTCCTCTGAGTCTGATATAATTCAGCCTGTTGTTGTGATCTATCATTTAGATGTAGAGTAACTTACCGGCATGCTGTGGAAGCTAGTGTTGGAATAGTTGACCAACTTCTGTATGCTAGCTGGTGTTGCCTGTGATGGTTGGAGCATGTAGATATTGTGCCAGGAGAGTTTGTGCTTGTAGTGTGTGGCTAGCAAACACTCTGGTCTTGAGCTTTCAGAATATCAAAAACACTCCATTGTCATTCTACCAACATTATTTGACCTGAAACACTTGTCAATGATGCTGTGATATTTCAGCATCTCTTGACTGTCACTTACAAAAAGTATCAACACCTTATTTGGTAGATAATTTAACATTTCAACCAAAATCTGTAAAAGTTTCTATTGACCTCTGCTATTTAACAAATTTGAAACAAGTAACAGGGTATCTAATATGTCCATTTTCTTGGACATTGAATGGATATCATCCAAAAGAGAAATTTTCAAAATCTGGTACTTGGGAAAAAAACAATTGTCATAATGTCCATCCTCTCTAGTTCAGTCTATGACTAGATTGTCTAATCTAATTTAAATCAGATCTTAGTTCTCGCTACTGTTTAAACAAATATTTGAGGACATCCATTAAAGTCACATCATAAGAACTTTTTGTCCAACCAATCAGAGCGTCGCTTACCAGATCGAAAAAGTGACAGTCTGATCGTGTTGAATGGGTCTTGAAAGGGATTTTGAGTGGGTAACATGGTATATTTCATTGTCTTTCTCTTGCTTCACCCAAATAAGCAGGTGAAATGAAAGAGACTTTCCATAGTCCTTAGGGAGTATTGCCGTACAGTCTGGGCAATCTATTAGACCGTCTAGAATTATTTTTTAATCAAGAACTTTGTCAAAATATTATTCAAAGCTTAGTCTGGAGTCGAAAACCATTTTGAAACTAGTGCTGTAAATGTAAAGCTCAAGAAAGCTGCTTTTTTGTGAGTAATTTCATTGGTCAGTCAAAGTTCGTTAAAGGTCATTCTGATATGACCAGGGCCTGCTTGCACAAAGCGATCTTAGCGCTACGATGATCGTAACTCTCATACTTATGTTTACAATTGTTGTAGCGCTGAGATCGCTTTGTGGAAGTGGATGCAGTAATGGATGACCTCAGATTCTTGTATCAGTGAGGCGCACTAAGATCTGATTTCCAAGATCTATTGATGAGCTGTCAGAACATCTCTACATAAATTTCATCCTTCTTTGAGTCCAGTTATTGAATGCTGAAGAAAATGCATCTGGTCCACAAACATTTGAATATTTGGGAAGTGTGAAGTTCTATGTTGATACTTAATGATATTACTAACAAGACTGTGTAACCATGGTAACAGAGGTAGAGTCTAGAGGTGGTGAGGAGGAGGAAGTGCCACCCACTGAGGTACCGGCACCCAGTGAGGAGGATCTTGAGAGTAAGTTAGGTGTTGTGTGTCGTGTAACTCTCTCTCCGCCAAGTCTCTCAACGCACATCCATTTTGAGGTGCTGTGTAATTTGACCTTGCATTCTGTGTAATTTGAACTTGCATTCTCTTTTGGAAATGAATAATCTCAAAAATGCTAAAAATGCATGTTGCATGATCTGTTAATACCCTTTCATCCTCAGAAACCAGGCAAACTTCATACAGGCTTGAACGGCCTTTAAGGTCCCTCTTGAAAAGCGTATTTCTTTTAGTGTAACCTTGAAAATAAGCAAATGCATGAAAGACCTTGTATTTGTACAAAATAACATATGTATTAAAAAGTTTGAGTGTGATTTATAGATTGGTCTGCCAAAGACCATGATTAATGTATTTTTTTATGGTGAAAATATTTTTCATTTTCGGTCTTACAACTAATGTATGTATTGACAGACAGGGGCTAATAACCCAGTTAAAAAGGCCTTCAAAATGACATGTGAAAACCATGAGAAATCTTGAAAAGTCCTTGAATGAAGTTGTTTTGTATCTGTACAAACCTTGCCAGCGAAGGTGACATTATAGGGAGGACCAGATAAAATAGTACTTTATTATCCAAAGAGACCATTACAATCTCTATATTCTGAGCAGAAAACTACCAACACTGAATATGCATCATGTTGAATACATCATGCAGAATTTCTGTTAATGTTATCAATTTTTGTTTGGAATATTGTTTTTTAAATGATACTAATTTTTAAAAATTGCGACCAGAATCTATGTTTTTGTTTCCAAGATATTCAGTTATCTAAAGTGTAAATGATCATGAAAAAGGCTCCACAGAATCCTAATTTCTTGGTATAATTTTTCTTTCCAAAATTTTAGACTAGTCACATTTAGGCACAGTTGACTCTAAGTTTTCATGACTGATATATATTATTAACTAGAACGATTTTAATATTTTTCATCTCTAAGCATATTAAAGACACATCTACTTCATCATCTTGATTTGTGTATACAATTATTACCATGGATACAGTTTCATTGTTAATGTCCACCGTGACCTGGTTTTTGAGGATGTATCATCTGCATGATAAAATGATACCCTGTGTGTGAAACCTGTTTGAATATAGTTCCTAATGTTTGTGTTTCAGGATTACTTTGAATTCTTAAATCCTAGTGATACCTTCAAAGACATTGCTGTGCTGTGATGATGCTTTTAATGCTTAACATTCACTTGATATGGGATACTAGCTGTTATCTATGATGATATTTTGTATAACTAATAAGCTCTAAAGTTACGTCCCTTCACGTCTTATAGTCCCCCTAGACTCACAGGATCATCGTGGAGGTCATGTGACCACAGAGGATGACACCGAGGGGGAGGAGCTTCAGCCGAAACCCTCCCCCTCCCCCCGTAATCGTCACATGATGATTGAATCGGGGTCGGAGGAAGGTAACCAACTGTAGCTGCTTACGTCCCCAGCTTGAGTTAGCAGAAGTCTCATAGTTATCTGCACGCTCAGCCCGTACTCCACCCTCGACTATCCAGGGTATTATCATCATTCTACATTGATTATTATCCACATTGATTATTATCCTGGACCCATTTGCAACTAAAGCGTTTTACCAAAGTATCTTCCCAATATCCATCTTAGTACAAAATGCATCCAGCTAATAAGGACAAATAAAAAAAATGTTGTGGTTCCGATTACACCTCTTTAAGGTAGGATTTTTTACATTTATGTTTTACAAACTAATAACACATTTATCAAAGTGTAGATTGTTTATTCAATCAAGTAAAGCATGTCTTTTCAAACACACATCATGTTGACTTTCAATCAAGCTTTCGGACATCATGTTGACTTTCTCTATCAGAATGACCGATGTCTCTCGGTGCTGGGAACAAACAATGGCATCTGATAGCTTATTTTATTCATATCGCTTAAAAAAAATAGGGTCGGCACCAGAATTCAAGGGTCGGTTTGGTAATCGGAACCACAACATTTTTTTTTTAAGGCCTAAGAGGTTTTTAACAGGATGGTTGTTTTTAGTTGCCTTTCAAATTAAACTCAGTATGTAGCTATGGTAATGAATGGGGCCAGGTATCTATCATGATAGAATGAAGGTAATACATGGATTACTGAGGTTTCACACTCTGCACTCGACCTATAGTTCCCTAGGTCTTTGTCCTTACATTCACCATTACAGAGTTTTATTTCAGGTTCTCTCAGATTTCAGTGTTCATTGTAGTTTCATCTGGTTTAGTTTGATATAGGTATTGTGTACAGAGAAGATGCTATCAAAATGGGAAACATGTTTGATCAAATGTAATCAGTTTTCACATCTTATTAACAGAATTTTTATACCTTAGTTATTTTTCATCTGTCATTCTTTTGCAGTTTTTAGAATGATTGAATTAAATAAATTGTTTCCCATTTTGCATAACTTCTCAATGCATTATTTTTTGCAAAGCTGAAGCTGACTGGCTGACTTTGGTTCAGGTTTCGAAATTAATTGGAATATTTCCATCTTTGAATTTGTGTTGATTCCTGAAAACAGAGCACAACAAATTTCTGCTCTGGCACCAGATAAACTCAACTGTTGACATTTTTATGTTGCCACATGGTTTTGAAAATTATATTTCTAACCCTGAAATTTTTATTAGGCGATGTCAGGTATACCAATATGACCAGTTCAGCAATATTGTTATTGGGTCCAATATTTTTCATTTGAAATAAGCGTTAATCCTACATCCATCAAGTAGTTGAGTACCCTACTCATTCACAACATTTTTAATGTTTATCTGATTTGTACCTTATATATATCACTTTAGTTTTGTTCTTCCTCCATTGCTTTTGAAGAAGAATGGGGGGTAGTTATATTCATGCTGAGTCATGAATTTTTTCTTTTCTATTTTATTTTTCAGATTATTTCTTCTCTTTCTTGACAATGACATAAATATATCATATTTCACTTATCATTTGCACTGCAGTATATTATTTCAAAGATATCATCTACACACTACTATTGATATCTGATGGTTAAAGTCAGATTATGTTGAGCATCATATCTTCATTCTTGGTGTGATTCCCCACATGGGTACAATGTGTGAAGCCCATTTCTGGTGTCCCCCTGCCGTGATATTGCTGGAATAATGCTAAAAGCGGCATAAAACCATACTCACTCACTCACTCATTCTTGGTGTTGTCACTTTTGTAAAATTTACCTCAGGTCAGACTTTTTTAAATATTTGTGTATCAATCTGCCAATTCCCACATGAAATGTGAAAATACAATTTAGAAAATGAAAAGCTGAGGGTTTTCATACCAATAACCATGAATTATAAAAATGTGTATAAGAAAATATATAATTTCAACTTTATTAATATTCAAGCTCTAAACAGGGCAGTCTATGACAAATTGCAAGAGTAAATTAGAAAAGAAAAAAGTTGTATTTTTCTGACCTGCAGAACTGAATTTTGGGGCCAAAATTAGAAATATTCAAAAAGCAAGTTAAAGCTCTGGCCTCAAATTGTTGAGAAGTAAGTTCATTTTCTCTGTCTCGGGCTTCTTTTATTAACATCCAGGGACTAGATCAATCGGAGGATATGAGCCTTCTATAAGGTTAACTCAGGAATTAGTTTGTGACTAGTACTTGTGTCAAGCTGTGTTATAGATGAATTTTATATCATACAAATTCAAGTCTCTGTGATATCTGTATTTGTGAGTGTTACCATGGCAAATTGCCATGAATGATTCTGTGAATTGCCTGTGAATCTCACGAACTAATTCCTCTAATATCAGCATCATGCATTGATCTGTATTGATGAAAGAAAGAGGGAAAGGGGAGAAATCACCTCCATATCAATAAGCTATTTGTCTCTGATGACGTCAGTGTAAACTCCTGTTTTAGGCACTCGAAAGCCCGTCCCCAGACCCAAGGCACGGACACAATTATCCCGAAGTGGTAGGAAGCATGTGCACGCAGGCCCACCTGTAGTCAATATGTTATAAACGTGGGCATGAATAACACTTCATGTGCTGCGCTAGCACCTGGATGTCCTACATAATGTAACTGACATCGCGTCAATCAGCTGTCAATCAGCTGAAAATCAAGCCTCAGAGCATCAGCTGTGTACATATTTCATCATGTTCATTGCCATCATTGTTTATTGATTGGTTTAGATTTCAATATGGCGGCGTAGTCTTTTCTAAAATTCAGGAACCTCCAATTTTATCTCACCTGGGTAGATGATCTTGTGTCATGGAATGCATGTCAAGAATCTGCAATTCAGACTGGTCACTTCATTCAGTGGCATTTCAGAAGCTGGGAAGTACAAAACAGACAAATTTATGGATAACAACTTCTTTATTACGAGAGTGCGATGGTTTGATACAGATTCTTGTATCATTGTCAAGCAGGAATTTTGTCTATTTCAGACTGGTCATATAAAAATTTATTAAAGTGGTTGCTATGTCAATATTTCATCTATCATGTTTGACAGCACAAATCCTTTCAAATTGCTCACCAGATATTTTTTACAGTTACACAGATATGAAGCTAAATGTATCTGTCTTTTTACTTAAACTACTGTATTTTGATGTCAAACCAGTACTCTTAAGTTTCAACCAAAAGCATTAGAATAGCCAAATATTTATGAATGCAAAGTGATGGTCAGTGTTGCATGGACAGCAGAATATTCTGTATATAAAATGTCATAAGGACCTTGTTATTAATATGTTTGTGCTGACAAAACTATCTGAATTAGCTGCATTTGTTGACATGCACATGGTCAAGTTTCCAGGTGAGCTCCGTAGGTAAGGGTTCCCTCCCCCCAATCTTCACTCATTTTTTCGTCATGATCAGACTTCGGAAAAGGTTTCACAAAAGTGTATAAGTGTATCCTGTAGAAAAGCCAACCCCCTTCTTCAGACTGCTTTTTGGGGGTCCTCAAAATAAATATGCAGTAATTGCAAGCGTTCTATTGAACAAAACAGTTCAACATGGTTTGAAACATGTTTGATTCAAACCACTGTCAACTCTAACATCAAGTAAAAAAAGTGAAAACAATTGACTGCAAATATTTTTGTTACAATGACTCTTTTCAAAATCTCAGGATTTTTTTGTTTTGATAAACAAAGAATGGCATGAAATGATGTTAACATGTATAAGTTAAGTGTGTTAACTGTTATGTGCAAGTTAATACTGCATGTTCAGTGCTTGTAAAAACAGCTTTGTACCTGTTATACACTATATATGTGTTTATTCATTGGGAAGTTGGTATGTGTAATAGATCTCAGCTGGCAATAACCCCGTACAGCCATAGCTTCAAGGATACGGCTAATCTCGACATTGCAGATATTGTGGTGAAGGGGATGTGTTGAAATATATGTACTTTGTTATAGTAATCAAATATTCATTTTGTAGCTTTGGTGTTTCGGTCATGGTCTGTGATGCAACTTGCAATCTGTCAGCTAAGCCACTTGTAGTAAGCCTGTGTCTAGTAAATTTCTGTTCATTTTAGTGAGCTCAGCTAATTATTGCCCATATTATAATAAGGGCATTTGTTATGCGCTGAATTCCGCATCACGGAGGGGCACACACAAATCACTACAATCTGATAATTATTATCCCGGATAACCCAAGCTGCCTGTGATGCACTAGATGGTTAATAGTGACATGGCTTATCCCACCGGGTACCCATTTTCTGCTGGATGAACAGAAGCAAGTTTGAACAAACTCACTGGCCTAAGGTGAGACCACATGTATCACATGTGCTTTGTTGTGGGGCAGGACTGTTAACTGAGACACTTGTAGGAGACCTGTGTCTAGTAAATTTCTATTAGGTTTAGGAAGCTTAGCTAGTTTTGCCCATATAATAACAAACAAAAATGAAATAATGTCAAGGAGAAGTGCTGGCAAGCAGACAAGTGTGTCGTGCAGGCTGAACTAGGCACTGGATCATGCTTACAATATCAATCTGACACTGGGTGCAGAATAGGTCAATAGGTCAACATCATAGTGCATAAATATTACTGAGCCTGACTTTAGACAAAAACAAATATGTGTTCAGAACTTTTCAGAATACTAGTATGTGCCAAATACATTTGACACTGCTGATCTGAACTTGGCTCTTAGCATAATAATCACCACATACAAGTGTTAATATGTCAACGTCTATTTACCAGTACTGAACTTACTACTTCAAGCAGAAATTGACTACACTCTGGCTTTGAACAAGTGGCTGGTCACAGACTGCTTTGAAATGTTGCAGGACAAGTTGCAACCCCATGGTTCAATATCTTTCCAGATGAGGTTGTTTCCTTCGTTAATGATTTTGTTTTCGTCAATAAAATTAAACATCTGTTCCTAATACACATCATCAAGCTCACTTCATCCATCATCATCCAATATATGTATGTCTCCTGTCTGGTCAAGGGATGCCCGATTCTCTTCCCACAGAGGCACTTGTCATATCTTCTCTGTATATACCTCTGTTCTAATGGCCCTTTCATGGAGTGTTCAGGATTCGTGATTGGTTGCAATCAGATTTAGTTGTGCAATCAGCTACGCTGTTTCAATAGTGATCATTTGCAAAGCCTCGGTAATTTCCTGTATGCTTCGAGAAAACTAGAACCTCCTCCCATGCGCGATGCGCAAACATTTCTTCTAGACAGAACTCAGTCATGAAATGGCTGATCAATGGCGTCTCCATTGCCTCTCGTTGACAACAGACAAGCTAGCCATTAAATGTCTTCTGTGTAACATCAACACAAGTCCCCGGCAGAGGAAGGATATTTGTGGCCCCATATTTGCCTGCATTAGTCAAGTTGGATCTAAGTCGATGTAAAACGTGTTCTGATTGGATAGAAAGAAGGGAGATAATTTGTGTTGCGATTTTTTTTGCGGCTAGGGGATTTTACAAAAACAGGAAATATGGCCGTATTAGAACAGAGGTTCGTCGGAAGATATGACAAATAACCTCTGTGGGAAGAGAACAGGGGATGCCCAGCTGCTGGTGATATAGGAACACCCTACACAACGTGGCATTAGCTTACCACTGACACTGCTGTGTTGACTGTCTACAACAATCAGTGTATAGCTTCATGTAAAGTATTGTATGAATATTGTCTCTGGTAACATTACTAACCGTACATATGACAACGCTCTTGTATTCAATCACCTTTTGTATATATATTGACTGTTTGCTTTGAGTAGCTGTTCACTAACTGTACTAATGAGAAGATTATAACACAAGATGTCGGCACTAGAACAATAACATTGCTCTGATGTCTTCAGTTTTGTGTACCTTTCTTTGCAGATGGAGATCGGTGTAATGAAATTGAGTTAAATAAAGGAATGTTAAGTTTTAAAATGTAAAATAGATAATATGTTGTTGGTGTGAACAAACACCATTTCTGAAACATATTAATTGAACTGATATATGGTAACATACTAAAGTAAATGGCTATTGATATCTGTAATAAATGAAAGCTCTTTTTAAGAGCTGATATTTAAAAGTATTGATATTTATTTATAATAACAGTAATGAACATATTCAATAGGACTTATATCCACACCCTACAGTGTGCAAAACACTACAATAGTGATATTGTGTTTAATATCTTGAGGTTGACTGTCGCTACAAACTATTTGGTTTCTTTCAGATTCCAAAGCTGGAGAGGTAACTCCTAAGGTATGCACTTTTATTTTCTTGTGCTGCCTCTTGTCAATAAGCTTGCTAAGGTTAGATAAGAATTGTTACTCCTCTTCTAACCTGTGAAGATCTGGATTGAGATTGGTCTTCAGCAACCCATGCTTATCATTCGAGGCGACTAACGTAATCTTTTGGTCAGGCTCTGACTTGGTTGACACATGTCATAGTATCCCAGCTGCACAGTGCTCATAATGTTGATCACTGGATTGTCTGGTCCTTGGTTGACACATCATATAGCTGGAATATTGCTGAGTGCAGCGTTAAACAACCAAACCAAACTCCTCTTCTGAAAAAAAGGCATTGGTGTTAATGTGTCCAGAGTATTTGTCATAAAAGAAAGGAGATATATCATTATGTCATAAAATAGTTATTCACTGTTGATTGTATTTAGATTTCTCACTGCCAGAGTCTGTGTTTTCAGCCTTCGCCAAAGCCAATGGATGACACAATGTTTGAAGATGAAGGTCAGTAAGGTTGATTAGTGCCCTAATGATAGTTATAGATTCTGGGATGATTTGTACATTTGTATACGATATTCTCTCTGAAGCAAATCAGGCACCTTATGCTAAGTTACAGAGGAAAGCCAACTGCAAGCAGAGATTATGAGACGGGTAGCCATTAAGTATCATTTATCTTATGACTAGCAGTTTCAAAATGCATGTAATGTGTGAATAATCATTAGCTAGGTTTCAAAGTGAGTTGTAAGGTATCTGACATGCATGAGTTCTAAAATGTTTCTGACATACCCTAATGTTGCACCATTTTGCCATCAAATTGATGCATATTTTGTGTATTCTCAAGATCATACTTGAGCAGGAATATCACAGCACTAAGGTCATGAGTGAAGTCATCTGCTTACTACTCATATCTCATACCTATAAGATGGTTTCATGGTTTCATATCTGTGGATGTTCGACGTGATACTTTTGGAAAATATGTAAGTTTAGAAGACGGACTCAGTTTAGACTGGCTGAATGTGTATGAAATTCCCTGAGCAATTTATGTTTATTATGGTGGTAAGTTTTGGCATCACATGATTTTTCTGCAAATAAGTTGTGTGTGGAAAAGTAATTCCCTTGTGACCTTCCTCATGTCCTCATGTCTACCATCCATTTGGCATCTGTAGATGTCACATGCTGGTAGGATATTTTGAGGTAAGATACTGCTACATTTTGGTCCTCCTGAGAGGGTATGTAAGTCCCAAAACTTCCCAAGTCAGTTTAATCATAGAATATTTGTTTTATTATGGCTAAATATCAGTACAGTCGCCAGTGGCTGAAGGGATGGTATAAATCCAGCTAGGGTCCATGCAGGTAGCCAAAGTACTTTAAGTCCCCATGGTCCCTAGAGTGGTGATCTACCTTCAGTTGTTGGCGATCCTCAGCCTTATTTTATATCGTATTGTCCTAATTTGAATTCCTATTTTAGAGATATACGCTAGTTTCATTTCCTATTACTGTGATATACTAGTTGGTTTTACTGTCCTTCGTTGACAGATTTTTAAAATTGCACATTTGTCATGAACTTAACTGTCTTAAGTCACGATATGGCTGAAATACTGCCGCTGTGACTATAAACTTTAACTCACTCACTCACTTACTACATTTTGGTCACTTTTATCAATATGGGTGAATTAGTTGACCATTTGTCTGAGGCACTGCAGTTGTGTCCCTTGGATTTGGATACACTAGAAAAATTATAAATTTTTTTTTTATTCTTGGGTAACTCGATAATGTGGTATGAATGTGGTGGCGTGTGGTCCTGTGCACAAATCTCAGGTCACAGATCGGTGACGTTAAGCATGTCGAGCTCGGAGAGTCCTTGGATGGGTGACTGTGTTGACTCCTAAGAGATTCTAGGACTTCAGTCCTGCCCCACAACGAAGCACATGTGATGCATGTGGTCTCACCTTAGGCAAGTGAGTTTGTTCAAAATTGCCTCTGTTCACCCAGCAGGAAAGTGGGTACCCATTGGATAAAGTCATGTGACTATAACCTTCTAGCGCCTAACAGGCAGCTTGGATTATCTGGGGTAATAATGTGTGGTGTTATTGATTGTAAGCACTGTGAGCATACCTAGTGTGGAGTTAGGGCAATATAAATTATTATTAATGCCCCATGCCTCTGCTCGAACATTTTATTTTTTTTTAAATTTGGTAAACATTTTAAGCACCTGTCACTTTGGTCTGTCCTCCCACATTCAGCTGACATGCTGTTATATAATGGGAACAGTGTTGATTCCACATGGCATTAAAACCATCGGACTCATTAATACAGAGTAAGTTTTGTCTTTGCCTGCAACTGTACGTCTTCTCCATTTTCTTTCTGTGTCACGTCTGCTTCTAATTACTCATGTTCTTGGCCAAAAGAATTTCCTTGACCATTGTAAACACTCCTGCATTGGAAATATGTGTCGACAGGTTCAATTGATGAAGAGATCACGGAAGAACTGGAGAGTCAGGGCAACACACTGACAGAAACACAGCCCGAGGTACACTCCTCGCCACCATCAGAGAAGGTGTCGGAGTCGGAGTCCGAGCCAATAAAGATAGAGTCAGACAGTGAAGGGCTTGTGATGATGAAGTCACTGCCATCCAAGAGGAAAATCAGAGCCTCCAAACCAGTAAGTACCCTACCATTGATACTGTGACACCATATTGAAACCATGATAAACAGCTTGAACAGTTAGTACCATATTGAAACCATGATACACGGCTTGAACAGTGAGTATCATATTGAAACCATGATAGACAGCTTGAAGAGTGAGTACCCTACCATTGACAGAGATGCCAACCTCTATGATTTTATTGTAGTCTCTACGAATTTTAGCCTCAAACTACGCCAATAAGATTGCACAAGAAATTCTACGAAAATTTGGAGATATAGACAAAAACATATATTTTTGTCGATTAAGTCCATTTTCGCCAAAAAGAGACGACAAGAAGAAATGTAATGCTGTTAATTTGGAAATCTGTTATTGGAGGTATGTGAAATTAAAGCTTCACTCTTGATTAGTGTCATATTTATCTTTCTCAGAATCCATCATGATTTTAAGTATTTAGTTGACTACTAATTTGATGGTCAAACTTCTAAGTTTGATCCTTGAAACTACTATTTGCAACACTTTGGGGTTAGCATCTCTGTATTGATACCGTGATAGATGGCTTGAACAGTGACGTACCGACCTTAGATACCTTGATAGATTGATACCGTGATAGATGGCTTGAACAGTGACTTACCGACCTTAGATACCTTGATAGATTGATACCGTGATAGATGGCTTGAACAGTGACTTACCCACCTTAGATACCTTGATAGATTGATACCGTGATAGATGGCTTGAACAGTGACTTACCAACCTTAGATACGCTTGATAGATTGATACCGTGATAGATGGCTTGAATAGTGACTTACCCACCTTAGATACCTTGATAGATTGATACCATGATAGATGGCTTGAACAGTGACTTACCCACCTTAGATACCTTGATAGATTGATACCGTGATAGATGGCTTGAATAGTGACTAACCAGCCTTAGATACCTTGATAAATTGATACTGTGATAGATGGCTTGAATAGTGACTTACCAACCTTAGATACCTTGATAGATTGATACCGTGATAGATGGCTTGAACAGTGACTTACCAACCTTAGATACCTTGATAGATTGATACCGTGATAGATGGCTTGAACAGTGACTTACCCACCTTAGATACCTTGATAGATTGATACCATGATAGATGGCTTGAACAGTGATTTACCAAACTTAGATACCTTGATAGATTGATACTGTGATAGATGGCTTGAACAGTGACTTACCAACCTTAGATACCTTGATAGATTGATACCATGATGGATGGCTTGAACAGTGACTTACCCACCTTAGTGTCTTGATAGATTGATACTGTGATAGATGGCTTGAACAGTGACTTACCAACCTTAGATACCTTGATAGATTGATACCATGCTAGATGGCTTGAATAGTGACTTACCAACCTTAGATACCTTGATAGATTGATACCGTGATAGATGGCTTGAACAGTGATTTACCAAACTTAGATACCTTGATAGATTGATACCATGATGGATGGCTTGAACAGTGACTTACCAACCTTAGATACCTTGATAGATTGATACTGTGATAGATGGCTTGAACAGTGACTTACCCACCTTAGATACCTTGATAGATTGATACCGTGATAGATGGCTTGAATAGTGACTTACCAACCTTAGATACCTTGATAGATTGATACTGTGATAGATGGCTTGAATAGTGACTTACCAACCTTAGATACCTTGATAGATTGATACCGTGATAGATGGCTTGAACAGTGACTTACCAACCTTAGATACCTTGATAGATTGATACCATGATAGATGGCATGATAGATGAACAACAGACTTACCAACCTTAGATACCTTGATAGATTGATACCGTGATGGATGGCTTGAACAGTGACTTACCAACCTTAGATACCTTGATAGATTGATACCGTGATAGATGGCTTGAACAGTGACTTACCAACCTTAGATACCTTGATAGATTGATAGTTCATTGATACCATGCTAGATGGCTTGAATAGTGACTTACCAACCTTAGATACCTTGATAGATTGATACCGTGATAGATGGCTTGAACAGTGACTTACCAACCTTAGACACATAGAGATTATTAACCTTGTGTGTTTCCGTATCATTAATATCATATATATGGAATAAAAATTGTATTATACGAGCCTTTGGCATATAATGTCATTCTTAAAATTACTCTTTAAAAAAAGAAGCAAATCGTACGTGAATTTATATGAAGATAATCGAGCATTCGCGTAAGAATACTTAGCGGTACACCAAGGTGAAGGTCGTTCATGACGGCGGCATATGGTTGTGACTATAGTCTGTTTGGCTCAAGAGCGGACCAATGAATTGCAATCCAACTCGAAAACTAATAAACATAACATACTCAATGAAACTCAATGCTAGATTATTAGAACACAAGTCATGCACACTGTTGCAGTACAGACATGATGTGTTGCAGGGGAACACTGTTACTGTCATCATCTCCAACCTGACCTTGGAGGAGGACTGCGCCATGATGTCCCGCGACAACATCAAGCAGCTGTTTGTGGAGTACAAGTTCCTAGGCCTGGATCCCCAGGAGACAGAGACACCCTTCTCACTGCCCAAACCGAAACCATACCAGCAGATTACTTACAACTTCACCAAAAGTCAGTACTCTCATGTACTCATGTGCCTGTCAGTTTTTATCAGACACAACTCGAGACTGATTAGTCAGTGACAATCCTGTTTGTTTTAAATGATATTTCATATTTGTCTAGCAACAAGATTTAGATCAAGTCTGAAATCTGTCCGTGCTGGTTCTTCAAGGCTTTTGTAGAGTTGCATTCCTTGCAGACCAGTCATTGATTTTTCTGGTGGGTCACAGGTCAAAAACTAGTATCCCTCCCCTAAATTTTGTTTTATATGTGTATGACTTTCTCTATGTCATGGGACATAGTTTTCATGACCCTCCCCGAAAAGACAAATGAAAAAGCACTTCATATTTTGTTACAAACTGTCAGAGACAGTTCCATTTCTGGTGACCAACCAAGCCCTCTAATAAATGACCAGTCCCAAGGTTGTAAGGAGGATGTGGTAATTGACCTGTCTGCTATTCAGAGCAGTGCTAAACCCAATTCACTGTCTAACAGCATGGTTCTGGTTAATATTGGTCTACAATACTCACTTTGGCTTGAGGCTGTTTCGAGTGGAAAAACTCAATGATGTGATAAATTGTATGTCACAAAACCCTGATGGCATTGGTATAGGCTCAGAATATCAACCACTGGTTTGTTTGGTCCAAACTTCATCATTACCAGGTTCGTCACGATATGGCTGAAATATTGCCAGTGTGACGTTAAATTTTAACTCACTCACTCACTCATTACCAGGCTACCTTATATGGCAGGAGTATTGCATTAATCTTCAAAGAAACAACTTGGAAAGGATTTCATGTACCTGTGCATCTAAGGTAATGTAACTGAGATGAAACCTCTGTTGACAGCTATACAAGTGGACATGGAGAAGAACTACGAGAGGAGGCAGTACCTGGCCAGTATGTTGCTGCCTGATGACCCAGATGGAGGAAGGTCAGTGTGTCTCTCTGCTCAGAGTCCTTGATCTTTTGAATGGCATTTACAAAGTGGATACAGTAGAACACGGATATAGCGAACACGGATATAACGTACAAACGGATATAGCGAACAAATTTAAAAGTCCCGTCAACAATCCTTTATGATATCATTAGAATTATACGCGAATAACGAACTCGTGAGTAGCGAATTAACGGCTATAGCGAACTGATTTACTACCCCCAAGCCCAATTAACGACGTGATTAGCGAACTCACTCAGTGTCAGCTCAGTGTCAGCTCATCCACTTAGCGGTATACATCAACCTTGTTGGCGGCGAATCAACATATTGTTGAGATTGTTAAACATGTTCTAGCTAATGTCTGTGAATGATCAATTCAGAATTTTAATGTTATGTCAATATACATGTACAAGAATAAAGATTTGTAGCCTCAGCATATACGTGTCTCTACATCTCTACAATCCAAGATGGCGGTCAAATGTGAATAACGAACACCGGATATAGCGAACTACATTTCTTGGTCCCTTGGAGTTCGTTATATCCGTGTTCTACTGTATGTTACTGAAGGTGGTTATATCACCTTCTTTCTTGTAGTGATAGTTCTGATTGAACCACCTTTGTGTTGCGATATACAATGTGTTTATGGTGGTGTAATGTTTCTGAAGGATGAATCCAGGAGACAGTTATGATTATGGTTTAGTCATGAGTGTTAGTGTAAAACAGTGGAGTAGAACTGGATGGTATCTCTTACTTGTAGCATATATACAACAGGTGAGGTGAGGTGAAATTGGGTTTAATGTTGTGCTTGAGAATATTTCGCTCATATGACGACGTGCATGCGTGTGTATGTGTATGTGGGGCTGCTTGTACTAGCCCAGACTGAAGCTGGTTTTATAGTGCTAGCCCACTGAGATACCATGCCGCAGTAAAGCATGAATACCCCACTCAGACACAATATACTGTCTCCGAGCCGACCAGTCCTTGTTGTACCCATTAATGCCGAGCGCCAGGCAGTGCTTGCACAAGAGGGAAATGGTGTAATGTCATTTTTATGATTTTGTTAAAATTTGAAAGAACATGTTTATTATAAAAGTACCAATACTGATAGGTTTTCAAGACATTGTGATCGCCCTGAATAACAGCAAGGTTACTGATGTGGCATTAAATAGCATTTACTCACTCTGGACAATTTGAACGACAACTGATCTGAAACCCTGTCTACTGGTGGCAGTGACAAAATATCCCGGAAAATATTAGAAAGAACTTTACAGGGGATTATGTTGAAAGACTTGAGGCCAGGTGTACATGGATGGCTGAAGCATAGTTTGAAACCTTGGTGTAGATCACTTTCTAGATAATGGTGTAGAATCTGCTCAAAAATATTGAAGTTGATCTTCAGTATTATCTAGTCATTGTATTTTACACAGAATGGAATATAGTTATTTTATGGTTATTATATTTATTCTTTCAAGCGATTTTTTAACATTACACCAATTGGTAACACTTTTGTCATGCTAAAATGTTGCAAATACTTTTGCACACCATTGCTTTTAGAAATTAATTGAAACCATGATTATTCTACGCTAAACATTAATTTCACTGTATGCCTACATTTTCTGTGAAACTGATGCATGTTTCTCTGAACTGAACTTCAGGCATGAGTGTCCAAATTTATCTTAGCATAGAGTGACATCCCTTTGTTGTAGATGGATTCAATGATCATCGATTCAAATACATTTTGTCGTCATTACTTTTTTCAGTTTGTCAGCACCATACCCATACTGGTTAATTTCATCAAAATGGTAAATGTCTGAGACAAGCATATCTTTGGGCTTTCCTCCTCTATCAAGCTCAGGTGCCGAAGACCTGGGTTCGATTCCCCACATGGGTACAATGTGTTAAGCCCGTTTCTGGTGTCCCCTGCCATGATATTGCTGGAATAGTGCTGAAGGCGGCGTAAAACCAAACTCACTCACTCAGGTGCCATGATATAACCCCAAAAAACTATTCAGAGGTACATTAAACCAAACACTCCCACTCACTTTTAAATTGAACTCTGTATTCAGGATCAGGTTCACTTTGGTCAGTGAACCACCGGAGGACGACCAGGATGCAGACTGTGAGGATGTGGGTGTGGTCTATGTCAGTGTCAAGGACATTCTACTCAAGAAGAAGGATGTCAAGGATACAGATATTGATAGTGAGTATCTCATCAGGAGTCAAATATCACATGGTCATTAAGGATCTCATCTACATGATAAGTATTGGGGGACACTGGTGGCCCGTTTGTCTCAGCAACTTGCTTTGCTGTGTTAGCATAGGGTTTGACATCCCACATTGTTCATGATTATGATGAATGGTTTGTCAGCACCATGCTGATTCTAATGGGTTTGACCCGCAATTGTAAATATCTGAGAAATATATCTCTTTGGACCTTCCTTTCCAATTATACCCATGAAGATCTGGGTTAGAATTGATTTTCAGTGAAACATGCTTTACATAAGAGGCAATTTTTAAGATCTCTGTCACATGTATACTTTAGCCTTTGGATCCTGTGGTCATCATTGTACTGGACTTTTCAGTTCTGGACGTGAATGACGAGACAAAGGTGATCGGCCAGATGAACCTGACAGTGGAATGTCTGGCAGCTCTGGAGGCCGTGGAGAGGGAGATGCAGGTGGAGGGCACATACTGAACTCAACCCAGCTGACCTAATGAATGAATGATACTGAAGCTTTGTTCTGAATCGTGAATGAATGCCTTGTCCTGACTGAATGATGTACCGTGCATGATTTGATGTCATTGACTTATGGATAGAACACCTGAGTGTCACTGAAAGAAGGGCTGAATACATCTAAGTGTTACTGGAATATTAACTGAATATATTTCAGTGTCATATTAACATTGCCTGGACATACCATAATCAATTGAAGTATCACTGGTCGAATAAAAGTGCTGTCAGATACTGCATTATTTTAACAAATATGTGATCTGTGTCCTGAATATTGAATGCGTGTACAGACCCGTGCAAAAAGTAATCGGACACTTGATGTCATTTCCATAGACTTACATGTTAATTCACTGTAGCATAAATAATTTTCATGAAGTGAGTTTGGGATGGATCTATGTAAAATATGACAGGCAAATTTGAAATCATCTCTGCTCTGTGCACATAATTTCACATTTTCACTATTTAACTAATGACATGACATCACATTTACCAACTTGCGTATGGTTCCAAATTCCACAATCCCATAGGCCGCCATGTTAATTCACGGCACTGTACATATGTTGATTAAATTGTTGCTATTCGATAAATAAGCAACGGAACATTAAACAGAAATTATGTGATTATAGGTAAGATGATTCCTCACAGATGTGCAAACTTTGACTTGGATCTTATGAAAATTAAAGTCATGAAAATTATTTATGCTACACTAAATTAACATGTAAGTCTATGGAAATTACATCAAGTGTCCGATTACCTTTTGCACGGGGTCTGTACATTTGCCATAAGACCAGGCCAGTCAGCTATTGTTTAGTGACAGTAAATTAGTGTGTGCCTTTCTCAGAATATATTGTACATAGTGTCTTATCCTGTTGTCTGTGATACGTAGCCGTACTTTGTGTAAAGATCTATTTATTATTGTCTGTGATACATAGTTACAGCTGTATGAAACTGATACCGTCCTCTGTAAAGTTGAGTTCCCTCCAATAGAAACGTTTTTTAGAATCATTTTTAACATTACTGCATTTTACATGTAGTCTTAATTTCTTAATCTATATGTTCAGTAGTGATGTCGTTAATGTGTAAAGCTAGTGTAGATATAACTTCAGAATCATACAGATGGATTATAACAAATAGTGCCCTTAGTTTTGTACAAATAAAGTCAATGTGCCTTTATATAATAAATGTCTTTAGATATTAACTGCGTATTGTTGTGCTTTCTAGACTCTGCGCAGTTGTCTCAGGTAACAAACTGTACCATGCAGAGTTGTGTCCCTTTGTCATGGGAGGATATTCTACCTTTAGATTTGATTATTAGATTCTAGCATTTCACGATCTTGGTTTACAAGTGCAATTTACAAAGAAGTATACATCTATGCCAAGATTCAATCACATTATTTCCACACCTAGTCAAATAGCCAAAAGAAATTTTAAATATTAACCTTGCATTTAAGTGTATTATTGTAGATTGTATACCGGTATGTTTATTTGTGTGAATTAATAAACAACTGAACGTCAAATAAGCTTCCCTGTGTTTTGAATACATAAATCTGAAGGACCATGGAAGCAAAATAAGCTATTTGGTAGGTGGCAGGTTAAGTGCTTGATGTACCAAATTATCTGAATTCTCAAGATGTAGTAAATAATCTGATTTCTGCATCTGGATAAATAATATACATGGGAAGATCTGATTTGAAGTTATACAGCTATATTGTTGAGGGTATTTTATACATTCTATCATTTCTTAGGTCCATGGAATCTACACCCACACAAGTGCACTACAGAAGGAACACTTCTGTTCTGTGGCACTTTTCAGAATTTGTGATTTGAGGCAGTAAACAAATGAAGCCAAATTGTATTTTAAAGCAAACAAACTCAAAAGTATGATCCTTGGGCAGTGAATGTTCTATGGAGTAACAACAAACAAACAGTGATCAATATTGAGAGGAAGGATATGTCAGGGTAGAGATTGCGATGTGGTAGAATCAGAGATTCTACCAGTAGAGATTGCGATCACAGCCTCTACTGGTAGAATCTCTGATCCTACTAAAGTACTGTCGCAAATGCTAGAAAAATGCTTTTTAACCTTAATACTTTGATTAAGGTGATAGATGAACTATGTTGTCAATATATCAACTCGCCTATAGTGTACCTAATTTTTATTTCAATCAATTTAACATTTCCATGCATTTAAAGGGCAGTTTACAGGAGAGAATGTGGTACCAAAACAACAACTCAAGATTTTTTCAGAGTTTAACATGAGAAATCTGAAATAGTCTTTAAATTTATGCTAATAATACAGGTGGTGCAAAAATATAAATTAACGTTTCTCTTAAACAAATAAAATGTTGAATGTTTGTGTTACTTGACTTAATTATCATTTCTTCATTGAAGAAAAATTAATGTAAATGTTAAGTCTTAATAAATTAGTTTCCCGTCATGCATGCACATGTTTATCACAGCATTCACTATGGCCAACGATTTGCAGTCGATTGTTGCAAAGGTTTATAAGTTTTTTTGTGCTTGAGAAAGACAGAGGTAAACCTTTCATTAGTTTAGAAAGGGTTTATTACAAAACCTGTAGATCTGTTGGTATGTCTTATCAACAAGTTTACAATATTGTAAACAAATCAGACAAGACAGGGACCGTCTCAAAAGCAAAACTGGGAAGCTATACCAGTGACTTAGTTAAATCTTTGGCCAATGTTCACAACTGGATTAAATTGACCGAATCACATCCATATTTTTGCAAAGAAATATACTATTGACATGCAAAACATTTATTAAAACGTTGCACATTTCTACAATCAATCGATAAAATAACACAAGTGATGGGATTCTTTCTTATGCACAATAATGCTAATGATTATTTCAAAACAAACACACACACACACACACTACCCCATATTTTTCTAAGTTTTTTATATTTTCATATGTAAAAACACATTTTAGGGCATGTCTCAAAATTTATTCCCTCGGTCTACATTAGGTAAATGTTTCTTAAAGTGATATTTGTTATTTAAGCAACTGTAATATCTCTGATTTTTACATAAAAGTCAAAAAGCATATTTCTAGCATTTCCGACAGTACTTTAGTAGAGATTGCGATCGGAGTCTCTACTGGTAGAATCTCCGATGGGGTGGGGATATAGTAGGTGAAGAATTGACCAAGTGTTGACCAGGTGGGGAAATGACTGGATTCCTGGGAGGGGTTTACGTCCCAAAAGTCATACATCCCAATTGTCAGACAAATCAATCAGGCGTGACTGTGATTACAACCTAGTCTTACCCACTGATATAATGAACACTCTTTGGAATACAGAACAGTAAATATATTGTGGATGTAGAACTTGGTGTAGAAACAGACCTCCTCTGTGCAATCTCTACTAGTCGGATCGGAGATTCCACCAGTAGAGACTCCGATCGCAATCTCTACTGGTAGAATTGGAGATTCTACCATATCGTAATCTCTACCCTGACATAGCTGAGTGTTTCCTTCTTGAATCATTGCCTTGACACGAAACCCACAATGACCTGGAGGGAATACAGGTGGGTCCATGTTGTTTGGTAGCAACAGGTACTGTGCTAATTACTTAGCATACAAGAATGACATTTAGCAAATTCGACTGGAAATCAAACTCAAAATTCACAACTCAGCCAGAAGTTGATCTTGGGGTGTGTTTTTATTATTACATGAATAAGAGAATAATTTTGGCACAAATATTTACCTGTTTTCAAAAATTTCTAGGTGTAATTACACTATGAGAGTTTCCTCCCGGCCTAAAGGCAACCCATGCATGTATAATAAGTACTCATCAACCGTCCATAATGACCAGCTCTCCCCTGGAACCAAGACTGATTTACTTCAGCATGTTCAGTGCAAAGAGTGAGAGTGCGCTTAGTTTTATGCCGCTTTTAACAATATTTCAGCAATATCATGGCGGGGGACACCAGAAATGGGCTTCACACATTGTATCCTTGTGGGCAATCAAACCTGGGTCTTCGGCTTGACGAGCGAACGCTTTAACCACTAGGCTACCCCACCACCCTCAGAGCAAAGAGGAATAGGAGAGCATACAGAATCAGTGGATAAAATGTTGACTAAGCATTTATCCATCATGGTCAAGTATAAATGTAAAACACCCTTTTGACAACACATGTTACATTTATTGACAAGACAGGTACATAGATAATAGATAGATTCATCAGGACACAGATAGATTCACATCATCACTCCACCGCCAGACCATTCCATTCTCTGGAAATAAATAAAAATATTCTTTTGAATTTCACATCATAACAAAAATCATAAACAGTCCAACATCTAACAACATTCAGGAAAGATGACTTATAGTTTACAAAATCTTAAAACTTAATTTAAAGGAGGAAAGTTCTCATCAAAACAATGAGACAAGATGCAACTTTCCCAATCAACTGTCATCCCTGGAATGATGTGTCTACTAAGTTGCATGTCTGGTAAGACTCAAAATAATGATATTAGCTATATCTTATTATCTTCAGAAAAAGCATTTTATAAAGTAATTGAAGTTTTGCATTAAAATAAGAATAAAAAATGCAAATAAGAATATAAACCTCCTGAGGCTGGACGAAAGCAAGCCAGTCTGATGCATGGGAAGGAAGCAGCCCCATCACTTGACACTTGTATATTGCCATGGCCAGACACAGGAGGTTGCCAAGCAGGTACACAAACTTCTGAAATGCTGCCTGGTCCCCCTCGATCATTTTAAATGCTGGAAGGTAAAAGTAACATCAGAACCAGGAGACTTCATGATGATAGGACATGTTGTGATGGTATGGTCATGATATAATATGTCTCAACATGTCTTGATGACACGACTCGTCTCAATGGTATGGCCATGATATGACATGTCTCGTTGGTTGCATCACGACGCGACATGTCTCGATGGTATGGCCATGATGTGACATGTCGTTGGTTGCATCACGATGGTATGTCTCGGCTATGATGTGACATGTCTCATTGGTTTGCATCACCCACACATCTCGACAGTATGGATGATATGACATGACATGTCTCGATGGTATGGCCATGATATGACATGTCTCGTTGGTTGCATCACTACACGACACGACATGTCTCGATACTATGGCCATGATATGACATGTCTCATTGGTTGTGTCATGACACGACACATCTCGACAGTATGGCCATGATATGACATGTCTTGTTGGTTGTGTCATGACACGACACTTCTCGATGGTATGGCCATGATATGACATGTCTCATTGGTTGTATCATCACACGACACGACACGACACGTCTCGACAGTATGGCCATGATATGACATGTCTCATTGGTTGTATCACAACACGACACAACACGTCTCATTAGTATGGCCATGATATGACATGTCTTGTTGGTTGTGTCACGACACGACGCGTCTTAATGGTATGGCTTTGATATCATATGTCTTGAAAGTATAGAAGTCACAATACTCAGATATCAATACATATTGTGATTGCTAATATCCACATGAAGGCCGACGTATCTTCTCGATGTGACCCAACTAACGATGTTACTGCTATCAAACAGTTTGTGTTCATATGACTGGTAAATTTAATCTTGCTATTATATGAACAGTCACACTAGTGACAATAACAAAATATAAAGAAGAAAATATTTCCATTCATTTCAATCAGAACCTTACATCATGTTCTGACAGAGCATGCTGATACATGGTACTCAATCCAGGTGATCAAGGTGAATTAGTTGTATTTCATGGCTAAGTAAAAGAGGTTCAACACGCATTGTAGGAAAACAAAAGGTCCCATTGTCTTACATGTTTCGGCATGACAGTAAGGTGACTGAACTTGTACACTTCCACACTCGGGGAAGACAGTCTATCCACCAGATCACAGAGGAGGTCTGTTTCTACACCAAGTTCCATAGTTCTACATCTACAATTTACTTACTGTTCTGTATTCCAAAGAGTGTCTGTATCGGCCGGAAGAACATCATTCCCACCATCATGATGGGGAAGATGGAGATGGAATTGCCAGCCATCCACATGATAAACATGTTCATTGGGACCTGTTTGATTGGACCAAGGGCAATGTCCCAAGACCTCTGAAAAAAATTAAGACTTGGAATGTAATGTTTATTTAAAGAACAATGCTTGTATTCAAATATATCCATACCATTGTTTTCAAAAATAAATATTTTGATGATTATTAACATCTGTGTCAATACACTGACTGGGATAAGCAGTTATCAAGGAAATGTGAGTATGTCATTTCAACATTTTCAACACAGATGAACGAATCAAAGGTAGTAATACCTTTACAATGAGCTTTGGGTCGGCATCCTTGGCCTTTTCACTGACACTGACTGTGTCAACATAACCAACAGGTGGTTGTAGTTCTGTGAACTGAACAAGTGCTCGATCACTTCGTGACCTGAAATATGAAGTACATATATTACACAACGCTTAATACATGTAAACATAACACAAGAAATGTACAACTGACGATCCGGATCTGAACCTTCAGACACAAGTAACAAGTAAATCTTCATTACATCGATCATTCTCCTCATGATTGTGATACTCATGGTGAACAGTGTGATTTTATTCCAGAATATTCAATTCAGTTGACCCACCAGCATAGTCCAACATATAACTAGACGACTTTGCACTACACCACATTAGATAACAACATAATAATAAATATATTTGTCCATATGGTACACGAAACTACATTCTACGACTCATTTTTCAGGATTTCTGTTGCCTCGGAAATCTACTCAAAATTGGATCAAACAAATCATAACTGCCATCAGGATTAGGACTTGCCAATTTGGCCTAGATATTTTATTATCTACTGCAAAAAAAGGGAATCAACCTAAGAAATTACCAGATCGGTTGTGAAAGACAACTCAGTATTACAACTTCGAATTCTACACATGTGAGCCTTTAATGGTAAAGAATAACTCACTTTCCACCACCTAAAAAGTCGATTGCCCACTTGTGCCTTTTCCGAGTAGCCATTTTGTTCTTACTGAAAATGAGACCTGATTGTGTAAAAAAAACACAATGTGGTGATATTTTATATGACACACGTTGACCGAAAAGAGCTAAAACTGTACTATAATAGTATTGTTTATAACATGAAAAATACGTAATGCCCTTTGAAAGTTGCACAATTAAGTATTATTTTCCCAGTTCATTTACTCATGCAATAAGTACTCCCCGTTGACACTCCGTCAGGGGGCGCTGTAATCAAGATGGACGAACACGTGCGTGTTGTTTACATGTTTTGGGAACAAAAATACCAATTTCTTGTTACTGAAGTTGTATTAGTTGATGTTACGAAAATGTTGTGCCAGATAATATAACGCTGAACTGACCTTGCGTATCGTGCAGTGATTTCTATCTGTACCTTTGAAACTCGCCACTTTTAGACCTACATCATGATATATTTCTGCCAGTCTCCTGTTATGACTTAACTTGAAATATGGTGATTTGCAACGCTAGAATTTTGTATTGGCAGTTAGCTGTTCCGCTAAAATGGCAAACTCACAATGAAAACAAACTCAATCACTGATTGTGAGGCCTTGAATTATGTGTGATTTTCATTTTGTCAAAGTCCCTGTGGTGGTAAACATTCTCTGTGATCCAAGCCATTTCTAGTCTATTCATCACTATTTTGGAAGTGAATGTTTATCTCCTTTAAGTCATTTTAGAGAATAAAATATATGAATGGCAGTAACTTTATTGACATGTGTCATTTTGTTACAGTTTTTAGTGGCATATATTCAATTAATCTCTAAATTTGGTATAGTTTAGTATAAATTTGGTATAGATTGTGAGACAACTCTTGTCAATATTGACTAGTGAAATATTATCATGATTATATACTCCAGACAATAAGCTTATTGTATTTGTGATCTAAATAGATAGTGGAACGAGATCTACCAGCTGCCATTGGACTGTTGAAGGACATCAAGGATAAGGCTGGGGATGCTGTACAACATGTCACCACATTACTCCAGAGGGTTAAAGACGGAGAGTTCGACACTTCAAAAGTGAGTACTTAAAACTGTGTATACAATAACATTAACATTTCTCCTATTTCTGCCAAGGTAACTGATTCCTGACATTGCCAGAAGCAGAGTTAAACCAAACTCACTCTCTCTACTTCTTCATTTATTCCAGCATTTTGTGTCTTTTCGTGACAAGGTCTTTGTGAAGACCTCATGATCTGATACCCATGAAGATCCAGCTGTCTTTGGCAACCCATGCTTGTCATAAGAGGCAACTAACAGGTTCGGGTCAGGCTCGCTGACTTGGTCGACACATGTCATAGTATCCCCATTGCACAGGTCAATGCTCATGCTGTTGATCACTGGATTGTGTGGGCCAGTCTTGATTATTTACAGACCACTGCCATAGAGCTGGAATATTGCTGAGTGTGGCATCAAACAACAAACCAACCAACTATGATTTAAAATTATCACCAGTTGATACCTTTAAAGTATGCATGAAAGGTGAAAGACATGTGACAGGTTTTTGTAAGATTGTCTATAACCAGGAAATCATGTGTATGAGTTAAATTTTCATAGTTTTGACATGGTAATAATGTAAACTGTGGTTTCAGGGGGTGAGTTTCCTGGAAGTGAAGTACCAGATGCTCCTGAGTTACCTCACAAACCTCACGTTCGTTCTGTTGAAGAAGACATCAGGACAGTCAATAGAAAGGGATGCCAGTATAGAAAGGCTTGTGGAAATCAGAACGGTGAGTCAACTTGATGTTTTTTTAAGTAGTAACTTCCGTCTGCTTGGTCTGGTGTGTTTGCCTGGATGAACAAAGGTCATGGTTCAAGTCACTGTCTGCATCATAGCAAAATACGTCATAATATGTTTTTTTGTTGTTGATCATGTTGATAGGACTAGGTGACTCAGAGTTAGTGTATTGTGTGTCGGAATGAAGTATACATGTTAAACTGTTGCATTGCATCTCAGCTATCACTATAAAACTGGCATTCGTCAGGTCATGTACAAACAGACACATGCACTGATAAGTGTTGACATTACATTTCACGTAGAACTTTGTATAAAGAATCTCACAGAGAATTAATTTTGAATATGCTGGATGTTTAAATTATATAATTGTATGTTGCATTTCTATCTGTTGATAGGTATTGGAGAAGATGAGACCCATAGATCAGAAGTTGAAGTATCAGGTGGATAAACTTATCAAAACAGCAACAACAGGAGCTTCAGGTGAGACAGATATCACGTCAGATACTGGGAAAAGAAAATGTTTAAATATTTAACTGAATTTTTACATTGTGAAACCAAATCAGCCTGACAAAACATTCAGAGAATATGCATCATATATGCATCTTGTTATTTGTTCTGTTTTGTTTTTCAGATGCCAGTGATCCCCTTAGATTTAAAGCCAACCCACAGAACCTCGTGAGCAAGGTGAGCATGCATCACAGCTACTGATATTATGTAGTAATCAGTGTTCAAATAATTTCCCATAGGCTGGGAACATGAGGAGTGAGTGTGGTTTTATCCCAATTAGGCAATATTCCCCCATGTCATGGCGGGAGGATACCAGAAATGAGCTTGATACACTGTACCCATGTGGGGAATTGAACCCAGGTTTTCGGCATTACAGGTTAACCACTAGGCCATTCATTAGGGCTCCTTGCCTCTAGGCAGGAGACCTATTGTAATCATTCGGATTATTATTATTATTATTCCGCCGATTTTTGTACCAAACATAACTCCTAAACCAATGCCCCGAATCGCTTACAAAAAATCACACAGATGCGCACCGAGGTGTAGATATTCCCCTTAAAAATCTCTAGGCTCTTGGCCCAATAGCAAAGGGGAGATAATTCAAAATTAATTCCAAAATTTCAACGTTTGACAGCAAATATCTCAAGAACTAATTGTTTCAACACTTCCAAATTTCTTGTACAGATGCACAATCGAATTCCCAACAATTATGCCTGGACGGGTCAAGTCGCTAAAACGTACCGTTTGGCAGTTATTTTTGTTTTCAGTTTTTGGCCATGTTGTTCAGCACTTTTCTGAGTAGTTTGCTCCCAAAATGTGCAAATTCTGCCAGTATGGTAGATGATGCCCTGGTGATTCCAGAACACTAATTGTTTTGAATGTAGACCCAAGAACAACTGAGATACAGCCTTTTAAAGAGGGAACTATTTCTTCTCCTGAACTACTTAAAAGGTACATGACTCCCGTGACCCCGGCTGTATCTGGAAGATCCGCTCGCCTGTCAAAACACGTGTTCTGGCCCCGTTTTGGACGGTGATATCTAGCCCTCAGATGCAATAGATAGAAAGTAAAGCCAAGGAGACCTCATCGTTGCCTGCAACTATATTTTGTCATTTGTATCTATATCAATATGTGCAACGCCTTTAGAATATATTGGCACTTCAATATCAGTAGTTCTCTATGCTCAAACATATGACAACATTTCTTAACAAGAGTATCTATCCATCACTGCACTGAAAGACAGTTGTCACAGCTGAATCCTTGGGGATAGTTGGGAAGAACAGACCCTATCCCTGAACTAAAGTTAGGCCATTCTTGATATTCATGTGCTGCAGTGATGCAGTTTGAATATTGCATGCTGTGGTATTTCTAGTATATATGTCCTTCATTCCTTGTTCTCAGCTTGACGAAGAAGCATCAGAAAGCGACTCAGCTAATGAGGAAAAGCCTACCAAATCAAAAGCTTACGTTGCACCCAAACTGGCACCTGTTCACTACAGTAAGTTCTTTTAAGATTGAATTATCATAAACTTTCAGCTGAATATTTTAAAATATTTATTCTACCAGTTTGTATGTCATGCTGAATTTACGAAACAAGTGTCAGAATTCATGCACTTCCTGAAAGAGAGGGAGTGAGTGAGTTTAATTTTACACTGCGCTCAGCAATATTCCAGCTATATGGTGGCGGTCTGTAAATAATCGAGTCTGGACCAGACAATCCAGTATTCAACAGCATGAGCATCGATCTACGCAACTGGGATACGATGACATGTGTCAACCAACTCAGCGAGTCTGACCACCCAATCCCGTTAGTTACCTCTTACAACAAGCATGGGATACTGAAGATCAATTCTAACCCAGATCTTCACGGGTCCTGAAATACTGCATCAATCAATCAATACAAGGTACTAGGGTCATCAGAATGCTGTCTCACAAAGCAGCATTGATGTGCTACAATGGCTCAGTGGAACCAGACTCTTATTCTCAGTATTCAAATCAATTTGAAACACATATACCGGTAATATCTTTCCTCTCCTTGCTGAATCAGCATTAAGATGTCTGGTTTGTTTCAGCTGGAGACGAGACAGCCATAGATCGACAACAGCGCCAGGCAGAGCGTGCCATGAAGAGAGCACTCAGTAGCAACATGCTACGGGACCTGAAGGACCAGTACTATGACGGTCCAGAGGAAGTGAAGGTACAGTATTCATGTTGAAATTGATAAAACATCAAGTACTGTTGTATCAAATCCAAGGTCCTGTTAACAAATTCGTCAGTCCTAACTCTTATGTTATCACTGGAAATTAACATGCACTATCATCCTAAAGAGAAACAAAATGAACGAGGCCTTTGATAAGCATTTGGAATAAGACTTTATTAATATTTCAATGTAAAACAACATTTTTTGTAGGAACATTTCATGGCTGTTTCTTACCCCTTAATCGGTTGATACCGGTATCTGTGACAAGTTTCAGTCTTAAGATTGTTAGTAGAAATGTGCTGATACTGATGATTAGAATTGTTATTAGATTTGTTCTGATTGATTGAACATATTTACTAAACACAAGGAATGAATCGAACATGCTTGCAGCATTCTGTTGTCTCTTTGTGTTTGTGAGTTTGAGGAGATGAATGGTGTAGGTTGCAATCATCATAACTGTTCCTGAAGGTAAAACATGTTATACAGTGCTCTTTGTTTGTTGTCTCTTCCAGGAGTCTACAGACCTGCACAGAATGTCAGAAAACAAGAAGGCAAAGGAAAGGCTTGAGTAAGTAGTGTGTGCTAAGTTTACTTTTAACTGAAATTCTGAAACAGGAAATCAACTTGGAATGAGAGGGAACAACATATGTTTTCGTATCCACAAGATTAGAGGAGGACATTTTATCCACTACTCTTCCTTACGATGTGTAAGATATTTTAATCATCATATATGATCAAAATATATATACCGGTACACAGGTATAGGAATGTAAGGACATTTGAAAAAATATTTCCTAATCAATCTTACTTCAGTACCGGTATATACAATCTCATTACAAGAGTTAACCATTATGGATTGGGTGGGAAGACTCGGAGACTTGGCTGACTGAATATCATTCCGACTTGTTCATGCTGGCAGTCTCTGCTTTCCTTGGGGTGATGAGGTAGACTAGTGGTGAAAGTGTTTCCTCTAAGACCCAGGTTCGATTCCCTTATATGTGAAGAACATTTCCAGAGTCCCCCCACTATACTGGAATATTCATAAATGCAGCATAAAACCATAAGCACTCACCATTGATTATTTACAGGCTATGTGATGTAGTTATTAAATTGCTGACTATGGCACAAACAACATTCACTCAAGACACTAACCATATATATGATCGAGTCAGTGTTCAAGCATTATTTCCATATCTTGTAATGATACTGTGTGTATTTTTTCAGATATGAGGAAGCTAATTTCTTGAGGTTACCAATGACGAAGAAGGAGAAGGTATGTTTCTACATGATACATATCTTAGTACACATGACATTTTCCTGTAGTCTTTCAGATTCTGCACCCATAATATCATGTGAAGTACAGGCATGTCCCATTCCATGGTGATAAATACCCTGAATGCTTTTCAGGCATCCAATCAAAATTCACTTGTGAAATTCTGTTAGAACTTCCTGCTACAGATGGAATTTTAAAGGCATACGTAAAATAATTGAAATATAAGGTGATGTGAAATAGTCACTGACTTCAGCTTTTTGGAAAAAGTAAAGCCAAATTGACATGTGGTTTACATAGACGATATCTGTATAACTGGCTGTGAAGACGTGGGTTAGAATTGGTCTTCAGCAATCCATGCTTGTCGTAAGAGGCAACTAATGGGATTAGGTGGTCAGGCTCTCTGACTTGGTTGACATAGGCCATCGTATCCCAATTGCGTAGATCGATGCTCATGCCATTGTTCACTTGATTGTCTGGACTTGATTAGTTACAGCCCTCCACCATATAGCTGGAATATTGCTGAGTGCGGTGGTAATAACAAACAAACTTTGTAACTTGTTGTATTTTTTCCAGGCTGCCATGAAGAGTGTACAGACAATGTCGACACTGAATATGGTCACAGACTTCGATGACATTAGAGCCCTGGCTGGGGGTGAGAGAAGAAAGTCAGACCAGGTAAGGAGTATCAGCCTCAAAGCAGTACATAGCAGCATGTACTATATTTTGGATAACATTACATGATCAGGGCTCCAGATAAGTTTTCATGACCAGGAGTACGTACTCCTTCTTTTTTAAATATAGGAGTACTGGAAAAGAATAAGTGTACATTTAGAGTACTGAATGGAATTTAATGGCGTATCAGTAATCCTGTGTTTCATTTCATATATGCACCACAACATTGCTAGTCTTGTGTAAACAGGTCAATAAACAATAAAACAATACCTTTTCAGATAAATACGTCTGTAAATGATTCTAAGACTGTACACCATTGCTGTGGTGCGTATCTGCTACGTTTTCTAAATTATTTCCTACCGTATCGTGCATATTTTATATACGTGCATACGCTGATACGGCCCTTATCTGGAGCCCTGCATGATTGTACTTAACTGCCTGTGATGGAATTCTTCATTGTAGCATACAGTATAAATTATTATTAACTTTGGTGATAAACAATAAGCAAATTAGAACACAAGAATGCCTTCAAAGCTGTAAAAGGTACAATGCAGTGGAGTGTATATGCTAACATAATATGGACTTAATGGTCACATGTTCACTTAATGGTCACATATACAAATGGGTGTTAAACAAAACACTCCAAATATCATGATCTATCGAGAATGTGGCAGGTTTCCTTTATATATATACTCTTATCCTAAAGTAACTCGGCATTGGATAAAGTTATTACACATGCCAATCTATCGCTTACCAAAGAAATGTTATAACATGATACTTTTATATGATAAAAATGGACACGAAAACTGGGTTACTGATATAAAACAATTATTATTTTCTAATGGATTTGGAGATATTCATCCTCGATAATCTCCAGAGAATACTTTCCAATAAATCTCCACTATTTATCAGAACGTATACCCTGGATATTATTGAGGATGGGAGATAATTGGCATAACCAGGAAATTGGAATACATCCAGAATTTATGAAATCATTTACTCAAAGACTAAAAGATATGTATTTTCAAAACTGGCAAGAAAAATTATCTATTTCAAGCACATGTGACACTACCGAATTCTATCTATCATGTTTAAATGTTAAAAAGTATAGAGTAAGTTTAGCACGATTCTGATGCTCATCTCATGAACTTCTAATCGAGAAAGGTAGATATGTAAATACGAACAGAGAACACAGAACATGTCAATTATGTAATTCAAATGCAATTGAAGATGAGTATCAATTTCTTCTTTTATGCCCTAACTACAATAATCTTTGAAGCAAGTATATAAGAGAAAAATATTATGTCCATCCAAATAGGCTTATGTTTTCATTACTGCTAAACAATTCGAATACTAAAGAAATCGAAAACCTGTCCATGTATATTTTCCACGTATTTGTACATAGAAAGCATATTGTTCCTTGAACGTCCGTAAAGCAAATGTATATAATGTACTATAGGCCTGAGGCCTTTTGAGTACCAGAATAAAGAAAGATCAGATGAACATATACAAATATTGCCTTATATCATCTTTTTACTGCTTAGGAAATAGGTTACAGTAGTTGGAGCTTTGCTATAAACAGTATACAACACAAGTGTCTCTCATCTGCTGTGCTTGAACTTTTTAAGTACATGTTGAACGTCTTGAGCATGCACTAGTTGCCTGGATATGTGCGCTATATAAATATCCTATAATAAATAATAATAAATGTTGAAAATGTGGTCAGTAGATCATGTGCGAAAATAACTTTAAATTCTTATTCTACTTTGAAAAACAAAGGGAAGATCTTTAATAATGTTTATCTGAGAAAGATAGAACTTGAACCAGTCTGTCTATATCATCATCATCATCATCGTTATTACATGTATTCATTTTTCTCCTACAGGGTGGGAAGAAAAGGAAAGGCTCAATGGTAAGTACCACTGCAAACACAAGGGTATGAATTAGGGGTGAAATGGTATACCGCGGTATTAGAACCGCAGTATTTTGCCTTCGGGTCGGTATACCGTAATGCAATCCATAAAATCGGTATTTTCGTACCGTCATTTTAATAACCTTTTTAAACCTTTTCTAAAATGTCTAGAAACCAAATCATTTGTCAAAATCTATGCGTTTCTTTTCTGCATTATGATCATATCTCATATACCGAACCGAAACAGACTGAACCGAAGGCCTTGTACCGCAATACGTACGGTACTGTAGTATGAGCGTACCGTTTCACCCCTTGTATGAATGAAATGAGTTCATACACTGTGACAACTAAAACTATGTTTTGGATATGTGAAAACTAAAAACTTGGATCAGTTATTAAATGAAAATGAAATATCATACATAGACAAGCAGTACTTTAATAATACTTGTTTTGTTTTGTTTCAGGGTAAAAAAGGAAAGAAGAAAGGTAAACACAGCAATGCTTTCAGTTTTATAGTTTACCTGTAACGACGTTTTTGTAGGGCATTGTTGGTTAAAAAACACACAGTGAGATATTTTAGAAGAGCAAGAAAGCAGTTACCTAACAGCTTTATGCCTCAGATGCTGGCATAGGATGGCTAGTCAGCCTAATGTTGGGGGAGAAATGTTAATTTTGCCTGAGTGAGTGAGTGAGTGAATGAGCATAGTTCTGTGACACCTTTAGCAATATTCTGACAATAGCATGGTAGGGAACAACATGCGCTTCACGCATTGTACTTATGTGGGAATCTTATCCTGGTCTTCATCATGATGAATGAACCAAATGACTACCCCACCACACTTTTCCCATCCTGAGGCCTTCGATAAGGGTATGGAACTGAAAGACAAAGGCTCTTTATTGGAACTAATATGAGATTCAAACCCTCTTCCAGCAAGGCAGGGGTGGTGGGGTAGCCTAGTGGTTAAAGTGTTCGCTTGTCATGCCGAAGACCCGGGTTCAATTCCCCACATGGGTACAATGTGTGAAGCCCATTTCTGGTGTCCCCCGCCGTGATATTGCTGGAATATTGCTAAAAGCAGCATAAATCCATACTCACTCCAGAAAGGCCTTGCTCCACAACTCTGTACATTAATTGCCACCATAGACCATCTGTGGCCACAATTTTCTTTGGGGAAGTATGACTATGTATTTGTGTGAACATGATCATCAGGTGTATAATGTTTAACCATTTGTGATTGAAAAGGTGTCACTGTAAAATGGTCTTCGGTTTGTTCCAGGCTCCAAGAAGAGGAAGCGACACCAGTGAACCTTAGAGATTGTGATATGTATATAAAACACCTAAAGATAATGTCACTTTGTTGTCATCCTTCATACTTCCAAACTGGATTTTGCATATTTAGCATAGATTATACACAAAAAATGTACATAGTATGCCTAAAAAGGTGGAGTCATTAGATTGAAACCCTGCTTGTCAAGAAGAGCGGGTCTCTGATTGATAAGACCCGTGAAGATCCGGGGTAGAATAGGTCTTCAGCAACCCATGTGCTTGCCATAAAAGGCGACTATGCTTGTCGTAAGAGGCGACTAACGGGATCGGGTGGTCAGTTTCGCTGACTTGGTTGACACATGTCATCGGTTCCCAATTCCGCAGATCGATGCTCATGCTGTTGATCACTGGACTGTATGGTCCAGACTCGATTATTTACAGACCGCCGCCATATAGCTGGGATATTGCGGAGTGCGGCGTAAAACTAAACTCACTTGCTCTGATTGATAAGGGTTGTTGAACACAAGTCTCATTAAAATCAGATCTTAGTGCCTGTTACCATTGCATGTCAAGTCAGAACAACTTTTTGTGAATTTTACACAATGAAATAACTTGTGGCATACTGTGTATTAACCTCCCAATGGCGGTTTGATGGAGTCTAGCCCACTCCTCTTGTGGCGTCTTGGCAAGTGCTCTGCGACCATTGATAGCTTCAACCTGTATTTGAGGTCCATCATCTGATGAAAACAGTGCATCACGTGAGCAAATTCCATGATGCCCTAAATATTGACAGATTTGTAACTCCCCATCCGATTGACAATGTAACATACTCACGTTCATCGGGAAATGAGTGACAGCTGGTCCGGTTGAGTTCAACCGGGCGTGGTGACACGCTAGGTACTGTCAATATAGACAGACAGACAGACAAATTATTTATTACAGTCTCACTTGTTTTACATCTGTTTTCAGCCGTTAACAATGTAGTAACAACCAATCGCGCAGCGATTTATGAGAGACTTTAATAAAAGTACAATATAAAATCAGGGATACTCTACAACATGATACGTCACTCGCTTGCTTTCTTTACCATTTGTGGGGCGGTGGGGTAGTCTAGTGGTTGGCTCGTCACGCCGAAGACCCGGGTTCGAATCCCCACATGGGTACAATGAGTGAAGCCCATTCCTGGTGTCCCCCGCCTTGATATTGCTGGAATATTACTAAAAGCGGCGTAAAACCAAACTCATTCAGTCAGTCTTTACCATTTGTACTAATTAGCGTGTGCCTCGTCATGCTCCAACGCACACAGTGACTTGGTTCGTTCCCAGCGCAACTTCGGCTGCGTTTAACAGTACTTCAGCCAGTGTATTGTATCAGTCGGAATTTTACAATCAATCAATCAATCAGTGAGTGAGTTTGGTTTTACGCCGCTTTTAGCAATATTCCAGCAACATCACGGCTTAAATTGGTCACTTCCTCTTATGTTTGATTTTGTTGGGCAGGTACTCATTGTGGCATGTTTGGAGTAGCTTATCAATTAATGATGTATTATCAAATCATCCTTCCCCACCTGTATATAAGAGGTTTAGATGGTCATCACACTGCATCATGGAGGTTATTAGGAACAATAAAGGTGGTGTCAAGCTAGGGCTAGATGGGTATATGTATACCAAGAAAAGTTCAAACAAAAGTCGTACTAGGTGGCAGTGTTCAAATAGATCGGCATTTGATTGTCCAGGTATTCTCCACACCAACCTGAATATGGAAGAACCGATTGTGACAAAGGAACACAATCATCCCTCTGACACTACCAACGTCAACATCACCAAGTTCAGGAATAAACTGTATGATATTGTTCCTGTGGCTCTTGCCAAGCCTGGGAAGATACTTGCAAATGCTCTTCACTCAGCATCAGATGAAGTAAAAGCAGAAGTTGGTTGACTTGACAACCTGAAGAGAAATATTCGCCGCCACAAGTCTGCATCTTATCCATCCATCAGTGTGGGCAGCAATGGAAGGATTTCAGCAAGACTACGCCATGTGCCTGGCTGTTCTTCTGCAGGACGCCAGGGGGTTTCGACCAGCGCCCAAGCGCGTGAGAAGAAAGCGGGATATGCACAAAGACAGATTGGGAAATCTGTGCTCAGACTTCAACAGTCATTGCCAGAGTTATGCGAGAATAAATCCATGTGCTGCAAAAAGATTTGTTGGTATTCTATTACATCTGTTCATTGAGGACCTTTTGTCCTAGACCCATTGAGGGCTTTTTGCCTGGGAGCATTTAGCCTAGGGGTGGGCCTATTGTCCTACCACCATCGGCGATAGGTCATTTTTCACACACCTCAAATACACCCTAACACTATTACTTGCAAACACCTTTCAACTAAAGGTATATTCCCCTTCTAAAAATTAAACGAATATGTGAAAGAAGTTTTTAGCGATAGAATTTAGTCTTTCTTCGCTGTGTACTGAGAATTGAAGCCAGTGAGCTACAACATGCCGACTTGAAACTTTACTACAAATCTACTGTACTAATACTGACACTAATAACAATTATTTGACTTAAAATGAAGTGACAGAATAGGTAACTTATCTTATACATGTAGGTTTTCAGTTGTCACAACACTCAGCGTATGTAATCAGCTGTTGAAAATAAACCGGGCTCAATCTTAAAAACTACGCTGCCATATTGGCTATTGGGGCTTTCCGAGGAGTGACCACTCCCCCTTTATATAGTCTCGCTGATAAAATACAGTCAGAAAGAGTAAAATATATATAGTTGCAGTATGAACAATATGTACTTTTAAATATAGAAAATAAGTATGTATTTACATATATAGAATGCTTCTTCGTTTTGTTAAAATGTCATGGCAGGTTTTGGCAGTGTAAAAAGTAAGATCCGCACATGATAAAAATACGACTAAACATTGTAAGTTAATGTATATGGCTTGGGACTATCTTAAGCTAATAGAGCTTCGAAAATCTAGGCACTGGGACACGTTTCACAAAGCGATAAATGCGCTTCGACTGTCGTAAGTCTATGTTAAAGTATGGGAGTTACGACCACCTTAGTACTATGATCACTTTGTTAGACTGGGCTCTGGTCCCAATTTAAAATATCAAAATCAGGCCACTTATCCCTGCAAGCAGTGATGAGATTTTTGCGCCTTCGTTATAAAGTGGACAGTTTAAAGGTGAGGTGAAATATTGCGCATTGTGGAACCATACGCAAGTTGATAAATGTGATGTCATCAGTTAAATAGTGGTCGGAAAATTGAGCGGAAATTATGTAATGCTTGAGCAGATATTGATTTCACATTTGCCTGTCAAATTTTACAAAGATCCATCCCAAACTCACTTCATGAAAATTATTTATGTTACACTGAAATAACACGTAAGTCTATGGAAATGGCGTCAAGTGTCGAATATGTTTTGCACGGGTCTGTATGTGTATGTGCGGCTGCTTGTACTAGCCCAGACTTAAGCTGGTTTTATAGTGCTAGCCCACTGAGATACCATGCCGCAGTGAAGCATGAATACCCCACTCAGACACATTATACTGACTCCGAGCCGACCAGTTCTTGTTGTACCCATTAATGCCGGGCGTCAGGCAGGGCCAACAAGTACCATATTTTAACGTCTTTTGGTATGACGCGGTGGGGGATCGAACCCGCAATCTTCCGCTCTCCGGGCAGACGCTCTAACCACTACACCACGGAGGCGGTCCGGACAGTTTAAAACAACATGTGCTTCATCCAGGGGGATGAGTTCGGGTTAGTTTAGGGTTAGGGTTTGTTTTTTATGTAAACCATGTATTCTTAGGCATAGCTGTAGGGACCGTTCACAATTTATGGCGGTGTGTGTGTGTGTGTGATGATGATGATTTTAAGGGGGGGGATTCACCAATTTTGTTCTGGGGAGCTAGGAGGGTGTGTCAGCAATTTTGTACATAAATATGTGTTTAAAATTATACTTAGAAAGTATGGGAACGGGAGGGGGGTCACTTATTTTGTACATAAAATTTAGGGGCGGGGGGGTCATTCACATTGTACGTGCTTCTCCATAAAAATCATCATCCACACACACACACACACTAGCCATAAATTATGAACGGTCCCCTAGAATGATAAAAAAAACAACAACCGGGTGTTACGGGCGGAAATCTTTCCCCCTTTAATTTTTACTTTCACACATTTTGACATTTCAAGCGGGGATTACTGGCGGAACTCTTACCGAAAAGGTCGTCATGTCGATAGCCGTCACTCGCCCAGAGTGAGCATTGCTGACACTTCAAAGCCCTCCAGTTGTTGAGACTCAGCCGTCGTCACCTCTACAGGTGCGCGTCAGGTGTGAAGTCTTCCTCCATCTCACCTGTATGCATTGCAATCAGAGTCTTATATAATGCCACTTTCAACACATTTGCGACGAATAAAAATATTGTTGTTAGCTATTTAAAGCAACATTGTGGAGTTCTACTGATAACCATCTCGTGGCAATGATGGTAGTTTTGTTTCAAATCATTTACCTTGATAAATCATTTGCATTAAAACATGGATTCGAAGCCGAAAAGTGCTCACCAATGTAAACGAATGTTGTCTTCCCAAAGCAAGATGGAAGAAATCGTGCAGAATTCGCATTGACATATTTACTGGCATGAAAACTAATACTTAATAAACGGGGATACCTGTATGTTGTGATTTGTTTAGTATGTACTTCTGTACATTGAACGGACGTTTGGTAGTTCTTACTCACCTGACTCTCTTCGGTCAGGGTTTTATTTTCGTTCATGATACGCCCATCAACATAGACAAGAAGTATTTAGGTATCAACTTGCCACGGGACATGAATTGCGTAACCTCAGTCGACAAAGCACAAGAGGCACGTGCGGAATACGTCTCATGTGAACCACGCACGAACAACTCGCACCTGTTTTCACAGTTAAGCCTCTGGGTTTTTTGCGTGTCTTTTTTATGGTTATCAAAACAAGGTTGTTTAAACATTTTATGTGGTTGGGCTTTTGAATGCATGTTGACCTTGGCTGAGATAGGATACAGCACTCGCATACGATTTGTGTAATTATTATTAGCCTAGAGCGGTTTTGACAATTTTAACAATAAACTCAGATCGAAGTGGTCTTGGATTTCCACCCAACACTCCCCTGGTAAATCACTCGCGCCCCAAGATGCCAGCAGACAACATGGAAAAGACGCAACTGGGTGCGTCCCAGCTTGGTGAGGTGATTCCTGAAGCAAAGCAGCGATCGTCCCCAACTTTTATAACCAGACGAAGGTCAGGAAGGAAAAGAGCCTTTTCAGAAACTGCAGCTATCGATATTAAGGTAATGTTGAACAGCTGTTGAATGAGACGCGATATGTTGTTGTCTTTCGCAACTAAGAATGCAAGTAAAATAACACCGTTTCAAACGAACATTTTTATTCTTGCATTTTAAAATTTCTCGAAGGAAACGAATGTTCAGAAAATACTGGTTTCAGTAATTATTCGTTTCGTTTCCGCTGATCTTGCGGTCGATAAATATGAAAATCATTGCACAGTGTAACACGTCACATAGATAAAAAATTCAATATTACATATGTTTGACGATGACAAATGTATCCGAGCATAGGAGGATAGAAATGTAATGGAATCATGACTGGCCCACTGGACGAGTATAATGTAAGTGATCAAGATCACTACAACTCCTACCCAGCCATAGAATGTGGCATATCTTTGACATATTTGATAATTTTATGAAAAATATATATTTCGAGGGTTTCCATTATATTTTTAAAAACCCGTGAAGATCTGGGTTAGAATTGGTCTTCAGCAACCAATGCTTGTCGTAAGAGGCCACTAACGGGATCGTGTGGTCAGGCTCACTGACCTGGTTGATACGCCATCCCAGTTGCATAGATCGATGCTCATGCTGGTGATCACTGGATTGTCTGGTCCAGACTCGATTATTTACAACAGAAATGGGCATCACACATTGTGCCCATGTGGGGAATCGAACCGGGTCTTCGGCGTGACGAGCCAACGCTTTAACCTACAGGCTACCCCACCACCCCTGGTCTTCAAAGACCCATGCTTGTTGGAGTAACGGTAGTGGGGGATCAAACTCGTTGACTTCGTTGACACATTGTGTAGATGGTTGCTCATGATATCACTCCGTGGATTGACATGTGCATACTCGATTATTCATATGCCGCCGTCATATCGCTGAAATATTGCTGAGCGCGGCGTTAGACAACAAACAGATGACAGCAAGTCAATTTTAACCAATTGCATGTTTATAAATGATAAATACTATACGATACGATACTTCAAATGGGCCACGATACATGGATGTTTTACTCTGAATACTGCCGAATCGCGATATCTGTCAAGAAAGGCTTACTTTTGTTTGATGATTAAAATATGTGCATATTTATTTTCCCTTCATACGTTTCTCGGAAATTCTTGCGTCACGAACTGTGTCAAACATAGCGTTCGAATTTTATTAACATTCACAAAGTCCGTGTTAAAAGTTAATTATCTCATTTCCGAATAAACATTGAAAAATGCTGGCGGAATTTGACGAAATACTTTAAAATGGTTTTGTTTTGATCTTAAGGTGTTTAATAGTTGGTGTTAGAATTAAAGATTTTAGTATCGTGATACGTATCGTATCGCCACCCTTATATCGGGATTCGTATCGTATCGCAGCTTTAGTGCACAATACTTTGGCAATATATCGTCGAGACTAAAATTTTAGTATCGTATCGCGCAAGTTGTATGCCAATACCAGCACTAGCAGTGGGTGCAAGGAACTCTGGAATGCCTCCCAAGTTATTGACCTGTTGACGGTTGTATTTCAAGACAAGATGTTCCTAGAGAGGAAAATTGTCTGCGAATTGCACTAGAGTACAAAGAGATTCTCTAATTTCCAACTTGACAGAACGATTCAGGCGCTATCGCAGCAGCAACTTCTGGTCAGACGTCGCCTCTCGGGGACAACACTGCCTCGTCACCGACAGTATCTGCACATAACGGGAAGAAGTATCGTCGCCACAGCCATGCTGGGAAGATGGAGACACTGTTGTCGACGGAGGAGCACAAGACTCCTGCTAACACAACCCAACGTGACAGCCCAACCTCCACACACAAGCCGGAACATATCACTGGGTCAGGAAGGGTTTATGGGTATGTTAATTCAAAATTGTGAGAAAAAAAAATCACTTTTATCTTTTAAGATCAAGTGAAAGTGTCAAGTGAAAGTGAAATGACGGTTTCAATTTAAATGGTCGTTTAAAGAATATGGGTAAACAGTAACTCGCCTAACGATTACCAAAGTTGAACGCAATATTCCAGCAATATCACGGCGGGGGGACACCAGAAATACGCATCATACATTGTATCCATGTGGGGAATCGAACCCGGGTCTTCGGTGTGACGAGCGAAAGCTTTAACCTCTAGGCTAACCCACCACCCCTCCGCTTCGTGACATTGCTGGTATATTAAAACCATACTCACATGTCCTTGTTATAGATAATCTCTCTTGTTCCAGACAGGACAAGGAAGACAAGATAGTGGTGTATGTATGGGAGCACAGAGATATGGAGCTCCCACTATCTAGTCACCAGCTCAAGGAATACGCCAAACAGGTCGTGGGAGGGAACTTCAAGGCTTCAAAGTCATGGCTGAAGAAATTCCTCGCCCGCAACGAGCTGACCCTCCCCTTAGCTCCACCAGATATCGAGTGAGTGAGTGACTTTCGTGTCACTTCAAAACACCCATAGAAAGCCCGAGGTAACACAGTTCATCAGTTCGATGACACCCATTAGTAGGGGTATGAAGCTGCTTCATTGTGGATCCCAAGCAGGACAAATCAGATTGGAACTCATGAAGTATTTACGGCATGGATAAATTTACCAGTGAGTGAGTTTAGTTTTACGCTGCTTTTAGCAATATTCCAGCAATATCACGGACGTGAACACCAGAAATGGGCTTCGCACATTGTACCCATGTGGGGAATCGAACCCGGGTCTTTGACGTGACGAGCGAACGCTTTAATGATGATGTATGCATAGTGTGTACTCGACATGTAATAAAGTATATGTAAAGATATATGGTACCGGGTTGAAATTAATTGATCCAACCAGGTGACACCACAGGCCCTCGTGTCTTTGCGAGGATGAAAGTTTCATTTTCATTTTTTAATTATTATATTTAATTATTATCTTTTAGATGAACAAACACACACACACACACCTTTCCCCCACCCCATCCCCCACCCCCACCCCGCCAAACACACACCACCCCGACTCGGGGTCCTCCCAAAAAATAATTAAACTTTCATCCTAGCAAAGACACGGGGGCCTGTGGGCGACACTAAGTTCTCCTTGTATTGTGTTAGCTTGGTCTGATTTGAAGTCGCATTGATGAGTTTGATATCAGGGCTTATATCGACTCAGTGGGAGATAGTGAGTGAGTATGGTTTTACGCCGCTTTTAGCAATATTCCAGCAATATCACGGCGGAGGACACCAGAAATGGGATTCACACATTGTGCACATGTGAGGAATTGAACCCGGAACGAGCGAACGCCTTAACCACTGGGCTACCCCATCGCCCCTCATGTGAGAAAACACTGACGTAATGCAGGCCGTATTTTGGTGCTGACAACATTGTTATAACCAAGGAGCGCGGGTATAGTGCTGATGATATATATGTCAAAATGGGATTGATAATGGGATTCGAACCAAAGTTTACCGGATATAAATATGCTCAGCGAGTTTAACAAGCACTTTGTTCTTTTCTTTCATTGATTTCTTTAAAAGGCTTCAAGACTCTCTAAATTAATTAATTCGTGGAATACGTAGTTTGTGTTTGCGTTCGTGCGTGCCGTCATTTTAATGTGCGTGAGTGCGTGCATACACATACATGTGTGAAATATGTACCAGCCATAACCTCGTAACGAGTGTTGACTATCAGCTGTCACCAGGGGCAGATAATTCAGAAACAAGTTATTTTTGAAGACATGTTTTGTCCTATTGCTCTGCAATCGCTTGTTCACTCAGGTTTCATGTTTAGAACTATAGATCTTGAACATTTTATCCCTATTAGAAATACTTTTTACATACGCTTTTTAATATCAGAGGTTGAACAGAAAGTGATGCAAAAGTACTCAACCGCAAAAGAAACGCCACACCGATAGAGGTTTCTTAAACCACGCACTTAACTCCCTCTAATATAATGAACAATCAAAACGGAGGATTGAGTTCAAACTTGATAATTATGGTTAACACATTTTCGGGAATCACATTCAGAGGTCACACAAACAAAATCACCAAAAATGGCACCATTAGGATACCTCAAAGTCAGTATCGTGCGTGGCCTCAATGGGCGTCGATTACGACATTGCATCGTCTATACATGGAATGAATTAGCCGGTTCATGAAGGCCATAGGCACTTGGGTCCATACTCTGCGAAATGCCTGATCGAGTCCAGACGCGGTTGTCGGCTTTGGTTGGAGGTCATTCAGTCGCCTTTGGTTGGAGGTCATTCAGTCGTCTTTGGATCTCGTCCCAAAGGTGTTCTATGAGCGTTTCTTTTGCGGTTCAGTATATTTACAGGAGTGGAGTGTTGCAGTTAATACAAGTTGAGACTGTATCGTAACTTTAATGGGTGGCTCGTAAAGGATATTTTGTTTTATTGATTTGTCTATCGTTTTATATTGTAAATACGAGGTGAGGCTTTAATAAAATATGTATCTGTCTGTGTTGCTGCTTTAGGTGCTTAATATGTGCTTAATGGTCTTTGATAAGGACAGCCTGGTTCATTGGGTATGCTGCGCTGGCGCTTCCCCTGTTGGATTTAGCTCATCAACAGGACTGTCCTGTTCACAGCAAGTGCTTCTCTCGGTCTATTAGGCGGACTAACATGCGCAGAATACTAGCTTGTTTTTAGGGTACCTGCCTTTTAAAATACTTATGCTCTGAATTTACTGGAGGAAGAGCTTCTTTACCTTATGAGAAGTGCCTCCATATATAATACAACAAACTATTGTACGCGATTTTTGTTGAGCGTCAGAAGGTGCAAAAGTTTATGTGTGCGTACATGCGTTTGTGAGTGCGTGTAAATGTATAATTCCAGGGAAAGACTTCCGTCCGTACAGCCCCCACCCCCCAACCCCCTTTAAATTTCATTCTTGTCAAATCATATCACCTGAATATATATTCCTCATCTGATAAGGACGGTTTTTAACATGTTTCTTTAACTGTATTGTAACATGCTGAAAGACATATCCAACCTCTAACAATGCCACTCAAATACATCTTTCCTCCTCGTTAAAATTTAGAGGGGATACGTGCGGAAGTCTTACCTTTCGAACAATAAATTCCAATTTAGCAATTTTATAACAGAAGCTCAAAGATAGCTTCGACTGCTTATGAACCCGCGTAGGTCCGGGTTAGAATGAGCTTTCAGTAACCCATGCTAGGCGACTAACGGGATCGGGTGGTCAGATTCGCTGGCTTGGTTGACACATGTCATCGGTACCCAATTGCGCAGATCGATGCTCATGCTGTTGATCACTGGGTTGTCTGGTGCAGACTCGATTATTTACAGACCGCCGCCATATAGCTGGAATATTGCGGAGTGCGGCGTAAAACTAAACTCACTCATTCATGATCACTCACTCGACTGTTTATGCAAAAAGGGAAACGACCAGAGTTATCTCACGTGGCCCTCGAAGTTAAAGTTTGCAGGAATGATTTCTTAATGGTCGGCGCAATGGTGGAGAACTGAGAGTTATCTACCTTCGGAAAGTGGGCGTGTCAAGTTTCGAAGCACATGACAGTCAAGCGGATGTTTTGAACCATTGATTGTACGACCAGCTGATGATCAGGGTCAACAGAATGATGTCTCTTGTCTATGCAGTTCTCGCTGCGCTTTTATTTACCAATTGCCATGCCGCCAGCAAACCGAATTTCGTCATTATGTTGATGGACGATGTAAGTACCAACTTGCACTAGTCATGTAAGTTAAATATATCATGTCAGTGGCAGAGGATCGACGCATCACTGTACAAATCATTTTATTGTTGTCTGTCACATGATCGTGCACGAGATGATCTATATATGGATTTGTTAGTGTTGAATGTCAGTGTGGTTCATCTCCATGTTATATTGAGACGATGTTACATTATCAAAGCATGAAAAAGATATATTTTCCTTCTCGTTCAAATTATGCATAGACATTATGCATATTAGTTATAATACAATACAGATCGAAATATTGCAGATATTTCTACATTTACTGAAAGGAAGAATGTCCTCCATAGTATGAAATATAACATATCAAATTAAGACACATTATTACAGCTTATATGTTATATAAAAGTGTTTTCTCATCTTTTTACATTAACTTTGTGCAAGAGGCTTTCCAGTTTTGACTAGATAATATCTGTTGATAAGGATCAGATATAACTCTTGCATGTTGAACAATAACGTTTCAATAGCCTATTTTAAGTGATACAGTGTTATGTTTTAAATATCTATTTAATAAAAAAATGGATTGACAAAGAGTTCAGTGGCTTCTCTTAGTGGAATAGCAATGGATAGTGTTAGTGAGTGGTGGAAGAAGGAAGACCCTTAGTTGGTGACATAAGATGGTCACAAATGTTGAAAACTTTTTAGAATTATTGTATTAGTATGCAGCATCAGACACATTCAATGAGAGTATTTACTATGAAGGGCTTTTGGCACAATTACTATTACTTTTAGACATGAACAACAACAATATTACAAATACAATTTTTTTTTATCAGTCATTGCCGTTTCTTTATAGGCTACAGTTAGTCAAAATTATTTGTGCCATTTAACCTACTGTACTGAAGATATGCGACTTATTTAGATATAAAGACATATGTCTTTGTATCAGTGTGTCAAGGTTGATTGTTATCTATCAGTCATCCATTATATACATGATCTGCTCATGATCTACTTATCTGAAGAACAAGACAATAAGAAGACTGTGCTCCAAGATAAATAATTCTTGTTCCCCAAGATATATAATTGTGAAAATGAAATGTCAAACTTTGCCAATAAGGAACTTAGGTATTACTACTGATGTATGCCACTTTATATTTTGATAAAATTTCCAGTACTGTTCATTGTTATGTAAAATCATATAATCTGAATCAAGTTGAGCTTATGCATAAATATCAATTTTGTACACATCGGCATCCAAGCAGCCATCTTGCATACAAAGAAAGTGATTTTGTGAATTCAGCAATTATTTGTTGCTTGCTTCATTAGGGTCTTCAGATTCTAGCCAGGCCTTTTTTTGCATTATTGGAACTGAAAAATGTTAATTAAGTTCCAATGAGATCTCTTCTACATAGAGGTTTTCTTGTAATGTCTGAGAGGCATTTTTTGTCTGGGTACTCAGTCTGCATGCTCGTTACTCTATCAGGCAGTCAAGTGTACTTACTTGAGCAAATCTTGAAGGATCTTTGGGCAGAGTTGTGAAGAAACATGATGGGATGGCTTGACATAAAAATATGTCTCTTTTAATATAATTCAGATTTTTCTCTCTTCAATGTTATTACACGGTGAACTTGTGAAGATCCAGGGTAGAATTGGTCTTCAGCAAACCATGCTTGTCGTAAGAGGCGACTAACAGGATCTGGTGGTCAGGTGGGTGACTTGGTTGACACATGTCATCGTATCCCAGCTGCACAGTGCTCATAATGTTGATCTAAGTACCCATGGTCCCTGGTATGGTGATCTACCTTCAGTTATTGGCGATTTATAGCCCATTTTTATACTGTATTGTTTTTCCCCTGTAGTTAAAACGTTTTAGATTTAATTACTAGTTTTACATACATATCTGTGATATTCTAGTTGTTTTACTGTCCTTCGTCGGCAGTTTTTTTATAATATACATATATTTTATTTCAATATCAAATGTTCTCGTCACAATATGCCTGAAATATTGCCGATGTGACGTTAAATATTTACTCACTCACTCAATCATAATGTTGATCACTGGATTGTCTGGTCCAGACTGGATAAGTTACAGACTGCCGCCATGTAGCTGGAATAAAACTAGTGTGGCGTAAAACTAAACTCGCTCTTAATTCCTGTCACTTCTTGTATATTATTCACATGATAGAAAACCTGCATAACTCATATTCAGATTTTTTAAAATTAGAAATATTGCTGAGTGCGACGTTAAACAACAAAACAAAAAATATTACATGGTGTTTCCTGGGGATTGTCCATGACATGCATTAAATCATTACTTCAGATCAGGAGACGTGTCAACTATGATGTTTGAACATTTTAACAAACCAAATGCTCTGTTGTATGATATCTCCTCCTCAGTCTGAAACAGTTGTAACATTGAGGCAGACAGAAAATAGATTTTATTGTATAGTTGCTTTGCGTAATGAATGCTGTATTCCCCCGCTGACATGATCCTTGTATTGTAGATGGGATGGGGAGACCTCGGGGTGTATGGTCACCCAGCGAAGGAGACCCCCAACCTAGACATGATGGCCGCCAATGGCATGCTGCTGCCAGACTTCTACTCGGCCAACCCACTGTGCTCACCCTGTATGTACATCATTATAAATGTCCCAGGAATAGAATCGGTCTTCAGCAACCCATGCTTGGGTCTGAGGAATGCAGCCAATAAAAACTGATCAATGTGAATTCTACACAGTATTGCTAATGGGGTCGTTGTCGGCACAGGTACTAAAATATGTACCCCAGGTACGTTTCTGTATGCAGAAATGTACCCTAAACTAAAGCAAGATACAGAAACGTACCTGGTACCCTAAATGGGGACGATTCCTTATTCCACAATCCCAAACCAAAACCGTATGTAGTTGTTCCCTTTCAACTGATTGTGAGTGGTATTGTGCATCTCGAAATATTCGTTAGTGTATTTGCTCATTTCTTTTATAACACATTCCAATGCATTTAACATGACAGTTCCGGTCAAGAAAATGGCTGAATGTGGAATGGAGGTGTATTTCTGTTTTCTGATATTGGCTGGGGTACGTTTATACAGAAACGGTATAAACGTTTATACAGAAACGTACCCGGTACACTAAATGGGTGATGATTACCTATTCAGCAAACCCAAATGGAAACCGTACGTAGTTGTTCCCTTTCAACTGATTGCAATTGGTTTTGTGCATCGTGAAATATTTGTTAGTTTCTATGCTCATTTCTTAAAAAACGCAATCAAATGCATTTAATACAACAGTATGACAGTTCGGTAAAAAAAGAGCCAATGCAGAATCGACTCGTCCAAGGGTAGATTTCTGTATTCTGATTTTGGCTCTTTTCAGAAACATGTATACCTGGGTGCACATGTGTAATACCCGTGCTGACAACGACCCCATTAGCAATACTGTCGAATTCACATCAATCAGTTTTTATCATGCCGCTGATAATAGTGACATAAATATCATCTGTCTGTGCTAAGATTACGTTACAGCTGATTTCTGATAAATACTGTGCAGCATTCATGTTGATAAGTACTTATCAGGGTCACATTCCTAAAACAGATACTAGTTGTATGAACACCATTGATCTGTTACACCTAGGAATTCCACAGTTGTAATGCTAAGATTACTTTGTAGCACAAGGTCATTATACTTAGCTGTATGCATCTGACATTAACATACTCACCTGACTGCTGTGATTTACGTATGATAAAGCATGGGAGTTTTGATCGTCATGGCATTATGACTGCAAATTAATACAGCACCCTGAACATATCACCTTAGTACTGTTCATGACAACATCAGTTCAGCTCAGCTCACTGATAATGCTTCTGAACAGGGCTGTTGGGATCTGCTAGAAAACTCTCTCACCCATCCACCCATTCACTCACTGAGTTTTCATTGCAATGTGAAATAATAATGAATCTTAAGATTATTACCAATTGATCAAAATGGTAAAATTCCATGAAGTAAGCAACACAATATAGTTGAAAACATATATTTTTATGTATTACTTAAATCCTCCTGCTCTCTTTTGAGGTTAGAGATGAGAAACTCATCAAAAAATATACATGGCCAAATTGTTAACTGGAATATGATGTGCCTGTCTCTCTGTCTATAGCTCGAGCAGCCCTGCTGTCTGGCCGGCTTCCAATCAGGAATGGTTTCTACTCAAACAATGCCCATGCTAGAAACGGTGAGCATCAAAGTGTTTCAGCATTTTTTTCATCAACATATTTCTTCCTTTTGTTAAAAATCATTGGGTTAAATTCTTTGATTGAGAAAAATTGCATGTTACCATTTAACCAGACCACTGTAGAAGACCACTTTTATTGGAAGGCATGTAAAATATAATCTTATATGGAACTGAAGCATAATTTCTGTTTCTATATTTCTATGTGGTTATCAGCGTACACCCCCCAGGACATCGTGGGTGGAATACCAGATGAAGAGATCCTCTTCCCAGAACTCCTACAGAAGGCGGGTAGCGGAACAAGATCATCGGGAAATGGTAGGGAGGTGGGATGGCTGTGTTTGTTAGTTAACTCTGCACTCAGCAATATTCTAGCTAAATGGTGGACCAGACAATCCAGTGACTGGCACTATAAGCATCAATCTTCACAGTTTGGATACAATGACATGCATCAACTAAGTCAATGAACCTGACCACTCTATCCTGTTTGTTTCCTCTTTCGATGAACATGGGTTGCTGAAGATTCTAATATTTAGAATATCATATCATAAGCAGTTAATGCATTTTGAATAAAACAAATAATATGTATAAAACAATATCAGCAAGTGTCAGTAACCAGGGCTTGATTTAGTGCTTTGTTACTTGCACTGGTGCAACCCAATATTACAAAGTGCAACCTAGTTATTAGTCTAACTTGCACTAGATGCAAGTCAATTTTTGAGTGGGTAAACTTCTGAATAAAACATCTGAATAATTCAAAAGCATATTTCTAAAATTACATATTGCAATAAAAACTGTGCAACTGGAATTTGACTGGTGCAACTGGGTTTTTATCTTAGGTTGCACCTGGTGCAAGTGGGTTAACATCTTTTAAATCGAGCCCTGGTAACTGTCTTTCAATCAATTTGAGTACAGTTTGTGAATAGTAGGTTGTAACAGCCATTTGAAAATCATACCAATTATCTGTATTTGACAGTGCGCCAGTGTGTTCAGCTTTACATCTTTAATGATGAGATATTTCATATAGTTTGTTCGGATGCTGAATTTGATGCCTTCCATTTCTCAGGCATCTGGGTCAGCAGCCACACTACCACCCCTTGAAGCACGGATTCAATGAGTGGTTTGGTGCCCCGAACTGCCACTTCGGTCCCTTTAATGACAAGAGCAGCCTAACATTCCAGTCTACAAGGATGCAGATATGGTTGGGAGGTGAGATGTGCAGTGATGTTTCAATAAACATAGAGGGGAAATTCAAAGGGACAGTCTCTATGATGATGATGATGATGATGATGATGAGTGGGTTCTGGCAAGTCTAAGGGACATAACTTTGAGACTTAGAGAAGTGGAACAAGAACTAAAATGATTGGGATGTTCCTCAATCCCCTGCTATATTTCCTGGGCTTGCATTTCTATTTTCATTGACATTTTACTGACCAATCAAACATCAACATAAGGGTATGGTAGGGGAGGTAACTCATATTACACAGAAACCAGGGCCTGTTTTTCAATGGACATGAAGACAAGGTTTTCATCAAAAGGAATTTTTTCACGGCTTTGTTTTGCATGTCAGTCAGTTGTTTAGTAATAAAGCTTCAAGCGGAAGTGAGTGTGAAATTTGAGATTGCGAAAAACACAGGAATGGTATCAGGTTTTTTTTTGTAGGTTTACCAAAATACTACCCAAGGAACCTGATACACAAAGCGTTCATAGCACTAAGTCATTCAGAAGTCTCTGATAAACTTTATAGTTATGATAGCTCATAACATTATGAATGATTTGTGGATCGGGACCCAGGAGATATAGAGGATACTCCTACTTCCCATAACATAAAATTCCCCGAGTCACAGGGATGTCTTCAACATGGAGGATTGAGGAGTCTGTCTCTGTCCCAGTCTAAGTAAACTTAGGCTCAGTATTATTCATGACATTGCTATGCTGAGTCTAACAAAACCTAGTAGAAGGTCGCGTCAGCTAACCTTTGAACGACCTATGACCGTCCAATCAAAAGCGAGACGGCCAAACGGATTTAACCAATCAGACAACAGCTACTATTTAGGGTTTGGCGGGACTTACAAACCGTTTTTTGGATTTTCTCTTCCCCGGTTGCTGAAAATAGCATTCGGAATCGTCCGAGTTTTTGAGGTAAAGGTTCAAGCGGTATGTGCGAATGTTTGGTAGGCTGTGTTCTGATTGGTCAGTCCAAAAGGTTAGCTGACGCGACCTTCCACTAGGGTTTGTTAGACTCAGTATAGCAGTGTCATGAATAATACTGAGCCTAAGTTCACTTAGAATGATCTCTGTCCGTGCCTACTGTAATGCTCCTGTCTCTATGTGTGCTCATGTCAGTGTTTCTGTTGCAGATACTACGAAGAATTCATGATTGAGCCGTCCGGAGAGTCGAACCTCACACAGCTATATATCGGTGTAGGATATAACATTGTATCACCTTGTTCCACTAACTAAGATCCACATTGTATGTTTCTACTGCTTTGACTGTCATTAGTGAGTGTTAAAGCATGTGATGTATGATCAACATAGCTTTAACATCACTTTCTGGGATATACCAGTGAAGATCCAGGTTAGGATTGATCTTCAGCAACCTTCAGCTTGTCGTAAGAGGCGCCTAAAGGAATCGGGTGGTCAGACTTGGTTGGCACATGACATTGGATCCCAATTGCATAGATCAATTCTAGTATGTCAATCACTGGATTGTCTGGTCCAGACTCGATTATTTACAGACCGCAGCCATATAGCTGGAATATTGCTGAGTGCGACGTTAAACAACAACAGACAAAATGTCTGGGATTTTTAAAACTCTGTTAGAGCTAAGATAGTCGTAAGTTAATGCTAATGTATGGCACTTACGACCATCTTAACACTAGGAGAGCTTCGAAAATCTAGGTCCTGGTCATGAAGTATGTATTACTTGTTACATGATATCCTGTTCTTCTTCAGTGTTCATAATGAAGTTAAAGATCTTAGTGAAATTACTGTTACCTGTGCTCAATTTCATCAAAGTGGTATTTTCTATAGAACCTGCATCACTTTAGACTTTCATCCCACATTATGCTGATGCATCAAAAATAGTTAAAAACTGCCCAATGGGGCATAAAACCCAATTCACTCACTCACTCTCTAAACAGGAGGCAATAGAGTTCATAGAGAAGCAGGCAGCTGCGGACCAGCCCTTCCTGCTCTACTGGGCTGTGGACGCTACCCACCAACCTCTGTATGCCTCGCGGAAGTTCCTGGGTACCAGTGAGAGGGGCCTGTAAGTAGGGACATTACTCTCTGCAATCACCAAATACCCTATTTACCATACTCATTGCCATGCTCAATCTTTATGACAAATATGTAAATAGTCTATGAAGGGGCCCTTACTTTGGTAGGATTTGTACAGCATTGTCTGTTATGTTACAGATGTTTACATAAAACTGCAGTTTAGAAGTAACTCTTATTGAAAAAAGTTTAATTCGAACCAAGTTTGTTCTCCTCACTACTAAATTATTTTAGGGCCCTTGATGTGTATTATGGCAAATATGGTACTTGGAGAATAGTACTTTTTATGGAAAGTTCAAGAACATTTTGGTTTCTGACAAAGTCAAAGTTTGAGTTACCATTTCAAGGCTTTGAACTCTTAAAAAACAAATCTGAAAAACTGTTTGTTGACAGAGTACTTGTATAGCTGAGACACTCAAATTGCTTAACAACTTTCACATGACCTGGAAGATGATGTGTTCTTCACCCAGGTATGGGGATGCTGTGAGGGAGCTGGACTACGGTGTTGGGGTCATTCTGAACAAACTGAAGGAGCTGAACATCGACACCAACACGCTGGCTGTCTTCTCCTCAGACAATGGTGGCGCCACATATGCAAAGACACAGGGTAAGTCGGACAAAGTATGAGCAGAGCTGTTGCATTGTGGGTGACGAGTGAGCCGAGGTAGTTGGGTAGCCTAGTGTCCACATCAATTGGACACCTCCACTGCCCATGAGCAAACGGTCCACCTCTGCTTTTGTTATCAATGATTATGCAGATCTGGGGCTGTGGGATAGCTTAGTGGTTAAAGCGTTGGCTCGTCACGCCGAAGACCCGGGTTCGAATCCCCACATGGGTACAATGTGTGAAGCCCATTTCTGGTGTCCCCCGCCGTGATGTTGCTGGAATATTGCTAAAAGCGGCGTAAAACCAAACTCAGTCAGTCAGTTATGCAGATCTGAGGGTTCATATGTCATGTAGGGGCCTTGGGGACCTAGTCCTGTAAAGTGCTGTATCTGCTGTGCAGAGTTATCACCCCTGGGCATACCAGGAACCTATGTTCATTGGTTGAAAGTAGCGGTTTGCCCTGATTATGTTTATTGGTTTTTGAGCCTGTTCATATTTTAAAAAATGGGAAACATCTGAGACCCGTATCACTTACATTAAGATGTCATGCCATGACATAACTGGAATATTGTTCAAAGCAGGTTAAACCCAACTCACTCCTTGACACAACTGTCATGATCTTTCTGAAGTAATACTGTGACTGGAGGTTTCTCTTATTTATTGTATTCAAATAACATTCAGATTTGTATATATCAACCCATTCTCTTCCCACAGAGGTTACTCCTGTCATATCTTCCTACGTAACCTCTGTTCTAATACGGCCCTTTCATGGTGTGAGCGTTCAAGACTCGTGATTGGAGGCAATCAAATTTAGTTGTGCAATCAGCGACGTTGTTTCAAAAGTGATCATTCGCAAGGCCTCGGTAATTTCCGTATGCTTTGAGAAAACTAAACCTCTTCCCCTGCGCGATGCGCAAACGTTTCTTCTAGACAGAACTCAGTCATGTTATGGCGGATCAGTGGCGTCTCCATCGCCCTCGTTGACAATGGACAAGCTAGCCATTAAACGTCTTGTGTGTAACATCAACACAAGTCCCCGGCAGATGGGGGATATTTGTGGCCCCACATTTGCTTGTGTTAGTCAAGTTGAATCTAAGTCGATGTAACACATGTTCTGATTGGATAGAAAGAAGGGAGATAATTCGTGTTGCGATGTTTTGCCGCTAGGGGATTTTACGAGAACCGGGAAATATGGCCGTATTAGAACAGAGGTTCGTAGGAAGATATGACAAGTAACCTCTGTGGGAAGAGAATGATATCAACCATGTAACTTCTGTAATTGGCCACCAGGTGGCAGTAATGGCCCCTTCCTGTGTGGTAAGCAGACGACATTTGAGGGTGGCATGAGAGAACCCACCATTGCCTGGTGGCCAGGGAGAATCAAACCTGGAAAGGTGCACTACAAACTCTGGAGTTCTTGAATATTTCAAATCTGTCTCTTTTTCATCATTTCACTCACACAAGTTAGACATGTGGACCCCTATTAGACTTCACATCTTATCTATATCTAGCCTACCCTGGTTCATTGTAACCATGTCTGTACCTAGCCTAGTCTTTCTAACATCCATTCAGCCACGATTTTCTTTTTTCTTTTCTAATTGGAAATGTTTTGAAAGTATGAATACATGACATGTTTTATGGATAACAACTTCTTTTCTATTCTTTACATGATCTTTCAGAGCTAATCACCTGATGAAGGAGCAAGAATAAGCTCTGAAACGTTGTGTATAGAATAAAATAGAAGTTGTTATCCATAAAATGTGTCATGTATTCATGTTCATCCAACTTCTAAATGCCTTTCAAAAACTTCATTTTGGAAGTAATTTCATATTACATAGCACCAACAAAAAGAAGATACTGGCTGCCACAAAACTATCCTTCATCTCCCCATCTGCCTAGATTCTTATTGGTGACCTACACTATCACACACCGACCTTTAATCCAGCCATGCTTTCTGATTGGTCACTGGCTCTTCACACCTAACACTTGTATGTACACAGGGGGAAACAATGGTCCGTTCCTGTGTGGGAAGGAGACAACGTTTGAAGGGGGTATGAGGGAGCCGACTATCGCCATGTGGCCAGGAAAGATTGCCCAAGGATCGGTACTGATGCACAACCCTTCTTATTCAAGCATGAACTTCTTTTGCATGTTGTAGTTCAATAGTAACTCTCTCTTCATATTCTTTTCCCTGACATTTTAACCCTGCTAATAACTTATTGCTCAAATTTTCTATGACTAACTTTTTCTTGATGTGAATATGTCTACTTATATAATGTATAATAAGATGTTTCATATCTATTGCTTTAATTTGTTTATAAATTAAATATTTATTTTTTTATTAAATAATATTCCGGAAATCGTAATCCTCAATGGTTTTTTTGTATTATTGGCTCTAATGCTTATTTAAAGGGCAGTGGGGTAGCCTAGTGGTTAAAGCATTGGCTCGTCACGCTGAAGACCCGGGTTCGAATCCCCACATGGGTACAATGTGTGAAGCCCATTTCTGGTGTCCCCCACCGTGATGTTGCTGGAATATTGCTAAAAGCGGCGTAAAACCAAACTCAGTCAGTCAGTCTTTTTGAAATGCATCACACAGTGTTTGTATGGTTAAGTAACACTGATGTCCACCCCCAACACCAGGTGTCCCATCAGCTGGGGTCCCTCATGGACCTGTTCACCACCCTGGTGGAGCTGGCTGGCCTGACCCCGCCCTCCGACCGTATCATCGACGGCATCAGTCTCACACAGACCCTGTTTACTAACAAGCCAGTCAATAGGTAGGTACAATAAGCTTGGCATCAGACAGATAAAGTCTGTGACTGATATATGGCACAATAATTCCGGAATAGAAATGTCATTTTCTTCTGTGAAAACATCAACAGATAAATGTGACATCATGCCTGTCTACAGCTAGATAAGACGACACTGCAATCTGCAGGTAGATTTATGAATTTACAGGAATATGTAGCCATAACATAATATTATATTAATATTTCATTTATTAAGTACTGGCAAACAAGGATAAGTTGGCAGAGAAAACGCGTTTATGAGAAGTAGGTGGTGCACGGCAAAGAGCAAACCCATTTGGTTTGTGAAAGGTAGAGCAGATGTATGCTAGTGCACGTGCATTGCATGACGATGAAATTGATTCTGCGCGTAGTTACACACATCATGCGCCTTGCTTCACCCATCGGACTACACTTGATTGCGGACAACCTGGGGCCCCTTCGCTAACAATGGCAAGCGCAAGTGGGCGGCACTCATACATACTAATACGGGTCCATTGTTAGGACGGTGCTCAACTTATCCTTGTTTGCAGTAGATGTGATGACAATTTGGTAGACTGGTAGGTGTGAAAATATGTACCTGGTAATCATTTGGTTGCTATGTTAATAATTTTGTAACACATGGATATTAAAATAAGTCAACAGATAGAAATGAATATTTTTGTCAAGTCCGGTCAAAGATGAAATGCAATAGAATGATCCATATTTTAGTAACAGTTCATGCAACTAGTATATATGTTAAACTTTACACAGCTTATTCTTGTTCAGAGTTGTATGATTCTAAGAGACACAAGTATGTATGGCACACTAGATGGTCAACAAGTAAATGTGGTATCTAGCCATTCAACACTTAGATATCGTAATTGGTCAAGATCTGACTGCTGTTTATGGTGTAGAGTTATGCCCCTTAGTTGAGCCAAAACGTGATGATCACAGAAGTATCTATGGCAACAAAATGACCAACAAGTAAATGTGGTATCTTGCCATTCAACATGTAGACACGGTAACAAACAAGGGTCTGACTTAATTGCTAGTCATTGTACAGATCATCATTATCTCCCTTAGTTGTATCAGAATCTGATGATCATGGCTTGAATCCAAAATTTAAAGTGGTAATATTTCTTGATATCATAGGCGGATCCAGATGGGGGATGCAGGGGTTTCTCAATAGTGTGCACACCCCTTTCTCCAAAAGCTGTATCCGCCCCTGCATATGTCATGGTTTTTGTCACTCCTGGTATGTTGACAGGACCATCTTCTATTACCGTGGCGACGAGTTGATGGCCGTCAGGGTGGGACAGTACAAGGCACACAGGTGGACGTGGACCAACAACATAGATGAGTTCAATTCAGTAAGGTTTCAATCTCATTGGATTCATGAGAGATTCTAAAAATGAAAGATGTAAGAAAAGAGATTCTAACTGGCCTCATTTCCTCAGTTTGAGCCTGAACAATCCTTATAGTCGATTTGACTTCGAGACGGATGAATTGTTCACTAACACAAAATCTAATTAATGCAACAAAATCAAATTTTTCACGGTCACATGAAATTGACAGACCAACTCTGATGATTTGTCTCATAATTTTGGACACCTGAATAAAAAAGTTGTTTAACAAACGATCATTATTTTGTGGTCACTTTTCGCTATTTCTTAGGCCGAAGAAAAAAAATGTTGCGGTTCCGATCACACCTCTTTAAAATGTAGGGTAGGTAGGTAGGAATTTTTTCTTTTTTTTTACATTTTTGTTTAGAAGTAAAGTACGAACTAATAACACATTTATCAATGTGTAATTGTTTATTCAATCAAACTTGTGGCCATCATGTCGACTTTCTTTATCAGAATGTACAATGTCCGTTGGTGCCAGGAAAAACAATGGTATCTGAAAGCATATTTTATTCATACCTCTAAATAAAATTGGGTCGGCACCAGAATTCAAGGGATTGGTCGGGTAATCAGAACAACAACATTTTTTTTAGGCCTTACTAGGGAGGACCACTTGCTGGTAGAACAGCCAGGTGTGCGAGTTCTCGTGTGAAATTGAAATTTCACTGCACACGCTTGTTGATTACCTGGCTGTTCTACCATCAAGTGGTCCCCCTTCGTAAGAATTAGCAAAAATTGACAACAAAATAATTATCGTTTGTTAAACAACTTTTTTATTTGGGTGTCCAAATTTATGAGACAAATCATCAGAGTTGGTCTGTCGATTTCATGTGACTGTGCAAAATTTGGTTTTGTTGCAATTATTAGATTTTGTGTTAGTGAGCAATTCATCGGTCTCAAATAAAGTCACACGGACTATAATTAAAGATGGTGATCCTGACTGTAGGTTATCTTCTGAAAATTTATTTAACAGTTTTGACTCTGTGTGTTGTCTAACTCACATCCTATTCACTGTCACTGATCGTGTTCCTGTTTTCATGACATCTTCAGGGCACAGACTTCTGTCCTGGTGAGGTGATAACCAATGTGACCACTCACGATCAGACCAACCACTCCAGTCAACCGCTTCTTTTTCATCTAGGGAAAGATCCTGGCGAGAAATACTTGATCAAGTAAGTCTAGAATGTTACTAGATAACCCTCTCAAAGATCCTGACTCCTTCTTTTCCTTTCCTATCACACAAATATTCTTCCCTGCATTCTTGTCTTCCTCCCCTCCTACTTGCCTTGCTTCCTCTACCTCCTCGAATCTCAACAAAATCCTGTCATGTTAAATTGTTTGTGCAGGCCCAAATCCTGTCCTATTGAACTGTTCCTGCAAACCCAAATCCTGTCATGTTGAACTGTTCCTGCTGAATCAAATCCTGTCATGTTGAACTGTTCCTGCAAACCCAAATCCTGTCATGTTGAACTGTTCCTGCCGCCTCAAATCCTGTCATGTTGAACTGTTCCTGCTGAATCAAATCCTGTCATGTTGAACTGTTCCTGCCACCTCAAATCCTGTCATGTTGAACTGTTCCTGCAAACCCAAATCCTGTCATGTTGAACTGTTCCTGCCACCTCAAATCCTGTCATGTTGAACTGTTCCTGCAAACCCAAATCCTGGCCTGTTGAACTGTTCCTGCCGCCTCTAATCATGTCATGTTGAACTGTTCCTGCCGCCTCAAATTCCTGTCATGTTGAACTGTTCCTGCTGCCTCAAATCCTGTCCTGTTGAACTGTTCCTGCAAACCCAAATCCTGTCATGTTGAACTGTTCCTGCAAACCCAAATCATGTCATGTTGAACTGTTCCTTCAGTCCTAAGCACTGTCATGTTGAATTGTTCCTCCAGATCCGACTCTGCTGAGTACAAGTCTGTGATGCCGAGCATCATGCAAGTCATCAATGAGCACCAAGCAGCTCTCGTGCCGGGGAAACCACAGCTCAACTGGTGCGACAATGCTGTCATGGTGAGATCTTGCTCTCTGTCTTGAAAAATATATTGCAATTTGAAATACTTGACCTAGCCCAGTAGAAGATATTCAGCCAAATCACTAAATAGATCTGCGTTTGATTCCCCACTGTGATACTGTGTAGCTGTATTCTAAATTATCTCAAATGCATCTCTATTTGATGAACTCTTTTGGCTCACCAATGATAACAGTTGCTCAACTCTACACTCATAGAGTTATGTCATTTGTCCTCAAAGACTCAGGGCAGTTTACTTACAGAATCACTTCCACTCAAGGCTGTCTTGGTCAGTTCTTTGGTAAACATCTTGCTAAATAATCTTGCTAAATGATCTTGCTAAGTAATCTTGAATGCAACATTAAAACCCATTCCATTTTACATTTCCCCCACAATTCTCAATTCTGTGTTTGATGTCAGTATAAGTATTTGCAGAGATTATCATTATTATGATCAAACGTCATTGTAAACATTGACACTTACATTTTGTTAGATTTCTGGCTGCATCTTTATATATTTTTTCCTGATCCACCAAACAAATTATAGTCTGCAAATGAAGATAAGGTTTCACATTTTCATTTAAATTTCTGACAGATGCGTTTAGCTCTGATCCTAATCTCTAACCAGACATTTTCGGACAGTGTCACCTAAAATATATAATAATGTGTATGTTATGATAGGTTATCTTATGGTGGGTTATCTTGTGGTCAGTTATGCTATAATTGAAAGGTTATCTTATGGTGAGTTATCATGGGTTATCTGGTGATGGGTTTTGTTATGATTGTTTATTTTGGGTTATATTTTGATGGGTTATCTTATGCTTGGGTATCTTATGATGGTTATTTTGTGAATGGTATCTTATGATTGATTGGCTATCTTATGATGAGTTATGGTGGGTTATGTTGTGGTGGGTTTTCTTATGATTGATTATTTTGGGTTCTGTAATGGTGGGTTCTCTTATGATTGGTTCTCTTATAATGGGTGGGTTCTCTTATGATGGGTTTTCTTATGATTGGTTCTCTTATGATGGGTTCTCTTATGATGGGTTGTCTTATGGTGGGTTCTCTTATGATTGGTTCTCTTATGATGGGTTGTCATATGATGGGTTCTCTTATGATTGGTTCTCTTATGATGGGTTGTCATATGATGGGTTCTCTTATGGTGGGTTCTCTTATGATGGGTTCTCTTATGATGGGTTGTCTTATGATTTCAGAACTGGTCCCCCCCTGGATGCGAGAAGCTGAACAAGTGCATCACCCCTCCTCCTTCTAAACCCAAACTGTGTACATGGCCCCACTGATTTTATGCTGTCTGGTCAAGAAACACTGATGACATGGAACCCTGTACATAGTTGATACAAGCAGGATTTGCCTGCTATTTACACATCCTAGAACATTACTTACAGAGAATGGAGTGACAAGACTTTTAGGGATAGAACTTGTAATATTCTTGGTACAGATCTTGGGAGTTTGGTTCAGACAAGATAGGTAGTCAGTCTGCACATCAGCAATATTTTTCTCAGAAACAATGAGTCAAACAGTATTTTTATGTGTTATTTATTCAAAATGTGAATTACAATTCTTACAAATACTCTACCTCTTGTATGTCATTGCCATTAATTCTGTATTTTGGCTGCAATCGCTGTTTTTGGTACTAAACAGATATGGGGCAGTGGGGTAGCCTAGTGGTTAAGGCGTTCGCCCCTCACACTGAAGATCCGGGTTTGATTCCCCACATGGGTACAATGTGTGAAGTACCATTTCTGGTGTCCCCCGCCATGATATTGCTGGAATATTGCTAAAAGTGGCATAAAACTAAACTCACTCACTCACTCACTAAACAGATACTCTTTTTCAGAAAAAAACCTGTCCTGTGAATTTCTTCTTTACATTGTACAAAATACTATCAGTGTTAAGTGTGCTTTGACAATCATGAAAAATACACTCATGTGATGTAAGAGTCATAAGCTTGCCATTTTGTTTTCCTGATTCTCAAATATGAAAGTCAGAGTTTGTTAAATCATGTCAAATGATCTATCTGTAGATATGATCTGTCCTCTCATAAAGGCTGATAGTTTGCAACACCTTTCATAGTTCATAGTGCCATGTTTGAGTATAATTCAGTATATCATGGTTGAGACTACAATTAATCTACAGCTCTCAATAGAAATCAGTGTGATTATCTCTTATCTCACTCACTCACCATGTATGGAAGAGGTCACACGTGCCTATGTGCCTTCGTTAAATCCTGTTCAACCTGTGGATATTTTTAATGTTTAGCTTTAACTTTAATCATTTTATACAATCCATGCACCCAATTGTTTAACATATGTTTGACTTAATACATGATAATCCACGAAATAGCAGTGGTGCCATGCACTTGAAAAATACAATTTTACTTGACCTTTATGTATAATGCGGGTGTCTCACAATCCATGGACCCTCGTTATGGCGAGGGACGTCTGTATCATTAACTATGTTCTGGCTGAGATAGCCATTACTGTGGTATCTGGTCAACCCATACAGAGTACTGTACAGTTCATCATATTTAACCATGTCTTTATGTCATACTCAGGGTAAAGGTAGTTTTAGTGGTGATTGATTAAATCATGTATTGTTCATTTTTTTCAGTTGTTTTTAATGAGAAATAGTTGGTAAATGATCAGTGTGGAGAAAAAGATAGTGGATAGTGTCAAAATGCTAGTTGGTGTTGGAATGCTTTGTTTGATGTTGCCAAAATGTCACATGTACTTAGTTATCACTAACTTATATAATGATGTACTTACAGACCCGTCAGTGAAATCTTTTTATTTTTCAAATTGCATATATAGTATTTCACTAATTGCCAATTTATGTTTTGTCTGTGAAGGTGAAAAGTGGCATATGGAACCTTAGCGCTGCTGGGGTTCCCTAACCCTAACCCTAAGGATAGTAAAGGGTGCCTAACCCTAAACCCTAACCCTAAGGATCGTAAAGGGTGGCATACCCTTACCCTAAACCTAAGGATCATAAAGGGAGCAGCTAGGGCTGCGCCCGGTAAAGTGCATTCTAGCCGAAAATTTAAACAATGAGTCAATATCCTTGAGATAAGAAAACTTGAACAGTCTGTTTCAGTACTTCAAAATATATATCCAGCAATGAATTAATGAAGGAAAGTGTACACTAACACAACAATAACTGCCCTCCACCTTTACTTCCATCAATTATAAATTGTAAGTACAGAATCTATAAACCATGTCATGTTTATGTAATATAGAGGAAAACACTAGATATTGCTACATGAAGAGTTTTATTTAGAAAGGGCCAGCCAAGCGTGCACATCCGGGTAATACTGTGTATAAACACACATCTCCAACCTACCTGTCTTTCTCGTCTGTAGTGTTCCACTAGGATGTTAGGCAGCTTTAGTGTAGTGGTTCGTGTCGCACAAAATGCTCTTTTTGTAATAACTGTATAAGTAATTTCAATTATTGTTATGGCTGGGAATACTTGTTGAAAGACTCCTTGACCATTGTTGTAATGGCATCTTTAACAGCTTAGAAATATAGACAATTCAATGTTATCTCTCACAAGGCAATGATTGGTCATGTTTGACACCAAACACACTTGAGAATCACAGCAAAACCTTTTTACCTTGGAGATTGAACTTTACTTCCAATGCTTCAACTAAAATACCACCAAGCACCATGGTATTAGCGATACATAAGTTGTGCCAAATATACTGACTTGCAGAAGAGTTAGTTCAACAAATGATCTTCTAGCAAAATAATGATTCAATAAGTGTTTACTTGACACTCAAACTGTTTTGAAATTTTGCCATAATTTTCCAAACATTCCTAATCGAAACGTCATTCCAATGCCCCATGGGTACAGGAAATAAGAGGCACTGTAGTTGACTGTGCAGAGTTGTGTCCCTTGCATGTGTCAGGAACCAGTTATCATGAGCAACTATCCTTGATTTTTTGTTGTAACTTAATGCTTAGTGTACATAGTGGGATATGTACTATTTATTTTCTTTTTACTGTATATCTAATACATTTTTATTTGGTAAAGCGAAGTATATTTTGTATACCATGACATAATTACAAATCGGTAATGTGAAATAAAACACTTCCATATATCTGACATTTTGTTATTAGATCTGTTGGGGAAATATACCATTAAAAAGTTCGGGACATACCATTTTTGGGGCATATTTGGGAGCCAAGATGTGTGATAGTATTTGGATTTAGAAACGATTGTTACGATGGTCAAAGTGACTCTAAAATTGGGGATGAGCATCACAGAGCTTCACGCGTTTAAATGAGTGGACAGACGATTCATAATGAAATCTGCAAGCCCGACATCCACGCGTTATCCCACGTCTGCCTGACCGTTTGAGTGACAGCAATAGACCAGTCCTTGTTAGGCAAACCTTATGCTTCCGGATAAATCAAGAAAAAAAATGGAAAAAAGAAAAATAATGAATGTTTGTACAGTCATTCCATGTTCTTGACACTGCCGTATTACTTCATTTTGATAGCTAATTTTTAGTGTATGTAATGGGGAGGTGGGGTAGCCTAGTGGTTAAAGTGTTCACTCATCACGCCGAAGACCCGGGTTCAATTCCCCACATGGGTACAATATGTGTTGTACACATATCAAATGTGGATTTTGACAATAAAAGGCTTTGGCCACAGGAAACTGAAAAAGAAAAAAAAATGTTTACATTGGACTTGCTTGGCAGGCGCACGCACCATCTGCTTTGACGGAATGAGCGTTTGCATGCCGTTCATGTTAGACTAGACTAACCTTTAGTCCCTGAATACATATAAATTTGATAGTAGCAAATAAACCCATCTAAATTGAAAAGGAGCCCCAGTGAGACCAGAACCTGAGGAAATCTAGACTTGCTTTATTTAGGGCTTTAGCATTGCAGGGAGAGCTAAGCATTGGGGAAAATAATATGGTTCAGGGACTGTGAGACAGACTAATATTAGGCAGAAAGATCGTTTTGGAAGTGGCTCAGTAACCGTGAAGGAATCGGATCACTGCAGCACTAGTCGGTTTACCACCATACTGTCTCAAGAGAGGAAGACGAACTGGCTGGAGAACAGTCTCGCCATCAAGTTGCCTTGCACAATAACAAGCTGTTATTTCTCTCAATAACAAAACGTTCATCTTGACGTCGATAAACACGTTGGCTACCATCACGGAAAGAGACGTTAAAGCCAGACTCATCAGGAAAAAGCAACAAAACATTCCTCCAACCGACATTGCCCAGGAAACCACCTGCTGCAGCCCATGGCTGTCGTTGAAGTCGATGATCAAAATTATCATGTCGTTGATATTCAGGAATTTGAAGATTTATATTGATAGAAAAGTTACAGTTTTTACTTATCTAGTATCTACATATAACATACCCGAACAGCAGACACTATGAAAGGCATGAATCTCACTAACATATAATTTTAAATGAAAATACCTGCACAATATCCTCAGATCGTTGGTAGATATGTTGGCTGTTGCTCATGGTATCTGTCTACCATTTCATACAAGCTGTTCTAAAGGAACATTAAGTTTCATCTACAGACTTGGATATCAATCACAGGAAAATCTTCAAGAGGCGCTATTTATAATATGTTTTTTTACATTCTGAATTGAAATACGAAACCTATCTAAATTTATCACACTATAATAATTGGAGGGAATAAATTAATTTCAGAATACCACACCATTACCTTCCAGTGGAAATGGGATGATGGAAAAAAACACCCTGAAATGAAATGATTTTCTTCTCTTTGATATTGGAGATGAATTTCACATTCTGTTTATTTGCTCTACCTTGGACCTAAAAAGAAAGCAATATACCAACAACAATTACAGTAGAGATCCGAGTATGCACAAAATGAACCAGTTTTTCTCTCACTTTAATAAACTGGAAACATTTCGTGAAATCATCAATATTTTTGCAAAAAGTATAATGTCCCATTTTAAGCAAAGCCCCAAAAGTAACAGAATATTGCATGAGCGTAGCATTGTTCATTTCAACTATTTAAAATGCATCTACAAACATAGTGTATTCTTGAGAAACGCACAATTAGCGATACGTTAAATATATGATAATGTATGATAACTTACATGGCCAATGGTTATCCTCATTTTGAACACAATATATCCGAACAAAGTGCGAAGCATCGTCTTTAACAATTCTTCAGAAGGATGAATGTCAGGAATTCTCATCAGTAACGTGCATGTCCCAAACATCGAGGTATATGACACGAGCATAAAGAGAAACAAATTCTTGTCTGATGATTTTATCATATACAGGTCCCCACAATCCACCTAAAGTGTTCCGCGTACTATGTTTAATGAAATAGTGTGGTCCTTTAATGGCAATTTTTATATCGGGTGCTCGTATCAGTAGTCTCTCTGTTGCTAGTCTTATATGCTTCATTCGAGCCTTAAACACGTAGAGGAAACAATTGGAAATGAGCGTAAAGATGAATGAGAACAATATCTCTAGAACCGGAAGGTATTTCGTCTAGATGGACAAAACATGGTCGAATCGCAGTCCTGTTGGCATTTTCAAACGACATAGGTAGACCATGGGGGCTAAAAAGACAGTATAGTTAAACCTCTTGTTGTATGCCCTCGGAATAGGAATACCATTTGCTCGTTGGTATAATGTTGCTGTGAGCTTCCTTTGGTCCACAATTGCCCAAGTAAGATTCTGATATTTGAACAAGAAAGTAAAATAACTGTCTGACGGTGGAATCACCAAACATTCTAAGGGTTCTGTTGGCTAGGCAGCGGTCAAAGTCTTTGACAGTTATATCATTAAAACACGACGGGGAGCGCCACGTAGAGTTGTAAAAAGAAACCAACAGGGTTTGACAGCCAGGTGTTCCGAGTTTGCCCTTCTGCAAGGGATGTTTGAAGCCATCGCTGCGTTTGGGGCTTGAAACATTAATAGCAAGATAGTTTCTTTATTTGTTTGTTGTTCACCGCAGGAGTAAAACATATGGCGGACGTCTGTCATTAACCGTTTACAGTCACAGTATCTCCCAGCTAACACGAAAATGTTTTAAAATATCCCCAAAACATTTCGTGAAATGTTCCAGAAACATTTTTTAAAATGTTTTATTCACGTGATTTTGTATGGTTCCAGAAATGTTTTAGAAACATTTTCAAAAACGTTTAACTATAAGGTTTTTAAAATGTTTTCCTGAAATATTTTTCGAGATGTTTTGGAAATGTTTTAAAAATGTTTTATTCACGTGATTTTGTATGGTTCCAGAAACGTTTCAGCAATGTTTTCTCCAACATTTAGTGAATATATTCCATAAAGGTTTTCTGAAAACGTTTTATAGATGTGATTTTGTATGGTTCTGGAAACGTTTTAATAACATTTCCTTTGAACATATAGTTTTAACTTTTCAAACATATAGAATAGCCCTGATAACAATTAGGTGGTGTTTTGTTTAAAACGTAAACCACTGGAACAAAACGTAGAACACTAACAGTTAACAATGTACATAATATGTCTGTGGCAAATAGTTAGACATATACATAGGGGCGTGTCTCACTTAGAAACAGCGTTAGAAAGACATATAGATGTCTAGACTCAACCCTTTTACTATATAATAGGGTTGGGTCTATACACCTATATGTCTTTCTAACGCTGTTTCTAAGTTTTCACATGTCCCTATGGACATATATAGTTAATCTTTACAAGGACACCAAAACAGATAAAAGAATGGCAGACTTGTAATCAACAATTTTATTAATAATTCTGGAAACGTGTACACTTTTTCAGTTTGTTTCATTATCTTCTTCTTTGCTTTTGCAGTCATCCATATTTCTGAAATATAGAAAACTTTCAATAATCTTAAGCAGGTACTTGAAATGTGATATTTACTCAAACCAAGTGACACTAACCAGGAGACTAAGTCTTCTACCACGTTTGTACAGACACGTGTTTGGTGGACATGAACACACTATTGGAATGTAATGATTGATATGATAATATCCAGAATCATGCTGAATACCAAAGATGTAGCAAGCACAGAATATCACTTACTGGTCAGAGGCTGGGTACAAGTACAAATCAAATCTTGCAATAAAAAGCCCAAAATATATCAACATGTTTATAGACAATGGTATTTAACAGCTGCACTTACATAATTCACAGCTCCTGGATTATTTGATGTGTTCCTCCATAAATCCATCATGTGTAACAGTGTGTTTGTATATCCTGGAATGCTTGTCTCATATTCGCCCTTGCTGCAATGAAAATAACAATGTTCCACATTATCACAAGTTATGAATTGAACCGTTTTCCATAAAGCATATAAAGTAGATCTAGTTAGTCTAAAGCTGAAACATACTATGTAATTGCCTCAAGTTTTTGGTGGGTGCCCATTTACAACAAACTTGGATTACTGGCGAGCGTTTCTAGCCCAGAATTGATTTATTACACATCTATTGTAACTAGCTACATGATTCAAGCCTTACACGCGGAACAGTCGCAGCTGCAGTACGATTTCGTTGGGAGCATTGTAACCAGATTCTTCAGTTTTCGATCACGATGTTTTCGGTTTCACCGAAACATCATTTCACCAAGAATTGTAACAACTTTATTTGGTCCAACATTTACTAAACTGAGACCACGCCATTTTCACTATGGAATACTGTACCATGAAAAATCATGAAAAACCCTAATCAACACGGTTTCAAACGATGTCACTTATATATTGGTGTCAAACCTCGACATTGTTTATATCTCCTTCCTGCAAAAGCAATTAGATCAATATTTTTATGTAAATCATCACCAAACATTGATCACCTCACTGACAATATATTGTGATAGTCTGTGGCCATACACTGTGGTATAGCAAGTGGCCATACAGTGACAACTCATAGCCGAGGACTAGTCATCGCCAACGCCCCGTTATAGTGTAGGCCACACGTTTATTTCTGGCTCTTGTCTAGAAGGGAAATACATCTATCCAAAACCGATCAATTAATTTGTCTGGGGAAATTTAAGAATACACAGTGTAAACAGAGTACCTTTAATAAGAGACCATATAATAAATATTATTTATTATATCGTCTCTGCTTTAGTATAGCACTTGAAAACATGCGGTAATAGTGGACAAACAACAATCCGACAACCCAGCAGATGGTCATTTAACATTTAGTTTAGTCAGTGTTAATTAACAAGAATGCGTCTGTCATTTCTTTTAAGAAATAGTTTTTTATAACATGCACACACTATGACAGCCAGTAACTATCCCACAGTCAAGTGGATCAGAAACTAATTTCGAAATTATTTTGATTCCCCATTTTCGTGGTATAAAATCGACGCAACTTTCCAACGACTTAAACGAGCAAAATTGTCATAGTTTAAAAAATTGAAAATTAGCTGTAATGTTAAATTAATAAAATGTCCTTCAGAAATAACATGGAAAAAATTAACAACGATAAGGGCCACTGGCTTGTGCATACGTTTACGATCGAAAACCGAACGTAATAGCGGCATTAACCGCCTTACTGAACTCTGCTTGAACACATATTGCTCGCTCTTGATAGCCCAATTATCCTTTTATGTGACATAACATTAATTAGGTACAAACTCTCTTAGACATTCTTCACAACGATATAATATATATCCAAAGCGAGCTGAATTCGATGTTCTGGTGATTTCGACGATTACATTGCTCGCGCTATATCGGGGGATTACGTTCGCGATCGGAGTACACAAACAGTTTCACTGGTAGGGCGGATGCAAAAATATCAATAATATTTACCCGAGATCGTTAATACCACTTCAGATGCAAATCAATTGCCTATATAACCAAATATAGCAAAAAATCTGTAAGATCTGTCGTCTGCTGGTCAAAATACCAGGGTGCCGTTCCACTAACCGATCTTAGCCCTATGCCAATCGTAAACCCTAAAATCCCAATCTTAGCGTGACGTTACGATCGGCATACCGTTCCACTAACCAATCTTACCTAAGTCAATCGTAAAGTTAAGATTCAAAGTCTAAGTTGCTCATGACCAACTTAGGATAGCTAAAATCAATCGTAGAGAAACCAAAATGGTGGCTTTCCTATTCTATGTGAAAAATAAGAGCGAGCATTTCACCGTGAGCGTCCCCTAAAGTCCCCCATGAAATGAATTTGTATATTTCTGTGATGTAAACAAACACTGCACTGAAGCCTTACAAATGTCAGGCCAGTCTGACCACTGTCGTCATGGGAACACAACCGAGCGTGTCGGTATAACACATTTGTACAACAGTATTGCAACGTCATGGTTAAGAATAGGGACAGCCGTAAAGTGAACAATGTTCTGAAGCAAAAAGATACAAATATGTTTGATTTCACTGCGCATATTTGGTTGGGGATTCTAAAGGCAGGCCGCGTGTTATTCAAGACCACGCCTTGTTTATTCTTATTGACAAGGTTAAGGCACATATTAAAAGCTCTGACACAATTGACATTTTTAAAGTCCAGACTTAAAACCTGTTCTCTGTATATTACTTATAATCTCGGCTGTAAATATTCTCGAGTAAATTATCTTTACACAGCGCTTTGAGCATGCCCAAGGATGTGGAATAGGCGCACTATAAATATGCATTTATTATTATTATATTATGCTTGATACCCAGCGTTCACACGCACTTGCACCTGAAACCAAGGTGCTCACTACCCCTAATATTTTGCTCTAGGTTTTTTTCTCCACGTTTACACTTGGTTGGAAAAATACCCATGAAGGCCTGGGTTAGAATATTGAACTTCAATAACCCATGCCTGTCGTAAGAGGCCACTAACGGGATCGGGTGGTCAGGCTCGCTGACTTGGTTGACACATGTCTTCGGTTCCCATTTGCGCAGATCGATGCTCATGCTGTTGATCATTGGATTGTCTGGTCCAGACTCGATTATTTATAGCTAAGATACATAGCGTTCACTAACATGAACGCTCATGTTAGTGAACGCTATGCATCTTAGCTAGATTATTTACAGACCGCCGCCATATAGCTGGACTATTGCTGAGTGCGGCGTAAATCTAAACTCACTTCGTAAACTACTTTCAATCATTTGCTAGACTATGCAAGGGAGATAACTCGTGCCTCGCATTCCTGTATCTCTTGCACGAAAGAGTCTCGATCTAAGCTTGGATCGGATCGTAAGATCGGGACCGGCTACGATCGGCCTAAGATCGGTTAGTGGAACGGGTGTAACTTTTAGCTAAGACGATTGTAAAATTGGCGTAACTTGCTAAGATTGATCTTAGATAAGATCGGTTAGTGGAACGGCACCCAGAATAATTTCGTGCTTTCAAGTTTACACAGATTCCCGAACGTTGGTTGGTTGAGAGAGCGGTCATGTGATCTAAATTTCAAGGTTCATTACTCTTGAACCCTCTAATCGTTCATACTTGTGTAAACACCGTTCATACGTGTGTGAACGTTTTTCGCTTCGGTTTCAAGGACCCCAATAATTGGTGATACCAATTTCGCGAACGAACCTGTTTCAAGTCACCCCAAGTTTGGCAATGTCACTACCAAACGGATTGCCGAACATTGTTCCTTTTCACAGGAGTTTAATGTCTCGCAGTTTGCGGGTTCATCCGGCGGTTTTCTGCCCCGAGGTCTGTTTAACAACTGCTCAATAAATTTCACAATAAACAATCACAAATAAATAGAATACAACAAGATCTGTTTCCTATTCGCCACGCCGCACAACTTCGAAGTCGGTCAGTGTATTATTACGCGGTCAAACAAGGTATTTACAAGTGAAAAGGTACAATGCCAGTTTGTTAAAATGGTATTGTTATTGCTTCTGATATTTGTTTCTGTTTGATACTGTTATTGATTATACTTATTAAAGCAGTTTCAAACCTCATAACGAATTTGTTGTTATATTTTAAAGATCGAATACTTTGAGAACTATTTCTTCAAGGGTTGGGATACATGTGTAAAAAAAAATCGCTGTGTATACAAACATCGCTGCAATACGTACGTTCTTGAACCGAATGGCATTACAACATTTTACAGGTATTAAAACACACTAAACAATGATCATCTACAAGTGGGTGGAAAACGTATGTGTAAACTTCAAAGTGCGAAATTATAAGAATTGAATGTCAGTTTGTGTGTTTGCACTGAAAAATGAACGATGTCAAAGCGTTGTTCAAACTCTCGCGTGAACTCGCTCGTAAACTCGCTCGTTCACACGAGTTTGAACACCGCTTTGACATCGTTCATTTTTCAGTGCAAACACACAAACTGACATTCAATTCTTAAATAATTTCGTGCTTTCAAGTTTACACAGATTCCCGAACGTTGGTTGGTTGAGAGAGCGGTCATGTGATCTAAATTTCAAGGTTCATTACTCTTGAACCCCTCTAATCGTTCATACTTGTGTAAACACCGTTCATACGTGTGTGAACGTTTTTCGCTTCGGTTTCAAGGACCCCCAATAATTGGTGATACCAATTTCGCGAACGAACCTGTTTCAAGTCACCCCAAGTTTGGCAATGTCACTACCAAACGGATTGCCGAACATTGTCCCTTTTCACAGGAGTTTAATGTCTCGCAGTTTGCTGGTTCATCCGGCGGTTTTCTGCCCCGAGGTCTGTTTAACAACTGCTCAATAAATTTCACAATAAACAATCACAAATAAATAGAATACAACAAGATCTGTTTCCTATTCGCCACGCCGCACAACTTCGAAGTCGGTCAGTGTATTATTACGCGGTCAAACAAGGTATTTACAAGTGAAAAGGTACAATGCCAGTTTGTTAAAATGGTATTGTTATTGCTTCTGATATTTGTTTCTGTTTGATACTGTTATTGATTATACTTATTAAAGCAGTTTCAAACCTCATAACGAATTTGTTGTTATATTTTAAAGATCGAATACTTTGAGAACTATTTCTTCAAGGGTTGGGATACATGTGTAAAAAAAATCGCTGTGTATACAAACATCGCTGCAATACGTACGTTCTTGAACCGAATGGCATTACAACATTTTACAGGTATTAAAACACACTAAACAATGATCATCTACAAGTGGGTGGAAAACGTATGTGTAAACTTCAAAGTGCGAAATTATAAGAATTGAATGTCAGTTTGTGTGTTTGCACTGAAAAATGAACGATGTCAAAGCGTTGTTCAAACTCTCGCGTGAACTCGCTCGTAAACTCGCTCGTTCACACGAGTTTGAACACCGCTTTGACATCGTTCATTTTTCAGTGCAAACACACAAACTGACATTCAATTCTTAAATAATTTCGTGCTTTCAAGTTTACACAGATTCCCGAACGTTGGTTGGTTGAGAGAGCGGTCATGTGATCTAAATTTCAAGGTTCATTACTCTTGAACCCCTCTAATCGTTCATACTTGTGTAAACACCGTTCATACGTGTGTGAACGTTTTCGCTTCGGTTTCAAGGACCCCAATAATTGGTGATACCAATTTCGCGAACGAACCTGTTTCAAGTCACCCCAAGTTTGGCAATGTCACTACCAAACGGATTGCCGAACATTGTTCCTTTTCACAGGAGTTTAATGTCTCGCAGTTTGCGGGTTCATCCGGCGGTTTTCTGCCCCGAGGTCTGTTTAACAACTGCTCAATAAATTTCACAATAAACAATCACAAATAAATAGAATACAACAAGATCTGTTTCCTATTCGCCACGCCGCACAACTTCGAAGTCGGTCAGTGTATTATTACGCGGTCAAACAAGGTATTTACAAGTGAAAAGGTACAATGCCAGTTTGTTAAAATGGTATTGTTATTGCTTCTGATATTTGTTTCTGTTTGATACTGTTATTGATTATACTTATTAAAGCAGTTTCAAACCTCATAACGAATTTGTTGTTATATTTTAAAGATCGAATACTTTGAGAACTATTTCTTCAAGGGTTGGGATACATGTGTAAAAAAAAATCGCTGTGTATACAAACATCGCTGCAATACGTACGTTCTTGAACCGAATGGCATTACAACATTTTACAGGTATTAAAACACACTAAACAATGATCATCTACAAGTGGGTGGAAAACGTATGTGTAAACTTCAAAGTGCGAAATTATAAGAATTGAATGTCAGTTTGTGTGTTTGCACTGAAAAATGAACGATGTCAAAGCGGTGTTCAAACTCTCGCGTGAACTCGCTCGTAAACTCGCTCGTTCACACGAGTTTGAACACCGCTTTGACATCGTTCATTTTTCAGTGGAAACACACAAACTGACATTCAATTTGTTTTAAAAGCATTTCAATCATATGTTATGAAATAGTTTCACCCATGTTACAGCATGACGTTTCTGAACAACATTTTGAAAACATTTCAAAAACATTTTCAGTATTTTTGAGATATTCACACATTATTTGTATGATATGGCATAAATGTGTGCAAAATGTTTTTAAAACGTGATGACAATATTTCATTAAACATGTTCTTGCATAACATTCCTGCAACGTTTTAAAAACATCTCACTAATATGTTGTGAAACGGTTTCAAACACGTTATAGCATGACGTTTTTGAACAACATTTTGAAAACATTTCAAAAACATTTTCAGTATTTTTGAGAGATTTAGACATTATTTGTATGATACGGCATAAATGTGTCCACAATGTTTTTAAAACGTGATGACAATATTTCATTAAACATGTTCTTGCATAACATTCCTGCAGCGTTTTAAAAACATCTCACTAATATGTTGTGAATTAGTTTCAAACACGTTATAGCATGACGTTTTTGAACAACATTTTGAAAACATTTCAAAAACATTTTCAGTATTTTTGAGAGATTTAGACATTATTTGTATGATATGGCATAAATGTGTGCACAATGTTTTTAAAACGTGATGACAATATTTCATCAAACATGTTCGTGCACAATATTTCTGCAACGTTTTAAAAATATTTCAATGACATGTTATGAAATAGTTTCACTCATGTTATAGCATGACGTTTTTGAATAACATTTTAAAAACATTTCAATAACATTATGAAACATTTTTATAACGTTGAAAAAAACATTTTGACGAAAATGTAGCTTTTGAAAAACTATTTTGAAACCTTATGAAAATGTTTCTCAAAATGTTTTGTGTTAACTGGGATTCCGAAATGGAGAAGTGTAAAGATTTGCAAGATCCTCTCGTTTGCAACCAACGAAAGAATGGTAAGGAAACTCCTTGAGAATTATTTCTTTTTAAGAAATGTGTTGCATCAAAGAAGAAATGGTAAAAATCAGTGTTCAAAACCACGCACTGGACCATAGGACATCGGCGGCCATTTATTAAAGCATTCGCCGCTCTGTGTTCCTGGTTGTACGGGAAGCTGTTACGGCGCTGTTTGACATCAATGTAAAATGTGAGGAATGCAACAGTGCAGTGAATTTACACAAAATCACTCGGACGGGAAAGCCAATTCCTGCGACTTATCCCAACTCCCGGTGGCTTATAGATCTTATAAGGTGTCCACCTACAAAAGGTTCAACTATGTTTGTAATATTGTGGGGCAAGACTACAGAATACCGGATACCTTCCGCCATCTTTGAAAGCTTATTTTAGAACTGCGCACAAAATGTGCGCAACTGAGTTCCTTAGCAACGGCGTTTTGTTAATGTTGAATACTCGACATTACAAGCATTAGGGTTTAGGGTTAGGGGTTAGGGTTAGGGTTTAGGGTTAGATTAAACATTAGATATGATTCTTACCTTTACAGAACGAAGTCGTCAGCACTGTCGTCAGCATCGGGTTGCAGGGGAGCGAAGGGGCGTCTCACATGCACAATTTCATCATTTCTGTCATGGGGTTTATATACCCGACTGATAAGCTCCAAGAAAGCTATAAACTTGTCCTCCCTGTTACTCAAGTACTTGCTTCTTACATAAATCTTTTCAAAATATGACGAATACAACCCCTTTGTGTTCCTGATCGTGGAAGTGATCTTTTCAAAGCACCCCAAGAGGACTCAATGGTGTTAGTATGTGCTCCCGTCTCGGGGTCCTTGAAATGGATTGAGTGTGTCACTTTCAAGTGAAGAAAGTCTCCATACTTCAAACAGTCATAGGCTTTCCAGCAATCGCTTATTATTGTCTCCGAGTCACGCTTGTCCAGACATGCAAAAAAACAGTTTTTGGATTCCCGATCGATTTCCCCGAAAACCGACTGACCCTCAACCCTTTTTCCCCAATTAAATTTTCTTTTTCCAAACTTTGATTCGTCAATTTCGACTATTCTTCCCTCCCCACCGATTCTATCACTGTCAGAATCTGCCGAAACAACACACACTTCGCGACAGAAGTGGTACCAGTCTACAGAAGTGTTGCAAGACGAAATGTCTAGTTCCCGGCGTACAAAATCTTGAGACAACTTGAAAATCCAACAATATGTGAGCAATAGAATTTTGCCACAATCTAGTTTGCTGTTTTCAAACCACGAATTGCGGCGCCGCACGATTTCTTGCTACATTTACAACACAAATTGTCTTTGCTGTAGCTTTTGTCTTTACACAAATAAAACATTAATATTAGCGCATGTTTTCCCGTCCCATTTTCCAAAAAGGCCCTTGTTTCTTAAAAATCGATGAAATTCTACTTTGTCTTCAGATAACTTGAAAAAATCCCACAATCGCATCTTCTGAACGCCTAGTAGTAGTTGTAGTCTTCCAAATATGGCCGTTAATAGGCTATGACGTAGACACACACTGACTAATCACTGAACACTTACCTTCCAGAAATTTCCCACGCTCATTCGCTCCAATTTTTTCAATGACGCATATATTTTTTTATTTGTGGTAACTTACCTTTCATTTTAAAAATCGTTGGTTAGTTTTACTAACCGGAAGTCGTCTCAATTAATCCGATTTTAATGGTTATTTTTATGTTAATGTTTTTTCGAATTTTATAGCTCGTGCTTCCCTGTAATAGGAAGTGCGCGTGCTATTAAAGAATATGGTTGGCAGGTATCCGGTATTCTGTAGGTGTACCGACGGTCTATTTCAGACCAAACCCCGCGATGAACAAGGGCGTCGCTGTTTTGACCAGCGGCTTCTGGAGACCGGGAACTGTCACCGCATCTAAGAACTCTACTTATGGCCGAGTGTACGAGGTGACGGACACTCAAACCTCCCATAGGTTCCAGTTGAACAGACATCAGATCCGTGATGGTCAGATTTAGATGTATAAGAAATAAATGTTTTTACACCTTATTCACTCTTTGTCTTTCTTCATGTATTGTTGAATATTTCAAGGAAAGCAAACGTATTCGATAATTACCATGGCCTAAATTTTCGAAACTCTCTTAGTTTCTATGATAGTCGTAAAAAACATTAGCAATATCGAAAGACGATCTTAGCGCTAACAGAGCTTCGAAAATCTAGGCCCAGGGGTATCAGTAAGTTAGAAACGCATAAATGAAATGCCATTAACCCCTATTCTACAGAGCTGAAATGTTCTAACGACGATGAGTAGGAAATCCGCCACAGATTAGGGTAGGTACAGCAACTAGCCATGGATTTGAAAATCTGCCATGGATTTGGAATATCCGCCACGGATTTGAGGCCTGCCATGGATCCGAGTCTTACATATTTAATTATTGATTCATTAACCCTTGAAATAATTGTCAAAAGGGGAAGATTTCATTGATTTTATCGGTCTACTGAAATTATATTACGTATACAATTGATGGACTGCATATAAGCCCCTTACAATACAAACCAATAATAGCGATTTGAATTTAAATGTTCAATTAGCAAGGTAAAATTATGAGAATTCGCAATCTTAATTTCACATTATTTGATTTACTTTTCTGTTTAAAGTAAAATTCATCGGTACGTTTTCAAAGCAAACAGACTATACATGAGTTGCTGCATACAAACCAGAAGGAATGTGTACTGTGACATTGCCTGGAAAAGTACCTGGGACAAATGACCTGAAATAACAGAAGATGGTTTCATATCAACAACAGATGCAGGTCTCGACATTAAGAGAAATATTTACACAGTGAATTAAATGTGTGTAATGGAAATCGTGATGAACATGAATGGTGGATCCCCTTCAGTGTCAGTCTCTCTCTCTCTCACTCTCTCTCTCTCTCTCTCTCTCTCTCTCTCTCTCTCTCTCTCTCATTTGTTATCATGTGTGCTAATTGAAGCTTTTAAGACAGACAAATGCAGTTTTACCTCATGTCATGTGGGATAGTGGCGTACAAAGTTGTAAAGACGAATACTTTCACAGAAAGCAGCTTGTTTTCAAACAAATACATTGACGTTTATAGTGTCTTAGATCCTTCCCGCTATTTAAAAAGTTGTTCCTTAATTGCATTTAGGATTATGTGATACATGGGTTGCGTGTAAAACTTTAACGGGTCATTGAAACCCAGTACAAAGGTAACGGGCAGCCCAGAAGTTAATAGTACTGATACATAGTTTTGGCAGATTTCTTCCTCAATTGATATTCTGGCCTTGTGTGATATTATTTGATATGTCCTTACATGCAGATGTGCTGTTCAACCCCTCTATCTAGATTAAAACTAATTCTCTATTCTCATATTTATACTTACTTCAAATACCATTCGCTGTTAGGTTTTAGTGTCATCTTCAACCATGGTACTGAATTGATGCCTGTCCAATGGCTGCATTGAATTCCGTTCTTCTTCGGTTTTACACAATACAATGGAACACCGTAATGTTTGTCTGTTAGATTGCAAACTTGTCCAATCCTCAGAAATGCGTGATCCATGTGTCCTGAAGTGATCTCAGTTAAATTTGGCGTGTTAAATAAGCACGTGATTTTCTTTCCAACATATCCTTTCCTCAATTCCCTGTGCATGAAAGCCATTTTTTCTCTTGTACACAATATTGCTGCACGGATGACAGCTTGCCCTGTCCACAAGATGCGCAGAATACCTGTGTATGTCCCATTGTCATGGTCAGTAACGGATCCTGCTGAAGCAGCTCCTTTGCTTCTGTCTCGCATCCATAAGATAAGCATGTCTCCACCTCGGGCTTTGGGTCTCTGCTTGTGGTCAAACAGTACAATCTTCACTCTGATTGTTCCATTAAGTGTGTACACCGTATCGGAGTTAACAAGGGTCATCGTTGAGGCTGTTGCAGATGCATGATAACTGATATCATTTATTTCGGTATCATTCATCATATAGATTTCTTGGTTGATTTTAATATCAACTAAAGGAGTTTGGATTTTGCTCTCAGTTCTTGAAGGGGAGGGCTCTCTTACGGTTTGAACCCTGTAAAGAATCATGTACAGTAAAAGTTGATGTTACATGTAATCGTCTTTTTACATACTTACAGGTAAACATATGTCATATGTTTAATATAATATAGCGTGAATATCTAGTATAGATTGTGTGTGTGCTAGCCAAATGGAACAACCTTCAACAGTCCATGCTGATTACCCTACACTGACAAAGTGGTGATAATGCAACAATGTTATAATGGTAACAGTTTACTTTGACACTGTACCAAATAGTGGTGACATGTACATGAATGGATTTAATCAATGCCACAAAAGGGGTAGTAGTGTTGGTCGCCTGAATATGAAGAGACGTGCTCCTGTGGCATCGTTTAACGATTTTAGGATGACTGTAAATCGGAATAAATTATAAACATATCTGGTAACTTCATTTATTACATTATGTTAATATTGTTCAGGGTTACAAAACAGGGGATGTTCACATTGATATATAAACACGAAACCACATGGAGTGTGAACTGTTTTGAAAAAAACTGGTAACGCAATTCATGATGATGCAGCGCTCGAAAATCTGTGACGACATTTCTGATGCCATACAGTCAATTTATTATCCATATGGTGAAATATAACCAGTGTCATATATATCATATGTGCACATGTACACATATCTCTTTTGCCTAGCAGCCATTGTTTCTGTATTTCGTCGTATGTGATGTCATTAAACAAATGAACATGACGTCAATGAAGAGTGTCGTCACTTGCTTACCGTATTTTAGTGCACAAATGTGCATGAATAAAATAGATAATAGAGACATTATTACACCTGAGCAAGTGTGGCATATGACTAATACAAAACTCGTATCGTGCAAAATTATGTAAATCCATGGAGGTGTGGCCCCAAGCATTGTGGCCCCAAGCATGGTGATCTACTTTCAGTTGCTGGTGATGAAAAGCTTGATTTTATATTGTGTAGTTGACAACCGATCTAGCATTTTAAACTGATCTCATGCTTGTGTTAATTAATCTGGGATAATCTAGTTGTTATACTGTTCTTCACTGACAGCATTTTAAAAAGTATTAACATATTTATCCATATCACTGTGTATGACTTTTGTCGTCACGATATGGCAGGTATTTTGTCAATGTGATGTTAATTCACTCATTGGAAGCTTGTCAGTGAGTGAGTTTAGTTTTACGCCACACTGAGCAATATTTCAGCTCTATGGCGGCGGTCTGGAAATAATAGAGTCAGGACCAGCCAATCCAGTGATTAACAGCATGAGCATCGGTCTACGCAATTGGGAACCGATGACATATGTCAACCAAGTCAACGAGCCTGACCGCCCGATCCCGTTGGTCGCCTCTTGCGACAAGCATGGGTTACTGAAGGTTCATTCTAACCCGGATCTTCACGGGTCTGGAAGCTTGTGACTTTTCTTAGCAGCTCCCACGTATGATTGCATTTATCCAGGGTCTTTCAAGCAAACACTGTCACATTAACCACAACTGTTTAGTAAAGCCATTTTGTTTTTACCAACATGCCATGAATCAAATTTAATTATTATAGTTCTACCTTAACAATAACAGTTGTGTGTGTCAACAGTTTCTCTTTTTCGTGAGTATCATTGTTGGTTCTTGCTTTATTTATCTTTGAAAATGTTTATGTTTTAAAACAACAACCCCAACACCCCAACACCCCAACCCCAACCCCCAACCCCCTTCATTGCAGGCTTAAGTTGTACCAACTATGATTCTTTTAAGATCTTGGTGAGATATTATCTGAAGGTACGGGAATACCGAAACAACATATATCAAGCACCAACAGGAAACTACGACATCATGCATTTTAATAGCTCAAAGTCAAAGCGTAACAGTATTTCTGCCTCATAACAAAAATAGATGTCCCCTGAATGCAATTATTGAAACTAGGATAACATACAGTGTATTGCAATTCAAAATAGTGAGATTAAATTCTTTCATTTTTTACAGATTGAGATAAAATGCAGCAGAGAGAGAGGTTGGATGGTCCAGGCACAGGTGTCCTTGTTCTATCTACACGCAGTCCAGACAGTGATTGTGACTTCTCCCAGGAAGCACTGTCTATGCGAACCCGGTTGTCTCCCCAAAAGCCCTACAGCCCAGTACCCCTACAGCCCAGTAACCCTACAACTAACAACACACGGCATTTACCTGTCTGGCATAATGAACTGACCCAAAGGACTGACTGACTGACTGAGTTTGGTTTTACGCCGCTTTTAGCAATATTCCAGCAATATCACGGCGGGGGACACAAGAAATGGGCTTCACTCATTGTACCCATGTGGGGATTCGAACCCGAGTCTTCGGCGTGACGAGCCAACGCTTTAACCACTAGACTACCCCACCGCCCTGACCCAAAGGAGTGATTACAGGGTAGAGTATACAGTGTGAGCTGCAAAGAGTATACAGATGAGGAGGGATTGAGATTGTGCTTTTGTTATTCGGGTTTTGATAATTTATTTTAAATATTTGAGATGAATTAGATGTTGAACTAGTCTTTTTAGCTTCCTGATGTACATAATGAGTAGAACGATTTTGCAAATCGTAATAATATCAGTTGTAATAATGTTGGTGATAGTAAACTGAGATAAATAATTTGAGATGATTTGGGGTGGTATATACGAGGGGCGTTCAGAAAGTAGTCAGCTACTTTATTCGCGCTGTCCAATGTTTGAAAAGCTTCCATTTTTTTTGAAGAAATTATTAGCAAGGCCATATCCAATATTTTACATATCACAACACATTGGGGTTGGTTAGTATTTCTTTAAGAAATTGAATAAAATGAAAAACGATCTGTCATTTGGCACCTCTTGGGCAATGGCATGCCCTCAAATAATGCCATATAAAATATGTTCAGTATAGTATTGGATGACTACCCTTCATAATCAACATTCACAGATTTGTATTGTTTGATTTACATTTAGACAAGGGCTGTTTTTCAAAGACACTCCCATTTTGATTTTTTCAAAAACTGTGTCCAGATATTCAAGATGGTACTGTTTACAATATATTGAGAGCTTACATTTGTGTGACCATTCAGTATATTTACTCAGTTATGGCCAGTGATCTCTGATATGCCCTGACCAGGTCAAGTTGCTGCTTTTGTTTTGGAGAGTGGGGAACTAGTTCAAACTAGTAACCACTGTGTTGATCTTATATTGTTCTTTTCCATGTTTCACTTGAGCCAAATATTATTTACATTTTTAATTTGTCATGGTTAAAAGTTTTTATTTAGGCTAATCAATCATAGTGGTTTTGTTGTGGTTTTGCTTTATAAATCAAGCATTAACTCGATTATAAGTAGGTTTTTCTTTGTTAAAAAACCAACTTGCAACATATTGCAACACATATCGCAATATATGCTTTCGCATCGCCACATATCGCAATATGAAATTTCTCTGCAATACCCACCCCTATGTATGAATAAGTGAAAACATGAGAATAAGTTATGTCCTTATGATTACGTTATCTGAAAGGGGTTGGGTAGTGTCTCCAAAACAAGCTCTTTCAGTAACCCCCAACATCCCATAACCCCTACAGCCCAGAATTAAACCTCAAGTTCAATATCAATTTAACATTAAACTTTTGTTAAACTATTTTTGTTATCATTCTCTCAAACTCTTAGTTTGGTTATTACTCATTAAAATCATTCTCTCAATTGCTAAGTGTTTTGGCTGGTCCAATGCATGGAATAGGTAATAGGCAGGAGATTAGCAGTGCACTGGACCATTAACTTTGTTGCTATAAGCTGTAGGGGTTATGGGATGTAGGGGTTTTTGGAGGTTAAGTTGAACCAATCAAGAACTTTACAGAGAATATGTAGGCTGCCCAACACTGCAGCTTTTGCATTACCCAGAGGGTGAGAAGCCCCGTTCTCTCAGTGGAGAACCCGGGTACTCTCTGCGCCAAGAGATCAGGAGGTACTAAGCAAAGGGCACCGTGAACAACGGGAAGTCGGAAAACAGTGTACTTGCAATGCAAGCACCACATTTCAAAGGCGAGGTCCGCACGTTTACCTAAATCGTGTCAATCACATCGCTGTCAAAAGGGAGAGAAAGTTCAATGATATAGATATCACTATTGGTTTTATCGAAAAGGACAAGATCAGTTTTGTTGGCTTGAATATGTCTGGGGCTGTATGTTGGCCTATTCCAAAGAATTTTGTAATTTTCCATAACGCCATCTGCATACTCTGGATCGTGCAATGGATGGACTTCATACATACTTTTCGACTGGATTCTCAACTGGCAAGCAGTTCAATCTAATCCATCTTAAAGGAGATGGGAAAGAAGTGTGTTGGGATCTGTGTTGAGGAGGTCCATGATGAAAACTCTCTTGGTTAAGCAAAAAACTTAATGCGTTCAGCGACAGGGCTAAAGAATTGCTCTGAAACATTCCTCGTCCGGTGGAAATGGCTTTTTAGATCAGCACATGCCCTTGCAAAAGAAGCGACCAAATCCTTCTCACATTCATAAGAAATCTCTGCCAAAAGCAGAGTCGAAATTACAATTGTGACTATATCATGAGCAGATGTTTGTTTCAGCAGTATTACAGGTGTACGATGTTGTTTGTAAACAAATCGGGTCTGAACCAGACAATCCAGTCATTGTCACCTTGCGATACGATGACAGAACATGTGTTTATGAATCAATATGAAATAGGGATGATACAAGGTGTTAGCGAAAGGTGAGCGTATCCTGCCCCACAGATGGCACCTGTCATAAACATATGCTGAGTCTGGTATTTATCCACCTGAAAGAATTCGGGAACGTATTGAATAAGTCAAAATAGGGAACAACGGACAATACTTTTGTCACTGATGCATCAAATTCGGAAATTTCCTCCACATGTATTCCATATATCTACCATAAAACTTCTTGAAAGCTTTACTGAGGCCTTGAATGTTGTGACCTTGATCACATAACTGAGCAAGAGTGGTATGACGCTCTTTGAAATCCTGAAAGAAAGAGCACGGTCGATTGTACCTCAAACGTTATATTAACACCAAAGGATGGAGGTGTTGGACTATTTCTCGACATGAAAGAGAAGCTGACTATTGGAAAGTTGAAATCATCCCTTCTGTCATACGGCCTTGTGGAGAGTTTTTTGTCACTCTGAATCTTTATGCATAGATCTAAATATGAAACAGTTGACTTGCCCGTGAAAATCCGGGTTAGAATTGGCCTTCAGCAACCCTTGCTTGTCTTAAGAGGCGAATAAAAGGATCGTGCTGTCAGACTCGTGTCCAAATTGCGTAGAGCGATGCTCAGGAAGAAATGCAGGAAAGGTGTGAGATACTTGGAACCCTGCTGACTTTGGTTGTCGTAAGTGGCGACTGAGGTATCGGGTGGACAGGCTCGCTGACTTAGTTGACACAGGTCATCGTATCCCAGTTGCGTAGATCGATGTTCATGCTGTTGATCCCTGGATTGTAGATGGGCACTTGCCTAGGTTTGTAAACAATCAGCAACCCAAAATCCCAACAACCCTACATCCCATTACCACACCCTCCCAACACAATCAGCCACCCCAAAACACTAACAACACTGTTTTACAATGACTTTTATCTTACCTCACACATAAATGTCGCTTTCTGATTGGCTGAGCGCTCTTCTATTATTTTCAATGTACTCCGCTTACAAGCGAGTAACATTTCAATGTACCCCGCTGTCAATGGCAACTCATTTGGTACTTCGTGGTAGTAATTCTTTATCTCGAATAACATTGAATCACGTATGATGTACGGAAAGTACCGCTGTTTTGCGAATGCAAATGGATGGAAGGGAGATAACTCTAAATCTGTTTTTCTTGTCAGCAAAATCTAGCGATGGCTACAAAAAGATTTGTACCCATGCTTCATACAATTCAAAATCAACATTAAGGTGTTCGGTAAGATAAATACGTTGTTCACTGGTCCCTCGGGGCCCATGGGTTGACGGCCCCTCGAGACCAGTGAACAACTTATAATACTGCCACATAACAACACTTACCAGTCATAACTGCCCCATAACACAAACAGGCATGTGTAGACTAGAAGGACAAGCAAGGTCAGACGTTTCATGTTGAACATCTGTAAAAAAAACAATTAAAAGTCAATATGGACACCGTTGGTTCTCACGACCTTTAATTCATTAAACTCATTGGATAGTTGGTATGGTGAAAGAATATGCATATACTTGCATTGTTGGTCATCATGCTACACCATGGGGATGCCTTATTGGTACTGAGTTAAGATTTATAGTCACATCAGCAATATTTCAGCCGTGTCATGACTCAAACAAGTTATATAATGACAATACATAATGTTACATTATCAAATCAGTCGACAAGGGACATTAAAACAACTAGATTACCAGAGATAGAGAACCATAACTGGCATGTAACTTTAATTTATTATTGCTAATATTGCTATTCATGTCCAAGGAAATGAATTATCAATGTATGTACTCTGGGACGGAGGCCTTTTAATGAAATAAACCTGTCAATCATATGCTCAAATCCATCATGGTACAAAGTAGCAAATTTGACTTTATGTAATAAAACTCTTTTAGGTAAATATTAATTTCACGATTGCGTTTAAAGTTTTAAACTGTTGTTAATTTTTTTTTTTAAATATATCAACACATTTTCAGTAGCTATATGAAATCATACATACACAACACTCCTGATGCCTACGGGATGTACAGTCGTATGTGCTGTAAGACTTGCACAATTACTGCCATGGCCATAATCGAACAATCAATCACAGCTGCTGCCTGAAATGCCAACAACATCTTGTGTAGTGTTACTGTATAAATAGCTATAGAATACTGTTGTGCATATCGTACCTCAGATATCCATCTATAAGAAAGTTAGCTAAGATACATAGCGTTCACTGACATGAACGCTATGCAGCACCTCCATAGGCCGCAATGGTGGAAATCCTTTGTCGCACTTTCGCGCACTCGTTACGATTTTTGCGCACGAAAAAACTTATATGAATTACTTCTTTGTACTTATACCTACACGTGCGCCCTATTTTCGTTATCAAAATATCCAAAAATATATATTTACAAGCCATCAAACATCTCAGTCGATCGCTCACATATGAGCGGGGCCATTTTGAATCACGTGACCTGTGACGCGAAGGGGATATCCCTCCCAAAAATAGTAACACACGTGTACCATACCGCGTTGCTTGTTGACAACACATTTTCATACATTTTAGGCAATTAAAACGATTGTATGGAGATTTTCGTTTCCAATCTGGACTGACTGACCACCCCTGCGTTTTCAACAGCTGTTTTCAAAGGATTTGCTGGTGAGTTTTCAATATAAGATTATTGCTGTCACCTTCACAGTTCCATGGGTGTCTCTGTACTACTCATGAATATTTGCCTACAAAACACAGTTTACTAATTGAATTTAGGACTTAAATAATTAATGAGTTCCTCCTTGGATAGGAGATTAGATGTTGATTACATGAAGGGACAGTGTTTTTCATCATGAATTATTAACAAATACTAAAACAAGAAAAACATCTTGAAAGCAATTGTTAAAAGGGGAAGGATCATTCAAATTACAACACAAAGCCAAATGCAAATTATTAAAATGCGTCCTTCCGTGCACATTCGTCTTTTCCGGAGCAGAACTTCAAAACCGTTCACTATTTCTTTACCAAACTTGGCACATAGATAGATCTGGTGGTGTACTGGTGCCGTTTTGGTAGTTTGGGATTTCTGTATAAAATATTTTTGTGTGTGTTTCCATGGCAACAATTTTCGACTTCGACTGAAATTGGTGGTAGTGTTCTTTTCAGGAGCAGAACTGTAAAACCGTTCAATATTTTTCACCACAAATTGGTATATATATCAATCAGAACCTTAAGTGGTGCCTTGGCTATTTGCAGATTTTTGACATTTTTATTTTTCTCGGTTCCATGGCAACGATTTGGACTTAGTCTCAAAAGTAGGGGTGGGCTTCTTTTCCGAGCAAAATCGAAAACCTTTCATTATCTTTCAACAAATGTAGCAGATATATGAGACAGATCTTGAAGTGGTGCCTTTGTTATTTCAAAGTTTTAGTATTTATATTTTTCATGATTTCCATGGAACAATTTGGACTAAGTAAAAAAAATCAAGTTGGACTATCAGTAACTGTCAGATGATTTGTTCTTTCAAATTTCTGGAGCCTGGGGATTTGTCATCTTTTGATGACTCTTGTTTTGATAAGTTATAGCAGTGAGTTTCACAAAAAATAGACATGTCGTCAAATACTAAGCTGCCACTATATCTCTTCCATCCCTTTGTTTTTGTCTTGAACTTGCCCTTGCAATGGGCACAGACAGTGTCATCCATGGTTTCTTCTCTCAACTTTCAACCTTGAATACCAGTAAATAAAGTGCATATCAATGTTAATTATTAATTATCACTTTAATTTAACTTGAGTTTAAACTTATACCTTCAAAAGAATAAACTTCATGCACAATTTCATATCCTTATCATTGTTAATGTTCTCAATAAACATCTAATTGCACCTTGAAAAGCAGACTTTCAAAACTAACACTTCATTGATAATTCGGAAAGCCTGCTATTTTTGCTGTCAAAAGATAAGAGGTACTGTAATGTTTGCAAATGAATTTTCTTCAGTTGACCTAACAAATAAAAACCTTCTGTCCAATGGTGTATGCACAAGAGTTTAAGTATGATATTTGGCATTGTGCTGTAATTTGAATGATCCCCTCATTCAACAATTGATTTATTGATGTATCCCCTTATTTTAGTATTTGTTTATAATTCATGATGACAAATAACACTTTTTGGCCACTTGGTTGCTAATGTGGAAATGAAAAGATGATTTTGGCAAGGTTTGTAGCTGGTGCTTGAGACCTAATACAACATGGAAATATTTAAAATATTATTCAAGGTAGGAGAGTTGTAAACTGAGAAATATTTAAGGTTTTGGGGTATACATAAAATTTATAGATAATTAATTCGTGAACTCATTAATTATTTAAGTCCTAAATTCAATTAGTAAACTGTGTTTTGTAGGCAAATATTCATGAGTAGTACAGAGACACCCATGGAACTGTGAAGGTGACAGCAATAATCTTATATTATATATGAAGCATTGAAAACTCACCAGCAAATCCTTTGAAAACAGCTGTTGAAAACGCAGGGGTGGTCAGTCAGTCCAGATTGGAAACGAAAATCTCCATACAATCGTTTTAATTGCCTAAAATGTATGAAAATGTGTTGTCAACAAGCAACGCGGTATGGTACACGTGTGTTACTATTTTTGGGAGGGATATCCCCTTCGCGTCACAGGTCACGTGATTCAAAATGGCCCCGCTCATATGTGAGCGATCGACTGAGATGTTTGATGGCTTGTAAATATATATTTTGGATGTTTGATAACGAAAATAGGGCGCACGTGTAGGTATAAGTACAAAGAAGTAATTCATATAAGTTATTTTTTGCGCAAAAATCGTAACGAGTTTGAAAGTGCGACAAAGGATTTCCACCATTGCGGCCTATAGGTGCTGCATAGCGTTCATGTCAGTGAACGCTATGTATCTTAGCTATAAGAAAGTATGAAGAGTGCGTAATGGGATAGTGTTGTACACTAGTTTTTGAATGGATGTGTTTTAACTGAGGTTGATGTCATTGAAAACTATTATTATTACGGCATTGGTATGGGGTTGAAGCATTGTAATAAGACTGATGTTTGCAGTTAGTCATAATGGTATCATAACAGTGTTCTATAGCTATTTATACACATAATATGTATAACGTGTAAAATATGGTTTTCCAGAACACATAGATAACATCGCAGATGAAAGAACACAACGTATTGCAGAGTATTTATTGTTATGAGCTAAATCTAACGACCAGTATTAATTAAACACTACCTGAATCCATTTTGAAACTTCTGGTCCAAGCAGAATGCACATATAAAGCACGTGCTTTACACGATATCTCAAAAGATATAGGTCGCATGTACACGTGCCACAAAGGTACGCAACACATTGATAACAAACGTTCACGATTGCAGTACATGCAGTGCAGTCTTCTCAAGAGATTTAAAACACAACAGTACAATTAATTAAGTATACTTGACATGAAAGAGCCTAGACTTTTAGAAAAGATGCACGATGAAGGGATGTCCTGTAGCAAAAGCGGTGTGTGACTGCGACGTGTCACCAAGATGACGTACAATGTGGTTACTTCATCTTCGCGACCATTTACCTCAAACAGTGTTCCCAAGGCTGACCGATTTTGAGAGGGCATCGTAATGGTTTGGAGAGCATTTCGTGCCACCGGTCAGTCTCAGTTGATAGTCAATCATGGTAATCTGACTGCATTACGACAATGGCACCAAGATTGACGTCAGTACTTCTGCTATTCATGCAACCCTATGATCCTCGACTGACATTTCAACATGACAAGTCTGTGTTCCACACTGCAGTTCTGACGCATAACTTCTTATGTCCCTTTGCTGATTTCCCGGTCCCCGGTCTTGAACCCGATCAAACACACACGGGATGAGCTGGGAAGATGAATACTACCTTGCAAGAACTTTGGAAAGCAAAAAGCAAACTTTGACAAATGACAAACACTAGTGGCTACAGTGTCCCGAAAGAGTCTCCTGTCCACGAGGAGACATTGTGTTCCCTCACAGCAGCACTGTGACCTCACACTTGTGAAGTCTTATCAGTTTCATCAGTGTCAATTTTGCACCTGGGGAGTCATGGAACGTTATGCATTGTGTTTTTTTTCAAAATTATTCTTTAGAAGTGAAGTTGTATTTCTTTACGTTCATCAGCTTATGAATACAGTCCCTCCCGTGAACGAATTCCTTCATGGGCGAAATATTGAGTTCTGTAGGTAGTCGCTCGATTGACACGTACTCACGGGACAGTCTAACGTTCATTGGGAAATGAACGACAGCTGGCGAAGTAGTGTTCATATAGGCCGGTTCTGTCAACCTACCTCTGATGCGTTCCATACGCATCCATTTTCACAAGAATGCACACACTGCAGCTGTGCCTGATTCAATTAAGCAAGCGTCAGGTTTTCAATTTGGTTGTGTAAACGCATAAAAGACTATACACAATGTTGATGGCATTTCAGGCAGTTATGGTTTATTGTACGATTTTTGCCATGACAGTATTTGTGCAAGTATTAGGACACATACGATAGGAATCAGCTGTGATGTATATGTATGATGTTAAATAGCTACTGAAAATGTATTTGTATATTTTAACAGAAGGTTAAAACTATATTTAAGCAATAGTGAAATATAACTACCTAAAAATGTCTTATTGCATTACATCAAAGACCTAACGACGGCTTTGTAATCAGTGTATGGAATAAGAAGTGGTGTCACAGATTTGTTGAGTGCTGCCTTAGCAGCAAGATCGGCCATTGTGTTCCCAGAATGACCAACATGGCTGGATAACCAACAGAGGACGATGTCGCATTGGCCAGTAGCAAGATCATTATATAATTCAGTAATTTAAATTAAAAGTGGATGTTTGCAAGAAAGATTTAGCCTGAAGGCACGAAAGAGAGTCTGAATAGATTATATACTCTCCCAAAAAGAAACGCATATAGGAATTTCAACTGTATTTTTATGTTTATTTTGAACCATCCTGTAGGCTTTTTGAGTCAATGAAATATAGCGAAATCGCACACTGAGAATGCAGACTTATCCGTCTTTGGCACCAACTCGAGGAAAGTCAGTTTGATGTCACATGGAGACGTGTGGTGGCGCTGAAGTCACCACCGTGGGCATCCAGAACTGGAAAGCATCGCCTCGGCATCGAACGAACAAGTCTCAGAATCTCGTGTTGCCCAATCGCAGCCCACTCTGCCTGTAGTGTAGTGCCTGTGCGAGTTGCTGAAGTGTCTGGGGCTGAGGGTTACGGCGTCGCACCCGTCTGTCCAGGGCATCCCACAGATGTTCGATCGGGTTTAAGTCCGGTGATCTTGAAGGCCAGGGGAGCACATTGATGTTGTGGTTCTGGAGGAAGTCTCTAGTGTGACGTGCTGTGTGGGGCCTGGCATTGTCCTGTTGAAACAACTCCTCTCTGGCGATCAATGATTGGAAGGAGG